ATTGCGAATTCTCAAACTCACATTGTACACAAAGATATCAGTTCAATGCACGCCGTGTCACTTTGGAACGCGACTTTTAATATTTAGAGCATTATTTCACCCAAATGAAACATGGCGTTGTCGTTCTTTTCACGTGGAGAATGTGACCTCCTCGTCACTTCCAATTTAAATTTTTAGATCGCTTCATGGCGGAGTTCAACAGTATTGTATCAAATGCCAGAGCTTTGTAGAAGAGCCCCACCAAGGCATTTCTGTCGAGCAACTTTCGAGACGCCCCACAGTGCGGCCCTCTGTGGACGAAAATAAAAAATTCACAACTCAACATGTGAATATTTTTTTTTTGGAGTTCGTCATCTTCTTGGAGATATTTCTGACTCACAATGGTGGTTCATTCCCAAATTTTTCGCCCAAAATTGGGTGAAGAGTGGGCGGAAAATGGACCGAGAATCACTGCTTCATTAGAAATACGCGGGAAAAAGACGACAATTTCAAATGAATATTTCTTGATTGAAACGCAACATTCTCTGGGTGGTTGACATTTTCTTAATCCTCAGATATTCAACTTCAATTCCACTAAAAGGATTTTGCAACTTTTTGCGACTATCAGAGATATTTGAAGTTAAAGTTCTGGTGTTTCACGTTGCTTTTACATTGTTAACATAGGGCTAATTCGCAGTTGCCAACCTCAAATCAACTTTTTTCGAAAAATACGCAAAAAAAAATCCTGAGATATAACATTTACTTATTCCTCCAGTGTTTTAATTTGAAAGTGTTTTACCCATGGCACGATTAATGGATTTATACAACAAATTTTAAAATACTAGCAGACGACTGGGCTCCTTTGAACCCCCCTCCCCCCCGTATTGTGAGCGCTAAGGGCCCAACATGCCACTGCATCAGGCATACCTATCAAAAAAGACCATTGAAAAAAAATTAATCCACTAATGGAGATGTTGCATGTGTGAGGAATTTGCAATTTGACTGTTGATTCTTATGTAAAAGTTTGCAAGAAACACGATGGTGCCACTGATTTTCTCTGAAATCAACTCCCAAGCTGAATAAAAGCTCTCAAGTTGAGGCCAAAATGGAGGGGATATCCCGCCCTACCCTGAGAGTCCACCTCTACATCAAGACAAACTCTCCATGCAAAGATAGGGAGCAAATACATTGACAGGGCTGCCACTTCATTTGGGGACTCCAAAACTAAAAACACGGCAACCCTGCTAATGTATTTGCTCCCTATCTTTGCATGGAGAGTTTGTTTTGATGTAGAGGTGGACTCTCAGGGTAGGGTAGGATATCCCCTCCATTTTGGCCCCACTTTGAGAGCTTTTTTTGAGCTTGGGAGATGATTTCAGAGAAAACCAGTGGCACCATCGTGTTTCTCGCGAACTTTTACACAAGAATGAATGGTCAAGTCGCAAATCCCTCACACATGCAACATCCCCATTACAAACACTCTTCAATCAGTAGAAGCGTAATTTTTTCCGTCATTTTCGGTCCTCAAAAAACCCCTAACTTAATATTGATGTGCTATCCCAATTTGGCCAATGACTTCTCCGGCCATAAAGACCTTGGTGAAGTAAAGTTGAAAAGTTAGTTAAGAGTATAGGATACTCTTAACGAAAGAGTTTAATAAAATTATAACCGTCTTTCTGTGCTGCGCCGTCCGGAAAAGAACACGGCCCCAAGACGCGACATCGTGTAAATGAAGATTGAGCATCCTCTGTATTTTAAAGTGTTCAGTCACCCAGTGTTGTAAGTTTTGACCATGCATTTTCTAACTCATCATTCTGTTCGGTTTCGGCTTTCTCATTTTTTGGCTCTTCGCTTGTAAGTCCATCTCTATAGAGGGCGGTTAAAATATTTAATTGGGATTGACTCTAAGAGATGGTCAAATCGTTTTCTCTTATTTCCATCTAAGTATTTTCAAAGTAATTTTACGAATGTTTCAGTACTGAAGATTGTTCTGAAAAATTACATTTGTTTTGTGTCATTTAGTCTGGCAACATTTCAGTTGAATGACTTTCAACATTAATGTGCGGCGTTCAATTTATTTTAAACTGTTTCAGCTGCTCGCAAAATGCTCCGCTCTTAAATTAAACATAAAATCGTTGATTATGATGAATATGCCCCGAAAATAAGAGGGACGGAGATAATTCGTCACCCCTATGACGTAAGGGCGTATCGCAATTTACAAGTGAGCCCTGTTTTACCCATTAATCCATGATTTCTGGGGCTCAAGTGGTTTGCGAGGTGTGCCCTTCCGCGAGAGAAGCGACGATAATTACGAGGGGCGACCGGGGATACAAATCAAGTGCGAGAGGCCCCCGGTTAAATACCTCTATTTTGTGCACAATAATTAAGCGACGGAGAAAGTATATCTTCGAGGTTGTCGGTCTTTTAGATTTCCTTCGCTTCGTGAAATTTTTCTCGCGGAGAAAACCTCTTGGAGGATAGGAGTATGTTCCTTTTGGGTTTTAGATTAAATAAAATAATCTTCGATATTCTTGGCAACCCTGGACGATTGGCGGAACGGGGCTGAACGGAAAAACTTGAGATAGAACATTCGAATCGACAAAGCGCCCAGAAATATATGTAAACGTGAGTCATATGTGAAGTGCACTCCTCTTAAAATTTCTCTCACAAGTATTTAAGTTCATTTTTTCCCACCAAATTAAAATGAATTTTACTGTCTATTACTGAAGTCGCATTTTAAGGGATTTTGCACTGGTACACTCTCTGGTAAAAATTAGCGATACGAGCTCCGTTTCAAAATATCATAGAGTTCTTATAGCTGACTAAAGAAGGCTATTGAAAATCATATAGCTGGCTGTAGAAAGCGGAGCAAATCATATAGCCGGGCTATACGAAGCTATAAAAAAGTATACAGTCGGGCTATAGCTCCTATCGCCGGGCTTTACACTTTATCGCCATTGGCTATAAAAGGCTATAAGAAACTGTGTAGAAATTCGTGTGCTTTGGAAATCATTAAGTTTGATACGGAACTACCTTAATACTTACAAAACACATATTATATTTTCCTTTAAAACATATTTTTTTTTTTCATCAATTAAAATGAGATGGTCCATACAGAGTGTGCAAACATTTCCAAATCATGAGTTGAAAAACGCTGACTCCGCGAGATTAAATATTAGAGCCTAACACAAAGCAGAGCGGCGACGCACTGGCGCCTACAAACCTAACAGGGATACTTCACGCATTGCGCAATGCGTGAAGTATCCCTGTTGGGTTTGTAGGCGCCAATGCGCGTTTTGCGCTCTCTGCCCGCCCGCCGTGCCGCAACGTGCTACGGCGCTTGAAGCAACTATTTCACACCAGAGGTATTGCACAGTATCATAAGAAATTGAAGGCGCTCCAACATATTAAGAATGACAGGCATCCTTCAAAAGTACGGAGCTTTCCTCGCAAAATAAATCAAGATACTACGGCACAAAAAGAGAGCGGTAGTCCAAAAACTAAGTAAGTCCTGGTATCCGTATTTAGTAACGTTTAGCATAAACTTTATCGTCTGGCTGTTGCTTAATCGCCATCGGCTATAAAAGGCTATAAGAAATTGTGCAGCCGGTTACAGAAGCTATTGGGAATCTTACAGCCGGCTTTAGGTCTATAGTATTTTGGAACACACATTCTACTGCCAATTTTTACCACGGCTTGTACCTCTTACCACCAGTCGCAATCAATTCATTCCTCGTCGCTCGCAAAGGTTGTAAATCTATGACATATCCGGATCCAAGGGGGATCTGTTGCCTGAAAAAAAGTGAGGAGAAAGAAGAAAGGAGCATAGGAAAGAAGGAGGAAAGACGCTTACATTTGATAATTGAAGACTTTGTCGGTAAACGGGCATATGAGGCTTGCAATGCTGCTATAAGATTGCGCGATTTTTTCTAAAGTTAAGCAGCAGATGAAATTCATTTACATAGTGGGGGAAAGTCGGAGCAGATTCGGGGAAAAATTCATAGCAGACAGTCGGATAAGTTATTTACGACTAGAGAAGTACGTTGCTGAATCTTAGCAGCATTCGAAGTCTCATTCGCCTCTTCACCAAAAAAGTCTCAATTATTTATTACGAAATTGACTCCCACTGCATATTAGATGCCTCAAAATGTATTCAGGGAAGGCCCTCGGACCCCCATCACGCCCCCCTCCCCCTTCGAGGTGTCTGGATCCGCCTATGATCTACGATACATTTTTTAGACACCAAAGAAGCTCAAATTGCATAAACGCCGAATTGGGGGAGAACTTTATTTTCCCTTCGTAATCTCGCTTATGCAAGGTACGTAGGTGATAGGCAAATAGGTAAATCAATTGACGTGGATATCCAGAAAATAGGTGTTTTACTAAGTAATCCACCCCAAGAAATCCGAATCTGACCGTCGCGAAGCCGCCCCCCCCCCCCCGGTACCTCGCTGAGGAGAAGGAAATGAAGAAAAAGGGGGGCTCTTAGATTATGCATTTGACAAGTCTAGGGCTTGACTAATACCCCATTAGCGAGACTCCAGGATGCTTTCGGATCGTCGTATATTAGATTAGGAAATATGGTAGAAAATTTGGGGGAAATCTGTTTTAGGAAGTCGTAGTGTCTTTTGTGGCAGTTTGATTTAGACTTATTTATGATGAAAGGAACTATGAGCATACGGTTTACGCGCAATATAGTTCCCGTGGCATAGGTACGTCCCATCCTTACCCTGTCTAGTGGTTCATTATCGCGAAGTGACTGCGGGGTGGTCCTAACCTTTGTCGTTCATTGCCAATAACACAAAGAATGACGTAAGACTTGAGCCACTTACTCGCGGAAATCTTGAATCATTGAGCTGGAGGCATCTGTCGGCGCTGAGGCGAACTAACGAGTTACGTAACGCTCGCAGCTCGAATAGCTCGACGCTGAAAATCGATAGCTCGAGCTATAATTAAGAGGATCGCGACGCGGGTCGGCGGCGGGGCTGCCGCCGCGCCGAGCGGCAGAGTGGGGAAACACCGCGGAGCGAGCTTAAAATACAGGTTCTAAATTTAGAGTCGCGTGTAAAAACGAGCGGAGCCATGACGCGAAAACACGCGGCGCCGCGGCCGAGAAATAGTTGAGCAGTGAGGTTTTCGTGCTATGGAAAATGTGACGGTGGAACCGGGAAAATCGGGGGACGTGCCGCCGGAGCCGATAGCGGGGAGTGCGGGAAAACCCCGTCGGAACAACTACGGACCGGGCGGACGCTTCGGGCACCGCAGGAGCCCGACGACCGGGCACAGGCGACGCCATCTCACGCCCGACCCCAAGAGGGGCGGCCCCAATGGAGGGGACGAGTCTGACGTCAGCAGCGCCGAGTCGGGCAGGGACCCGCCGCCACCGGCCGCAGCCCCCGGAGCCCCGGACAAGCGGCAAAGGCGCATCTCATCCACCTCGGACGACGAAGCCGAGCACCTCCACCCCAAGAGCAAAGTCAAAGCCAAGAGAAGCCTCTCCGCGGTGGAGGCCAAGAAGAGAACCAAGAGACTCATCGAATCCGAGAGCACCACTGATGAAGCCCCGATCGCGGTCCCGGACAGCGGGAGCGTCCTGCGGCGGCGACACAGGAGCAAATCCAAAGAGACCCCCGAGATGCAACATCCATCGGAGAGCAGTCAAAATACAGGCGATGCCTGGTGGAAAATATGGCCGAGGGCTAAGAGTGCCGAGCCGGAGGCAAAAACCCCGAGTCGCCCCAAGAGAACGAGAAGCGCCTCCAGAGGGAAATCGGATCGGGAGTCGACAGATGATCAGCGGAAACCGCAAGCTCCCACCAGGAGTAGACAACAAAGCCGCCCTAATTCGGAACTCTACAAGGACGAGAGCAGCGATGACTTCTGGAAGCCCAAAGGCAGCATGGAGAAATTGCATTCCAACTACACCGAGAGACAGAAAGGAAGAACGGAGCCGAAGATGGAAGAGAAGGGGCAACAGGAAGACGAGCCTGTATCGAGTAAAGACAGCGCTCAAAATGGCCTTCGGGAGCAGATCGTAGAGAAGAAAGGCGAGAAGAAAAGCAAGATCTTGGAGACGAGGAAGTTGGGCACTGCGGCGAAACCGAGAACTGCGGAAAAAGTCGAGGTCACCGAAAATGACGGGAGTCTCTTGATCAAGCGCAAGTTCAATTTGAAATTTTGGACGAGCGACTCGCGGCGTGAGTGGAGGAATTTTGTCGCCGATAACGCGGTGGAGGTTAGGAAAATTCGCGCGCTTAAAAACAAGTGCATTTCGGATTTAGTGCTCATGATACTGTTTTGTGGGGTGGGTGCGATAGTGTTCAGGTCGATCGAAGGCGCCTTCGAGAATTTCTACAAGTGCGGCGTGAAGCGGGTGAAACGAGATTTCATAGACAATTTGTGGCTCCGGAGTCATAACCTACCGGAGGAGGAGTGGAAGTCCCTAGCCAGGCACAAACTCATGGATTTCGAGGAGCAGCTCCACACTGCCTTCGAGGCTGGACTCAGCACGTATAGCGGTCAAAGGTCTTGGAGCTTCATTAACGCTTTCATTTACTGTTTGACCGTTATAACCACGATAGGTGCAGTAATATACGATACTCATTTATATAAATTTGAAGGGATCAGAACAGGGGGTATGAAACGTAAGAAAGAAATGAAAGATTGAGAATTTCAGTGAAATGTATTCACGTTTCACGAGGCTGTGGAATAGTTCGTATTTTTCAGGGACTTGAGTATGCAACCCGCACTCAAACTCAAACGAAGAAATTCACATTTTTTACATTTTGCGAAACATGAAAAGGAACCAGTAATTTCTAAAATTTCATGAAATATTTCACGTGAAATTACAAGATTTTCTTTTTCGAGAAATTTTGCCACCCTGGATCAAAACAAGGGGCCTAGCCGCATTACAATCATTCATCCGATATCTTGCCTTTTTTTCATACACTGATTTAATGGCTACGTGATAGTTCAAATGTAAACAAACACAAAACCTTATTTCTGATTCGCGCCCTTTGAACCGCATGTTGGCCAAATGCATCCAAGAGTTTATCAAATTCGAAATTTTTCGTGTTTAAAGAGTCCTTATTTGATTTATGACCGGTCAATGGCTAAATGTTTATAAATTAAGACAATTAACTTACGAAGAATTTGTACATAATGTTATGTTAGTATATTTTGGTTTAAACCAAGAGTTCGATATCGAATGAAGCAGTCACTAAATCAGTCTATTAAGAAAATACAATCTCTTTGAAGGAAGGATTTCTTAAAACGAATTAAAAATTAAAAGCTCACTTATGCCGAGGGTTCGCGGGTTAACATAACGCAGTATTTACTATGCTTAAAAATCTAGATAACTCTCCTCCAAACGTGCTCCACTGTTCCGCCTTCAGAAATTCGTTTAGGCAAAAACATTACACACGTGTGGGAACATTTGCTCGGGATATTCTACAACATTTGTCCTGTTCTTTTCAATAAGATAATGCGAGAGGCGAGGTTCTTGTGGTGACTAATTTTTTTCCCCCTTCGGAAAAGGCTTCAGGTAACGGCAAATTCTGCGTATTCGAATTATTCCTCAAGATACCTATTTTAAAATTACTTAACTCAGTAATGACTTAGAAAGAAAAGAAAGAGAATAATGAATCATGCTCTACTCTATAAGTTTCTATAGTAAAAATGTGTGACGCATGTATTTAACTTGATGATCTAGAACTCTTTCTGAATTTTACATTTATTACTTAAGACTTGTCTCTGTCCAACAGGCTACGGTCACATAACACCATCAACAACAACAGGGAAGATAATAACTATGGTGTACGCAGTCTTCGGCATTCCTATGTTTCTAATTTTACTAGCGGACTTCGGTAAGATGTTCACAAGATGCATCAAGTTCCTATGGGCATTTGTGCGGCGACTCTACTACACAGGAAGCTGCCGTAAAGTTCGCCGAAATGTTCCTCAGGTATGAGTTCGATCAACGCCGGATTTAAGGGGGGGGGGGGGGAAGGGGGGGTTGGTCGCCTCAGGGCTCCCACCACAAGATAATTGGACCGCGTTACGCAGAAAGGAACCAAGCCACAGCAGCTATTTCCCAAATTAACTGGGCGATAATTTATCTACTTACATGAAAACGGTTGTGCGAATTTTTGTGCCAACAGAGAATTTTCTGCATGCTACGAGGCAAATTCCTTAACATTTTCAAAGGAATCCGCACAAGCGTTCTCTTGTAAAAGATTAAATTGCCCAATTAATTTGGCAATGGCTAATGCGGCTTGGTTCCTTTCTGTCAAACTCGATACAATTTATTTTTTTGCTGTCATGGTAAAAACTACAAAAGGGTTACCCTCGTTGAATACAAGTGTCCAAGCTGTCCTTGAAATAACTCTAATGACTATATCCTAAAGATCAAGGACTGGTAAGAAAGCAGTAGTGAGAGGCTGGGACTGTTTTTGGAGTTTAAGCTTGCAACTGAATAAGGGCCTTACATGAAATGGCGCCTAATAGGTCTCCACCTCCTTTTCTACCAACTCATTTGTACTTGAGCGGGGGGGGGGGGCACCACGGGTACGTCCCACGGCACCCACTACCCTAAATCCGGTGATGGATGTGATATATTTAACATTGCTACCAATGCAGAACCCTTATTGTGTTAAGACAAGCATATGAATAGGACCGATGAAACTGCGATGGGCTCGTAATAATTTATGCATTGGAAATACGTTTGACTTCAAAATGGACTAAAATTTTTGTTCGCGATACCAAGGCAAACAAACAAGTGATGTGATGCCGAATGGCTGCGATAGGATTGCGCGAATGCTCCCTTTTTTACCTTTTTGGAGATGCGTAGGATTGCGCGAATTTTCTGGTACTGAAAACTCACATGTTTTGCGTGAATATTCAATATTCAACGAGAAAGCGTTAATCTGGCAACCTTGGTAGTTTGGGGTAGATAACTACATCGCAGAAGACTGCTCATTCCCTTTTTACATACGGGCATGTCTCTCTTCGATGGATAGCCCTCGCAGCACGCATAGCCCAGCGAGCCTTCATAGACATTTAAAAAGTGAACTAGGGGCCTCTGGCCGCTACGTGGCTGCCAATCACCGAGAGAAATTACAAATAAAAACTCGTAAAACAACCATGTTTAAGTTTTTAAGAGATGAATGAATTCAAAACCCGACGGGTCCGCCCGCAAGAAAGAATATATTTATCTCTGATTGGAGAGTTATTCACCAATTTTATATGTATTTTTTTTATAAATGTTTTTAAAAAGCTACACACAGTTCTGGAAAGCTTTCGCGAATTTACCGAAATGATCTTAAATTAAAGTATCGAAAATTTCGACGACCCGACCGATATGTTCGTTTGTTCTATTTTCTTTTAATGAAACCAAAAAAACCAATTAAATATCATCCGAGTTTCTGAGTCGTTACAATGAGGATACATAATTTCCCTTTAATTATTATGGTAAAATCTGGAGCAGAAAGTGAAAAATGAATGAGTCCTACATTATTTCTACAGTCTAGTTGGCGCTAATATACGTTTCACGCCAACTGACCAACTGCTGTGCGTTTGGCGCAATGCGAGAAGTATTCACGCAGTCTCGTAGGCGCTAATATGGGTTTTACGCCGACCGTACTGTTTGGCGTAATGCGTGAAGTGTTCCTAAGATCTTGCAGGCGCTAATATACGTTTAACGCCGGCCGCACTGTGTTTGGCGCGATTATTCAAACTCGCGTCAGAGAAATCGCGGAATCGAATAATAGAGCTTAAAAGGTCTATGTTGTGCTTCGACGCCGTATGAGTATTCCAATTACGTTGCCTCGTTTTTCCCAAGTATATATTTTTTCCGAGGAAAGTCAGGAAAGTTATTTACGACAATTATTCAATCTTTTCACTTCTTTCATTATCAGAAGGTGGGACATCGATGACTCGTCAATTAACTAACCTAAACTATAGCGTTATCGTAAAAATGCGTTTACTTTCCAACTGTTTCCTGTTTTGCCAAACTTCTACCTTAAAGTAACTTCATTGTATATCCGCGCATTCCTGTAGCAAATGTTAAGGTTTTTATTCGCGCAATCCTTCTGCCTTTTTGCCGCAATCCTCATATATTTTCATTTGATTGATACATACATTTTTTTATATTTTTTATAAATGATAGGTCATCGGATAACTGCAACGAACATTTAACAACACTTTCGCCGAGCTTAGCAAAGCATCGGGTAACTTATCGTTTGCAAATGTGGACTTTAACAACGCGTCTTAGTTATTTGATTGTTTTTTTTTCCAGGAGGTGATGAAAGGAGTGCAAATAGTATACAGTATGACCAAGAAACGACGGTCGAGCACAGTGAATGGGGAAATCGGAGAGGAGGCTCAGACAACGGCCCTCCCTCAACAGTTGGCGTTCCTTCAAACACGGGCGGACAATGAAAGTCCAGGGACGCCGGCCCTCAGCACCTATGCCATCGACGACGAGTTCAACTTGCCCATTTCCGTCGCCATCACCATCCTCTTACTCTACATCATCTGCGGGGCCTCCGTTTTCTATTATTGGGAGGAATGGGGCTTCCTAGAATCTTTCTATTTCGTATTCATCTCTATGTCTACCATCGGATTTGGAGATTATGTGCCCAAGGTAAGACATTCCTGCAAATTCAACGAACTAAACGTCTAGAATGGCCGTCAGATAGGGAACCTGCGTTACGCGAATGGCGGAGGGGCCCAAGGCCGGAGGGAGGTGGGAGCCCAATTGGACTACATTTTGCAATGCGGAACTATAATTTCTGGCTTATCGGTAAAAACACGTATGTGCATGAGGAAACTGATGGCACATGCGTTGTTTCTAAGCTGAGCCAGAAATTATAGTTCCGAATCGCAAAATGTGGTCCAATTATTGTGCCCATCCTCAATCTCCATTTCCGCCGCGTCTTACTCGTGAGGATTACATGTGCAAATGTCCACGTTTGTAAATTTTAATTATAAGCGTGCCTTCAAAGTTCCACATTCTCTTCCGTACAGATTCAATATTTTTTTTATTCTCGCCAAAACTATTAAAAAATTTCCAACTTTGTGGGACATCACGCAAGGCTAGACTTCCTTCTCCCTTATACATGTCCTATTATGATCGTAAGTTAGGTTTTAAGGTTAAGGGTTTCCACAAAATCCTAGATTAAAGTTTTACACAGTGAGAAAATCCCATTATACATTTTACTGATGTAACACGTAGCACTTACAATAAACAAGCTAATAAAAAATAATCATGGATTTAACAGCGTCAATTTTAGATTTTCACGACGGTTCTTTGGTCTAGTGCTGTCAAACTGAATTCAATGAACAGCAATGCGTTATCACTCTGGCACATGATGGGTGGATCTATCAATAAACCGAGAGCGCATTTCAGGAGAATGATCGTACCTTCTTCCCCCCCCCCNACAGAAAAAGGAAATACTGGCTAAATTTTGCGTGGTTTGAAGGCAAAGCGCTCTGAATATGTGCAAAAAATAAATCGCACCATAAAAGCCATGGTCTACAGTCATGTCAAATGGAGGTAATAATATAATAGTTCATGATCCGTTTCTAATTTTCTCACCACATAATATTTAAAAAAATGAAACTCATCATTCGCATCTTATTCACTCCAAGCTTGTTATGAACTGAGTAAAAAACTATTTTTGAACATATTTTTTCTTTTCTGTATTTCAGAATCAAATGTATATGATGGCGTCAATTGTGTACCTGGTTTTCGGATTGGCTCTAACATCCATGTGCATCAATGTCGTTCAGGTGCGTAGATTATTCCAAAAGATTATGCAAATCATAAGACTCACGTGCCACCGTTTGCCCCCCCCCCCTACCTGGAAAACCCAAGTAAGGAAGTAGTAAATGAATAAATAATTTAGAAATCACCGCGCCTCGTGCTGGACGGGCAAGTACATTGGAAGAAAAAGGCGCCTTCAACCTCGTCTAGATACAATTATCTCATTTCGATACATATCCGTAGTGCATCCGAACTCTTGAAGGCGCATTTTGCCAAAATGTTTTCCAGATGTTTTGAATGCAACAATTCGCAAGTAATTGTGCTGAAAGTAGAAAAAAAACATAAATATCCGGCAGAAATTGATGGAAAAGTTCTTTATGGAAGCTTCAAAATGCGTCCGATTAGTCGTATAAATTTTAAAATTTCTCGGGGGATGCCCCTCGGACCCCCCCCCCCCCCCCGGTGCCTGGGGCCCAGACCTTAAAACTGGTACCAAGGCCCGAGATGGGATGTGGCGAGCCTGCATGAAGGCTATTTCCATTTAAATCTTCCGTCACATTCATACGGCGCAATGATACAACTATTTGAACTCTCCAGAATGCGTGAGGTATCACGCCGCATTTGAAGGCGTTTTCAAAACAGCCAAGTTCCGTTATCGGAATAATCGTTTTGCATAGTTCATATTATTTTGTTATATTCCGTACCACTAGTTTATTTTTAATCCTCGTAGAAAAACCACCCATTTGTTAATACAATTCTAGCTGAAGCGCACTTAAGCGCATTCATGACTGCAAAAATGTTAACGGAAATCGAAAAGGCCAGCTTGCATAAAGGCTATTTCAATTGCAATCATCCGTCGCATTTCTAAGGCGCAATAATACAACTATTTGAACTCTCCGGAATGCGCGAGGTATCACGCCGCATTTGAAGGCGTTTTCAAAACAGCCAAGTTCCGTTATCGGAATAATCGTTTTGCATAGTTCATATTCTTTTGTTATATTCCGTGCCACTTGTTTATTTTTAATCCTCGTAGAAAAACCACCCATTTGTAAATACAATTCTAGCTGAAGTGCACCTCAGCTATGCATTCACCACTGCAAAAATGTCAAAGGAAATNGGGGGGGGGGGGGGGGGATGCTGGGTCCCTGGTACCGGGGCCCGGGGTCCGGAAGGGGGCCCGTGTTACCCGCGAAACGCGGGTAACACGGGCGCGGGTAACGCGTTACGCTACGAATTCACAAGCAACCCTTGTTTCGTAAGAAAAAGTGAAAAATTTACCCTAAAATTTTCGCAAAAGGTGAATAGATTTTCAGAAACACGCTGGGGCACTGTAGAGTTCTTCTTAAATTTTCAAAGAAGTATACTTCTTGGAAAATTTCTATCCATTTTCAAGATTTTCAGTACAGAGGGATATTTTTAGTAACTGCTTTTCATTTTTTTCCGTCGTCAAATGCTAAGGGTCTCCAGTCTGGGCATCCTCGACTTCAATGGCTCATGGCTCAACTCCCTTGCCATAGACAAACGAAGGGGGAGTGCAGGGGGGCCTGGCTCTCATAGAACTGAAAATAGTATCATATGCCCCCCCCCCCAAAAAAAAAATAAAATAAAAATTTTCCAGATGTTTTGAATGCAACAATTCGCAAGTATTTTGTGCTGAAAGTATATAAAAAAAAAAACAAAAAAAAACAAAAAAAACAAAAAAAAACATAATTACTCCGCAGAAATAGATGGAAAAATTATTTATGAAGCTTCAATATGCGTCCGATTAGTTGTATAAATTCTAAAATTTCTCGGGGGATGCCCCTCGGACCCCCCCCCCCTCCGTGCTTGGAGCCCGGACCTTAAAACTGGTATCAGGGCCCGAGATGGGATGTGGCGGGCCTGATCACGGTTAGGAGTTAATTTAGGGTTAGGATTTCAATCCCTCGAGTTAGACGTCAAGTGATCGACATCCTCGTTGCCTATTGATGTTCACACTGCGAGTCTGATATCCTGGGATCAAAAGATTGTGGAAATTTTTTTGGATTTTTGTTAACTCGTTTTTTTCAATTTTTTTTCTTTTTTTAATGAGAAAGAAGTTGACTTTTCGGCTTGAAATATATCTATACTACAAGCTCCCAGGCCTCATTAATTCACATTTCTGGTATAGAATGTTTTGCCAAAGGAGAGGAAAATTCAGATTGTTTTAAATATATCACGTAGATTATGGCAAGGAGTCTGCTTCTGCAACAACGCTGTTTTTTTTTGCAACAACGTCGCAAAAGGAGATCCGTGGCTTCCCACTTCGGTCATCGATTTGTTTAAATCTCGTTCAAAAGTTGATCTCCGAATTGCCCGTTGTGTGAATATCGTTAACTAGGGGCCTGGTGCCGCTACGCGGCCGCTAAATACTGAAAGGGAACTGCTCGTAAGAAATCATAGAACAACCACGTTCAAGTTATTTATTATAATTGAATAGCAACTTGAATTGACAATAAATTTTGAAAGAAGATATAACATGCTCTGAAACTTTGGAAATTGAAATTGGAATTTTGAATTTATCATCATTTAATAACAATTTAAATTTATAATCTGGAAAAATTAAATTATTCCGGAAAATAATTTCGGACTTTTAAATGTGAAGTGCCAGTATTGTGATGCCTTGCATTTCAAAAAAGAGGAGGTGAACGGCCATTTTAACAGATGTTGTCATAATGGTCATCTCAGACTTGCCGAGCCTGGAATTAATGACCAACTTCGCGACCTCTTCTCCTAACCCATTTTCATGACCAGCATTTTGAGGAACAACAGTTATATAGCTTTTGCATCTCTGTCTGCTTCCAAAGCTCACATAATTTTGAACCAAATCTTCTGCTATCGAATAAGGAAAATCATGGAGAATTTAAGTTTTATGTTCACCAGCTTCTCGAAAGAAAAATAAAATTTCCAAGGAAGACTGCAACGTCGCAAATGGAGAAACGTCGTCTCTCATTTTGCCCAAAAATATGTTTGTATAAAATCGAAGGCATTATGACTGGCCTCTCTCAACTTATATTCGTATGTAACGATAAACAATGGGACGCGTTTGCTCCGGCGCCTTGATACAACTATACAACCTCGACGGATGTCCGTATTGCGTTCAAAAAATTGAAGGCGTTTTGACTGCCTGCTAGTTGACCTGCATAATACCTGTAGTTGATTCGATCGACAAACGCGTTGGTCGGCGGTAACGGGGACTTGATGCATTTTTTTAAACTTGATGGATGTCCGTATCGCACCGACTGAAGTGCGAAACCACGTATCTCCATTGCGGTGTTTCAAAATTTCCGTTCTTAATTCATCTCTTCAATATTAAGCTTTAGTATTAATATATCTCAATATAATAAATTTATAAGAATCTCGTTCATTAACATCATAAATGCTCCGTCGAAACGAATACGGCAAATCACGCACCAGTCACATTTCGCCACGCCGCTCGATGCGCCGCAAGGAGGGGTTGCGAAAAACATGCCCACGCCTCGCAGGACGCCCACGCTTTGAATACGGATTTTCCAGGACTGAAGACAAAAAAATTGCGAGACAACGACGGTCGACGGTGCACTACGCTTCCGCAGTAAATCCATCATCCACGGCCATTTCCAGAGAAACGAACAAACCGGGCAGCCGAGTCATCAGACCGAAGAAAAATAGGACGGGAAAAGGAAAAACCGCGCATCTCCCGACGGGACCAACGTGACAACCGTTTTTCCCGAGGGGGCGAGGGGGGCCGGGCACGCCGGCCGATCCCTATATTTTTCCCGCCGTCGGGGGACCGGGCGGACGGTCGAGCCGGTACGGATCGGCCCGGCGGTTCGCGCTGAATTTTGACGCAAAGAAAAGGCTTACGGAATTATATATAGATGATGGTGATGATTTAGGTAAAATTTTGAAGTACGCTTCCGCCGTAACTCCATCATCCACGGCGATTTCCATGACGACAAACGCCTCGGGCAGCCGAATTATCAGCTGACCGAAAAAAGGCCCGGAAATAACGGAAAATCGCGCATCTCCCGACGGGACGAACGGGGTAACCGATGTTTCAAAGGGCGGAAGGGGCGCGGGACCCGCCGCGCGATCCCTCTATTTTTCCCGCCATCGGAGGACCGGGACGGTCAACCCGGTACCACCCGCCGGCGATCCCCGCTGAATTTTCACCCGAAGGATCGGGCTTACGGAATTATATATTGTGATGATGATTACATGAGTACGATTATGATTATGCTGATTATGAATCTCTGTTACATTCCAGGAAAAGCTTTCCGACTCAATTCGACGAGCCAGCGCCAAAATAGGAGCTACAATAGGATTCCAAGAGGACCTCACACTCAAGACGGACGATGTAACTGACGGCGAGGCACAGATAGTCGAGGGAAAGTTGACAGTCAAAGATGATGCTCTTTACACAGAAAACGAAAGCTCAAAATTATAATATATGATAAGCTTTGCATTAGGTATAGTTCAAGACTGAAACCCCATGTGATTTCTTGTGATCCTCTCCTGCCGTGATAGCGGGGAGAGCAGTGAACGCATGTTGGGATGAACCTCGAGATACATAAATGCATGTGCTAACCATGGCTCATACAGAAATCCACTTACTGCTCTCTTTGTTATCACGGCAGTCTTATTTGTGCGCCATCGTCACTATGGTTGGGGCCGGTAATTTTTCTTTTCTCGGTGTTGAGGCAAACTTCAATGGCTAAAGGTCACCAACATACATTGAAGGGCTCGGAGAGCAAAGCGTGTAAGTGCAGTTTTTGCTGTTTCGAGAAATACGTTTTTGAGGTTTCGAAATCACATGGATCCTGTGGCAGAAAGAAAGTTCAAACTGACTTTTTGATGCTTAATAGTTAGATTTTGGGAGCAAATTTTTCACAGGATATGAATTGGATTGCATTTTGCAAAAAGGAACCACTAGCATTGCAATGATGCTAAGATTGTGCAACTTCATATTTTGCAATAAAATTGCGGAAATCGTGACAAACTATGAAATTTAGATGGTAATTTTTGTCTTAAATTTACAGTTTTTAGCGAATAAATAGAAACTATTGATGGATAATCGGGTTTTTCCTTCAAGACAAAAGAAGTTGCACAATCTTAGCAACATTGGAATGCTAGTGCCTCCTTTTTGCAAAATGCAATCCAATTAAGACTGGTTTTACTTGAAATCATTAATATCTCAATTTTTTCAAAAACTGCTCTCATGCGCCTTGTCCTCCAATCCCTTCATTATAATTAATCGCAATAAATTGTTGCCTCTTCCTAAATGCCTTAATGTGTTTACAGCTTGCATTAAGGGGGAAAAATCATAAATTTTATCATTCATTTCTGGAAAAAATCTTCTAGAAATTTAATTTTGAAGTAAAAATTATGAAAAGAAAAATGTATTGGCATTTTCGCTTTTAATTTGATTTATAAAGATGTAAGATTCCTTTTTTCTAGCATTTTTCGCGCGAAGTCAATAGATTAAGAAACTTATGAATACGGATTGTGACAATGCAGTGGAGAATATGCACGAGAAAATTCGATTGCCTTTCATGAAAATGCTTCATGATCTGAGTTCGTAGTGTTATTGCAATTTCTCCTCATTTCGGATTTAACATAATTACACTTCTTTTTCGTGAAATTTGCAGGAGCAAATTTCCCATATCCCACGTAGCATAGTAATCGCGACAGCGATTTGATCGGAACTGTATCGCAATTTTATCAAAGTCGATTTACTGCAATGTAATCTGATAAAAAATTGCGATAAAATGCGATTTCGTCGCATTTTGCGATAAAATGGCGATTTATCATTGCGAACGAGAAATCGTGGTAGTTTGAGATAAAATTTCGATTTGATCGAATACGATTGTATAGAGATGAAATTGCGATAAGGTTGATGATCATCGCTATCTGTTGATAATCTTAGCGATTTTATCGCCAAAAAATCGTGAAAAAATTGCAACACAATTTCTAAAAATCGCGATTTTTCTGTTGAAAACTGCTATCCCTGGTAAAAATTGGCAGTAGTCTGTCTTCCAAAATACCATAGACCTACATGCAGCCGGCTGTAAGATTTCCAATTTTCTTATAGCCTTTTATAGCCGATGACGATTAAGCAACAGCCTGGCGATAAAGTGCTAAACGTTGCTAATTACGATGCTAGAACTTAGTGACTACCACTCTCTTTTTGGGCCGTAGTATCTTGATTTATTTTGCGAGGAAAGCTCCGTACTTTTGAAGGATGCCTGCCATTCCTAATATGTTGGAGCGTCTTCAATTTCGTATGATACTGTGCAATACCTCTGGTATGAAATAGTTGCTTCAAGCGCCGTGGTTCGCTGCGGAGCGGCGCGGCGGGCGGGCAGCAGCGCGAAAAGCGCATTGGCGCCTACAAACCTAACAGGGATTCTTCACGCATTGCGCAATGCGTGAAGTATCCCTGTTAGGTTTGTAGGCGCCAGTTCGTCGCCGCTCTGCTTTGTGTTAGGCTCTAATATTTAATCTCAAGGAGTCAGCGTTTTTTAACTCATGACTTTGAAATGTTTGCACACTCAGTATGGATTATTTTCATTTTAATTGATGAAAAAAAATATGTAGTAAAGGAAAATATAATGTGCATTTTGTAAATATTAAGGTGATTCCGTACAAACTTAAGGATTTGCAAAGCACACGAAATTCTACACAATTTCTTATAGCCTTTTATAGCCGATGGCGAAGAAGCAATAGCCAGGCGATAAAGTGTAAAGCCCGGCGATAGGAACTATAGCCCGGCTGTATAATTTTTTATCGCTTCGTGTAGCCCGGCCGTAAAATTTTTTTCCACTTCCTGCAGCCAACTATAAGGTTTTCTATCGCCTTCTTCAGTCGGCATAAGAATTCCGATGGTATTTTGAAACGCAGGTCCTATCGCCAATTTTTACCAGGGATACATACTTGGGATGGGAACTTTAATTTTTACTCTATCCAGGCTACTCCAGGCGAGGATATTCTAGTGCTCAGTATACCTACTTCGTTGCAGTGGCGTGGCCTGCTTTGCGATACATCGATTGGTCTACCATTTAAATCAATGGAAAAGGATCGATAAACAGGGTATTCACAACGAACATCTTGATGATCAATTCTCTACCATAGCTTCAAACAGAAAAATATCGATAATCGATCATTCACGTCTCGCCACTGCTTCTTAGTCACCATTTACGGTTGGCATCAAATTTCACTAACACCGCAATCACACGCTGAATGTGGGAGCTGAATGTGGAAGTCATCGGCCCGATGCCTGAATTTTGCGCGTGACGCGCAAAATTCACCAACGATTCTCAGCAACCATCGGACCAATTTTGAATTTGTCTGAACTATTCGAGTAGATTTAATACACATCTGGTTGAAAATAACTCGAATTTGCTAAATTTCAGCCGTTGGGCGATGACTGTTGACTTCCACATTCAGCTGCTAAATTCAGCGTCTGATTGCGGCATAACTTGCAAATCGACGGTGAAACTACCAGACCAACTAAGTATCTTGTTTGCGGTGTTTAAAAAGCTCTGCTTCCAATTTATTTTTTTGAAAAAGACCAAATCAGAATCATTCCTTGAAGTTTTCAGAGAGTTTTCCTCGCAGAAAAAAGAAAAATCATGGAAGTTTTCAAGAATTGATGTGAAAGGTATTCTATTTATGAAATAAAGTATGTCAGGAAGTCTAGTATCGTAGCAAACCGAGATACGTGCTCTGGTAATTTCATCGTCGAAATGATGGATTGTATGTATAGGCATCAAATATTAAAATAATTATGATGCTCGGATCTTATATATGTTCCTGATTTGGTCGAGGAGCTTCAAATCCCATCCCATGAATTAGTTGAAAGCTAGATTACAAGCTTCCGACCTATGTGCTAAAATAATTTTGTACCTGTAACTATATGCTGGTGCCCGTCACATGCCTTAAATTTTGTTTAAATTGTTTTTAAAATGATACTTTTGGATAGTCATAAGCAATTCTAGTTTTGAGTTTTGATTCAATTTAACTGAATGTGAGAACATCTCTCTTTCAATAAAATGAAACCATTTTGATAGTTGAAATTTATCTGCTTCAGGAATTCTACCTGTACATATTTACCAAGAATTTTACAAACCGTCTCTATCAACAGATACTCTCTTAAATATTAAGAGAGAAATCTGAAAACCCTTTGAAGATATTTATTGGGATGAAGTTGTAAAATTTTGCTTCAATTTTTTGTGGTTTTTTACAAATAAATACCTAACACTTTTAATTCTTAAGTTTCACAAAGAATTGCCTTTATTGTTCATTCCACTTGTCGTATTTTTCCTTCCTCTTATTTTTCCTTTTTTCACACCGATTTTCTCATTATATTTTATACATTTTTAGATCTTTCTGAACACATTATTTTTCAATAAATTCTTACCGGTTCAATCATTGTAGGACATTTAGGTTTGAAGAAAATATCGATGGTGAAAAAGCAGAAGTGCGTATCTCGGAAATCATGATTTTCCAGGAGAGGAAAAAACTGTCTACATTCCTCTTTACTGTTGGAAGGGTAATAATTCTTGAGGTCAGCAAGAATAAGATGCTTTTTCAGACTCAATCAGCATTTTGAATTTTTTTCGCACTGTTAGAAAATACAGCAGCAATGCCGAGATTCGCTTTTTCGGCACTAAGAATTGACACTTCATCATGAGATACGCATATTTGCAATTAGTGTTTAAAACCTGTTTTTGGTGGATTTGGATCATTTAAAGACAAAGAGCGTTTCACGCATACAATTCCTCATCAGATATGCTTCTGAACTACCACTAAATCAAAAATTTTGTTGCACGGATGAGAATACAGTTTGAGTGAGAGGCATGACTAAGAATCAAAAATCAATAAAGAAATAAATGACTTAAAAAAGGTACAAAAGTGTATTCTTGAAGTGAATGAATTTAAAAAAAACTTAACAATGAAACTTTGTCACAGTAAAATAAAGTGATGATAGATTACAAAAAGAATACAGATAGGTGCGACTAACGCAGCCGATGAGTGTATTGCACTTGAGTGTAGGAGGTTGAAACTATCAACAATGTGAATTTTCCAGCCCATATTAGAATGTGTATAGCTATTATAGTAAACAACATCAGGCCACGAAGAGTTAGGAGTCACCTCCAAAAGGGCAGGATCTCCTGAAAATATATACGCTTTATTATTAAGGGTTGAAAAAAAAAGGTACTCACAATACTTAGCCACATTTTATGACACAAAACTTGGATACAGTATGGAAAACTCAAAATGAACCTCAGAAAAATATATATGTAAGAGCGCTATAATTACTCCGCCCCTCCCTTTTCAGTGGTAATAATAAAGAAACCTGCTTTTACTAGTTTAATAGTCAACCTAATATCCTTAGAAAACATAGTGGATGCTATAATTTCTGGAAAAAAGACAAATGGAAATAGAAATGAAGGATGTGTCCCATTAAGGAGGGTATTTTGGCACTAACTTTGGTCGAAAATTGAAACAGCTTAGAATAATGTCATGTACTGACAAATCGACTCTTATACATCTACCCTTTGAGAACATGTCCTTATTTGAGGTGTTTTTGAAAGGTTTTTGCCTAATTTACCAGTGCAAAGAAGTGAATTTTTGCAGTTTTCTCGAATAATTGCTCATTTTCGGTCCTAAATTATATTGTTATTGTATGAGCAAAAACGACTACCACTTTCTCCTTTAAATATGTTGTAATGGATGTACTAAAAATTAACATATTCGAATATGAAAGTGGTAGTCCCTTGTGCTGGCACTTAAAAGTGAACTTATGTCACTTTTCACAATCCTGGAAAATAAATAAATATACCTATGAAACTTATTCGAATTTCGTAGCAATGTTTTCAATTTCAGTAGTTGCAAAAGTAACCCTGTAAGTCTGCGAATAGTTTTTGAAATAATTAACAATACTTAGGTCACTAATGTAGTGCATGGTCCGTTTGATGGGCACACAGTGGTCAAGCTTCACCACAGCGGGGGCACAATGTGCTGGTGATTGGTTACTAATATTTCTATGATCAGTGAACTTCAACTGCTTGCAATTCCTTAGAGATACAACTGGTTCAGCTAAAATGAGTGTTTCTGAATGTTTTAGGGTCTGAACTAAAAGGCTAGCATGCTTAGACCCTCAAACCTTTTGGGCCAAAAAACCCCCCTTAAAGGGACACATCCGTTTTAAGATATGGATGGTTGAAGCCCTCAATCATGTATCTTGATCGTAGTGTTTCAAAACCTCCTCTCTGATTTCAGTTTTCTTTATGGAGAAGATATGAGAAGATATGTGTGTCAACATCATTCTTTTAAATTTCCTAGCATATTCTCCACACTGAAAATACAAATTTGGAAGTTTTTGAGGGATGATATTAAACATTTTAGCGCTTAAATTACAAAGAAAGTATGACGGGAAATCTGGGATGCGGTAAACGGGGATACATGGTTTGGTAATTTCATTGTCAATGCCCAAAAACCATAAAATACAGGGGAAAAATATGATACATCAAAAATACAAACCTTTATCACAGTCTAAAAGTAGAGAGCGGTTGAATTTCTTAAAAGTAGGAAAATTGTCATCTAGTCTTCGATCAATGCCTTTATGACGTTTGAGACACAAAGCACCCGCTGAAAAAAAATTTAACTGATCATGAAATCTGGCAAGATTAATCAAATTATAAAGATACACCGAGAATGCTATGTTTCTTCAAAAAGAAAAAAAAAAAAAAAAAAAAAAGGAATAAAAAAAAGTCTGTAGTCAAAAACTATACAATCAAGTTCATATTTTTACACAAACTGATTGCGCTATAACACTAAATATTTTTAATACTTTTCTTGCATTCTCATTTCCAAAATTTCATAAGTTATTCCGCAATAATCTTCCATATTTTATCCTCTTACAAGATAATACCCTGGATGAACAAGGAATTTCAAGTATTTTGAGCCAATTCACGAACATATATATAACTCACATATTAAAGCAGGCTAATGATTTTCTTCCTTCAATTGATAAGACGCTAACTTGAGCAAAATTTTTATAAATGGCAAAAGTTGGTTTGTTTCAGGAGACATGAACAGCAATGCAAGTAAAATATCAATTGAAAACAAGCTGACATCTCCAGCCCTCGGGTGTCGGATAAGGAAGCAATTCAATGTTCCCTCGAATAGTTTATCTATTAAATTTAATCGACCGGAGGCGAGTTGGAATATGGCAATGCCGTGAAAGCAAAAATTAACACATTTAAAATTAGCTGACTTCTTTTTAGATTTTTCATACCCTCACAATCGAGTAATTGATTAATTGACGTATAAAACTTTGAGCGCGTATAAAAACTGTTTCTTCATCGATAATTACCCAAAAGTTAAATGAAATGCGCTTGAAATGAGCCCGGATTTTATAAAATTCCTCATTTGAACTTTTCTTTCGTCCAGAAGTGTTTCAACAGAAACGGACCATTTGAAGTATGCGATAGATCGCAATATTTTTGCTTCCATCAAAGGGGTGAACCACAGATCTTTAGAGTAGTGACTGGATCGGAAGAAGTGATCATGCTTACGCATTGAATCGCTTAAAAATGAAAATTGGGTGCATACCTGCAGTGGGTCTGGGCTGTCCACGTAGAGTGAACTGGATTCCAGCAAGAACTCTGACATTCTTTTGTTCTTCTTCTTTAAGTCTATCAAATCCACCATGAGGCTCATCAGTTATGATTAATGGATTATAGAACTCAGGGCTATGAGGGTCATTCCCTCCATGCACAATGAACGCATACGTCAGACCACGCTGCATCCATAATTCAGGGATCAAATCCCCATTAATGTACCATGCAAGGCCGCTACTTGGGTTTCCTAAAAAGGGTGAAGAAAATTTATGAATGAACGCAACTCACAAAACAACAGTAAAGATGGAAAATATCTTGGAGGACAAAAAAAAAGACTAAGCATCTCATTTAATGTAAATTGTCTTTCCAGCATGAGCTAAGCCAAGTTGCGATGAGATGTAAGGTAAATTTCCGATTTAAACAAAAGAAATACAAGACAAAGAAAAGTGAATAGGTGTCTCACCTGTAATCCCTCTGTAGCCTCTTTTCCCTCCTGCAGGTCCCAGAGTGGCGGTGTAAGTTCGAAGAGTGCGGTCGATGATTCTTGTGGTTTCCCAAGGTTCCCTGTACATATTGGAAAAAATAGGTTCAGGACTCGTAAAATTTGAACATATTCATACTTTTAAACTAGGCATCTACCTCTAATTAAACCAATTCAATTAAAAACGACCAAAGTCTACCAATTTGAGGCGCATCACATTAAAATCAATCATTCAAATTGTAAAATGAAAATTCGTTCAGATGCTACTTGCAGCAATTGATTGAAGAAAAATACAGATGACTACCTCTGACTTCCCCTCCTGCTCAAATGAATTTAGGATAGGTGGGGGTAAGAGTACGAATGAGGTAAAAGTACGCACCTTAATTTTTTCACACGCTTTGTTTGAATTGAACGCTTTGTTTGAATATGATGGCACCAGGTGTTGGTTGTTGGCAACACGGAGTTTCACTTGTTGACAAAGTTTTGTGCGAGACGGATGTGTTTTGATGAAATTATGAAGCAAGTTCACTTTACATGCGAAAAAGATCAATTTTTTTAGTATTTGTATTGTCTGTTGTGAGTAGAATAGTTGATGGAAAAAATCGAACAGGCACCATATAAAAGTGTTACAGTGTTGTATAATCCGTAGTTGTTTTCACACCTTGGGCTCAAAGTTTTAGTTTATGTTGTCCAATTTTTACAAATGGGGTAAAAGTACGCAGCCAGAATGAGGCAAAAGTACGTGCCCAAAAGTGGGGCGTAGTGGGGGGGGGGGGTATAAAGGAACTTTAAAATAGAGGATGTAGGGAACTCATTATCTTAATACATTTTTATGTTCCTTTGTTCAATGCAATTAAACTTTTTTTTTCCTGCTTAAAAAAACTTGACTTCAAAAATTATTTGAGAGCTTGTGGAGACTGAATTTTTTTTTTTTTTTCAAAGTAAGAGGGTTTGAGACCAGTTTCAGTCGTTTTCCGGGATTTAACAGCGATTTGGAGCCCAGGAGATGTTTCTAAAAAAACATTTCACCTGCGTACTTTTGCCCCATTAAATGGGGCAAAAGTACTGAAACGAAAATTGAGCCCTAAACTTAAAAATTATTCATGTTCTCCTTGTACTGGGAGAATAGCGCGGATCGCTTGCCGGACAGCGGCTCAGCGGGGAGGAAATGTTGTGACGTCATAGGTTAGATTTTGCTCTTGTTTCCCGTGTGAACCGCGGCCAGCCCTAGATTGATCAGCACTTTTCGTGAGATGCTATTGGCGTAAAGGGGCAGGACGCGCGGGATGTAGGAAGCGGCGGTGCACGGTGACGCGCGTTTTCCGGAAAATTTCTAAACTCAGTCGCTCATGTTCGCCGGGATGGGAAATGTCGCGATTCCGTGTAATGTCCAGATGCACGTAAAATTCCATCCCTGAGTCCTCAAAGTGTTTTTCGGCGGTGTCGAATCAACCTCCGTAGACCTCTGGAATAGAGGATCAGCACATTAGAGTCGTCCGACCGTTGCCCCCGCCAAGTCACTGAGTGCGGTTCAACCCTTCCGTCAACGTTTTGAGTGAAAATTCGTCAGCAGCCTCCGCGAGACCCCCGGCATAGAGGATCAGCACATTAGAGTCGTCCGACCGTTGCCCCCGCCAAGTCCTGGTGTGCTAGCTGTAGTTTTTGTCTGTTTTTGAGTTTCGGTTGTTTTGGAGAGTTTATGGAAGTTTGGAAGATTTTGAAGAAGATTTAGTTGTGTTTTTCGGTTTCGTTGTTCTGAAATTTGATTCGTGTATTCTGTCTATGATTATTAAATCAATCAATCATTCATTTAATCAATCAATTGTTGTCTTGTCATCATTCAATCATGTGAGCTATCCGTGGCTCCTAAAATTCGCGGATTGGTGGAGACCTCGCCTTTTAGGCGCCCCCGAAATATTCACGCTCTTTACGCCCCCAGAGCGAGCCCGTGTCAAGTGCGTTGCCGGGCGAGTTTTAGCCCTTTCAGTACGCATTTTCAAATTTTTTTAAAAAAATCGTCACGGCCATGGATTTGATTTCTAAATTCGGACAATGAAGGGCATTTGTGCACGAGGGCTTGCAGTAGGTGCCTGACCACTTTTCCTGCCTTAAAAGTCTATTCGGTCACGAAAATACGGGAAAACCAAAAAATGCGTTCTCTTACCCCCACCTACCCTATTTACACGGAAAAAAGATAAAGAAAGTAGGAAGTCTTCTACAGATCGTTAGATTCTCTGGATTACAAAATGTCCTAATAATAACGCACATCCTCTTCAAGAAGCATTGTATAAAAGGAAGGATTCAGAATACTACTCCTAAATAATTTTAAAAAAATTAAATTGATTAATATTGTCCACTGATATTGAAAGAGTTTTGAAAGAGTCATTGTATCTTATTACCTTTTGTCCTTATTTGAGTATGAGAATTGGACGCAGTTATAAAAGGGTTCTTTAGGTACAAGCTCTATTGAAGTGGAGCCTCTTGGATACACATCATGGAAGAAAGGCTCTTTCTTCTTGTCCAAACGTCCAATTGCCCAGATCATGTGGCTTGTTCCGTTTGTTTTATACTCTTTGTCTCCAGGATCCGCTAAAATTGAAATGATAAAAAAAAAAAACCAACTAACTTAATAAACTGCATATAAAAATAAACCAATTTCAAACTTAAAGAGAGGAAATTTCACTAAAACAATGCTAGATCTTCATAAGGGGAAGAGGAGCTTAAAGGTGGAGAACATTTTTATTAAAATGTTACCAAACCGCAAAAAATGTTTTTATGTTACGAGCACAGTAAGTGAATGGATCAAGAGCGAATACAGCGATATAGAAACAGTGATACTGCTTTAAGAAAATCACATGATTACTATGATCCAAATAATATGGAAAAAAATTGATGGCTTACATGATATCAGTGTGCGCCGATAAGTAATTATTGTTACACCGTCAATTCGTTCTACCGTGTGCAATTGATTATTATCTTGCCCACCAACTAGTTCATCTCTACAAACACCTCGGTACTGGCCGAGTACTTTCACACACTAAAACAGAAAATATTAATAATTTTCAATACAAAACCTTCTAAGAAAGAAAGATAAAAAGAAAACAGTATTTTGCATAATGTCTACCACAGATAAATGTTCAATTTTAATTGGATTGAAAACTGGTTGGAATCAAGCATTAAAATTTGTTACTTCAAATTATTCATCACGTAGACTGACATCCCGGATACTCTTTCCAGCATTTACACTTGTTTCAGGAAAAAAAGAAAAACATGAGAATTTGAAGATTTTCAAATGCACTTTGCCAAGTTTGAAGTTGGATAATTCTTTGCTCGTCACTTCATTGATTCCGTCTTCAATTTTTCACAAAACCAAATACACTTTGGCTATGTCTGAAATAAGGTGAACCGTGTCTATTTTTCTGCTGGGTCAAAACTTCCATTAATCCTAAAGAATCTTTCATTACTGAGTGACTTCACTGCTTGTGCCCTCCATAAGAAGGTGAAAACTGAAATATAACTTTTCATACCGCTGCTTCAGCTGTTATATTGTAATCTGTTGCAGCTCCTCTTGCTCCGTCGATGTAAGCTATTGTTACATCTGCTCCAACCATTCGTGCTTTGTTTGATGCTCCACTCATTCCAAACGCTAAATAATCATCTTCTCCTGAAAACACAGGCAGTAAAACTTATATTGTAAAATTCACTTTCCAGTCAAAAAAAAGTTCAAGAGTACCTAATCAAAATTGAAATACAAGAATTTTGATTTTGTTTCTTTCAATAAATAAAAAAGAAAGCATGAAATAAAAATTAGACACAAATTCTGTAATGATAGATCTTCTTTGTATTGTAAGTAAGAAAAAGATTCAAAGAAAATAAAAAATACTTGGTGCCAGGAATTGAGGAAAAAATATCCACAGTTTCTACAGTTTTATTGTTTTTTTTTTTTTTTTTTTTTTTTTTTTTTTCCCCCTTGATAAATTTTACATAAATGGATAAGTAAAATCCATTGAGGGAGAAATGAGTGAAACCATGCAACTTGATTGTAAAACGAAAGATGGTAGCCGAAAGAAACCTCAAATACGTGGACAGAGATCCACAATGTAATAAAATAATAGAGCTGGTAGTGCAAACAACCAAACTTGAAGGTCTGCGATAATGATTCTCCACCAGAATGATGGAATAATGATTCAGCATCATATCAGGGAAAACAGAATAGGTATTTAATGCATGTTGTTTCACTTTCAGATCTGATTCTACATGTCAGGTGACAGAGGAATAAAATTATGCAAGGGTAATGACAAAAATTGAAATATTAGCATGTGAAAACAAGGATGAATATGGGACCAGCCCTTAAGATGAAATACAGTCAAACTAATTTGATCATTAGTAAAAAGTATATTTGTAGTTTAGATTCAGGAAATAATTGTAAAGGTAACTCTCATCTTCCGCCAGACAAAAAAAAATTAAAGGTTACTTTACCTATCTGCCCAGCAAGCTGTATGGTTATCTGAGGTCCAAAAATTTCCCAACTAGCTTGGAAATCTCTATGAAGTTGTATGCAATTAGGCAGGGATGATTTGTAAGCCTGAAACAATAAACCATTATCTATACAATATAAAGTAATGAAGTAATAAGCAACAGAATGTATTAATTACCAACAGAGACAAATTCTACAGTTGCAGAAAAGTATACTCAACCCCTCAAAAACTTAAAATATTTGCACAATTAGGCAAAGTTTCACTGATGTAATTACAGAAATACAGTATAAGACATCATTTACTGGTGAATGACGTCTGTCACATGTTTCAATAGGCAATATCTCTGTTAAAATTTGACCTTTTTTGGTGTTTGGGCAGACCTTGTAAATTTTTGCTTATCCATACTTTAGCTTAAGCCATCAATACACAATTTTGTGCCCATGGCGACTGGCCTGTTGAGCTACAATTTTAAAAGAGTTACGAGCAATATGGAGAATAGAGGAGAAGGTATTCTGATGATTTTTATGACTATCTTTAATTTTCAGCGACTTAAAATTGAAATCCTGATTTCTAAGATAAAAATGATGACCCTATTTGTTAACATGATATAGACCACATTAACATGCTTAGACCTACAACATACCATTTCCAAGACACTGCAACAAGCCAGAGATGCAGAGAGTGCTTAAACATGGCGCTGGAATTCCTTGAGCTTGTGAGGAAATTTTTTGGGGCAAGGATTTTTTTTTAAAAAGCAAAAAGAGAAAAAAATTGTGAAAGCCCACCTGTTAAGGTAAAGAAATTTAACCCCTTGAAGTGTCCTTTTCTCGATTTTTTCTTGATGCAAGAAAAAAATTTGGTTTGCAGCAATAATTCATAAGTTGAACTTATTTTTATCGGGCTGCATTATGTTAATGAAATTACCTTTCTCCCGATCACTTTTTATCCGGTTTTCAGACGATAGCTATTTCAATGTTAATCATCATCATCAGGTCACTTCGACTTCGATTTGGTAAGCACTAACAGTCACATCTTATATTGTTAAAATTAACCACGAGTATGCACCGGTGCACCCACAAGTATTTTAAAAGTGTTTTATAGTCAATTTTAGTAAATTTTAACAATATAAGATGTGACTGTTAGTGTTTACCGAATCGAAGTCGAAGTGACCTGATGATGATGATTAACATCGAAATAGCTATTGTCTGAAAACCGGATAAAAAGTGATCGGGAGAAAGGTAATTTCATCAACAATTCATAAGTACTTTACAACGAGGAATTCTGAGGAACGCTTAATCATACAGGGCTAAAAGGACGTTGCACATGAAGCATTCCACGAAGAGGATCATTAAAAGAGGATGCTTACGTAAGTTTTGGTCAGAGATGGGGGGACATTTGGATTGTCGGGTATGGTGGCTGACCCATAATTTTCTCCTGTGGCAACATTGAAAATGCTAAACCAGTCAATGTCAAATATTGTCAACTGCCCAGGGAGTTCAACATTGATTGTCTCTTCGACATACACTCGCAAAGGGTCAAGGCTGTAAACATACGATGAAATAAATCATATTAAAAATGGCAACCACCTGTAAAGCTTTCATAAATACATTCTGTTAACAAACTATTATTGGAAACATGAAGTTTTTGACAAATAATGCAGCTAACAATCACGCTTTCTGTGCCAGCACAGATATTCTATTGCTGACATAGCACCTTAGGATTAACAGTTAAATGTTTGAATTTACAAAATACAGGGTCACTTTACTAAAATCACTTACAGAGCAAAGAGGACCTTTCTTTGTTGTAAAAAGCTTTCCTCTTTTTACAACAAAGGGAACGCCTTTTAATTAGCCAAGCAGAAAAAAATTTCATCAGAGAAAAAGTTGAATTGGTACCCATCTGTTCGACATTGTGTTGAGGATCATTTACCATTTAATGATAATTTATGCTGCATGCAGGAGAATAAAACTTTCTTCGGTTTTCCTCAGAAGACTACTCATGGATTACATAGAAATTTGGAGTCGACTGAATTTCGACATTGTCTGTTATGATGTTCCTGAGCACCATGAGCTGACTTTCTGAGTGCAAATCTTGAGAGAAGAAGAGTTGAAAAAATAATTTTTCCAATAAAAATGTAGGGCTGTTGCTATGTGTATAGACGCTGTGCCGAGAGGCTGTAACATTTCTAATAGAAGTTGGGTGTAAAAACATTTAAAATTCACTTTTTAGTCCCATTTTTCACTAGATTGACACAAAGGAAATTCGATATTATACCTCATCAAGCATACAGAACATCAAATCAAATGATGGTGAAATTAAGCCAACGCCAAATTTCTTGATAATCTGTTTATTAGGTAGTCCTTTGACTAATATCTTCAGAGTAAATTTAGTTTTGACAAAACTTAAATGGTTGACTGACTTCTCTTCTAATCAGTGGGGTCCCTTTGACACATGTGAAATATGGATCTAGCTTGAGGCTGGGAAGGAAAGTAGAAAAAACAATAGAAACACAAGTAGAAGAGTTTTGTAATCATTTTAAGTCTTACTATCCGTATTCATCGGGTACTTTGTGTCCTTTGGTTGATGGTAAAGGCCCAACGCCAACCCAAAAGTAAGTGTCAGTTCCTGCGCCATTATACGTGAACTTCGGAATGCGAATAGTTTTTGCATCAATCAGCTGCAATGGGCCAGAGCTGACACCATGAGAGCGAGAGCTGAGCTGGGTGATTTCTTGAGGTTTAGGTGGCAGAAATTCATCTGGTATGTAGACATCGCCAAAGGTGCTCTGAATCAAAGGATTAGGAAATTCAAAGTGAAAAACCAAGATTAAAAAATCTGCCATAATAACAGAGGCTGAGTTATGAACCAAATTTCATTATGTAATCTAAACAAGAGAAATACTCGAAGGCTTTCACTGCATATTGACACCCCAAGTAGGAGAAACTATTTTCATTCAGTTTGTTTTGAATGCTATGACTACTCTGGGTATAAGTGTACTACTGTGATCATAATCAACCTGTCTATCCTTCTCCTTGGCTTTTTTTTTCATTCTGCTTTTCTGTTTCTGAGAGAACTCATGAATTCATGATTTAATGATCATGTTGAAAATTTCTGCCCGTGTTTCCTTGGGACTATAGGGTTCTCAAAGCCCTGAACCTCCTTCACTTGCAAAAATCAAAGCCTCTTAATTTACCTTCTATGACTGAATACATTTTTATTTTCAGTAAATAAATTAAAAGGAAAATTTTTAATTTTTTCCAGAATATTGCAAAAACCAATCTGTATAATCATTTTGTTCTCGTGAATAAAATTCTTAGCATTTCTGAGTAGATTTTTTGTTTACATAACTGAGAGGAATATTGTGGCTTGAACAGGTACCTACTTGAGGACAACTGGACCGCGTTAAGCAGCGAGGAGCCAAGCCACATCAGATGTTGTCACACTTGGACCGCGTTAAACAGAAAGGAACCAAGCCACATCCGCTATTGCCCAATTTAATTGAACGAATTAATTTTTTACATGAAAACGGTTGGGCGGATTTTCGTGAAAGTTTCAGTGAATTTTGTCCATAGTACGACGCAAATTCCTTAAAATTTTCAAAAGAATCCGCACAAACGTTCTCTCGTAAAAAATTGACTTGGCCAGTTAAATTTGGCAACAGCTGATGTGGCTTGGTTCTTTTCTGTTAAACGCGGTCCATTTAATCTGGCGATTTGATTATACATGAAAACGGTTGAACGGATTTTTTTGCAAATTCCAGTGAATTTTCTGGATATTGCGAAGCAAATTCCTTAACCCTAGTAGCAGAACCATAGAAGGAAAAGTTAAAGATTATGTACGAAAGTTAATTTTAAAAGAAAAAAGAAAAGAAAGGTTTGAGTTAATTAAGAAAAATCCAACCAAGCGTGCTCTTAAGAAAATTGAATTGCTCAGTTAAATTTGGCAACAGCTGTGTGGCTTGGTTCCTTTCTGCTAAACGCGGTCCGACTTGAAGTGCTTGGTTCGTAAATGATACAACATCTAAAACGTCAAAAACTGTTTGATCGCATTTTTTATTTTATTTTTTCTGGTTGACGCAACTTTCCTTTTTTCTCCCTAAGAAAGAGCCTCCCAAAATTTCGCCCCTTTTTCGGTATTCGATTTGACCATTGAACCAAGGAACATTCGAGAGTTGCCAAATTTCCTTCGATAAAATGTTTATTTATGCGGAACACTACCTTTAATTACCTTTCCTTTTAATTTTCAGAAATTTCAGGTAAATTTACGAACAAAATCATCTGAGAAATTGGAAGGAAAATATTCATAGGTTTACCGGGAAATTCGTATTTTATCAAAGGAAATTTGGCCACACCCGAAAATTCATACGGCGTTTTTCCTTAGCATGGCACAATACGCAGTCTCTCAGACGTAAGGGTGTATCTCCATTTCCGCACGAGCCCCATACTGCTGTGCTGAGGAAGAACACTGTATGAGCATTCGAGAGTTGCCAAATTTCCCTCGATAAAACATTTATTTTCAACGACATTCATGCACATTTTCCTTTGACATTTTCAGATATTTCAGAGTAAACTGCGTACAAAATTGTCGGAAGATTTCGAAAAGAAATATTCATTAATTTTCCAGTAATTTCGGTTTTTATCAAGGGAAACTTGACAACTGCAAAAGGCTCATACAGCGTTCTTCCTTAACACGGTAGCATGAGGCATGGATTTTTATGTAGAACTTCACGTGGAAAACTGTTGCGCCTGAGAGGCGACGAATAGGACGTATTTATGAATTCAGGGACCCTGAACAGGTACAGGAAGAAATTTCTGAAATTACGCTCATCTCTTCCAAATTTCATTCTCAACTACTTAAAAGGCATTGAGATGAAACGCAGTGTTATCAAAGTATGCTACATAAAGAGAAACTTCAGTATTTTGCATCACTGAAAAGAGGTATAAATGAGAGCCTAAGAAAATAATGAAAAACTGACTTGACTTACCTGCTTTGTTAGATCATATATTGCAAACCATTTGATGTCCGTAAGCTTCTTCCCATCTGATAAAGAAATAGTTATATCCTTATTGAAATAACGCCCCAGAACATCAGTCCTAAAATGATTCACAATATAAGTAAAGGGACAATTTTTCAAATAGGCATTGGAATACTTTAATTAATTGAAGAACAGTGAATGTATGCATCCTTGAAGATTATACAGGGTTATTCAAAAGTCACGCACCCCTGGCTGAAACTTTAGTTCTAATTATGATATCGATTTGCGGTTAAAGATGTTTCTCCTCATATCGAGGGGGAAACTTTTTTAGGTATTTTCCAGTTTTTGATCCCCTCGGGGGGATGGGGGTGGGGGTAGCTCAATTATTTCAAACAGCCACCCCCCTCATGGCCATTGGTGCGTGACTTTTGAATAACCCTGTATAAAAATAAATCTTCAGCATCCAGAAATAAATTAAAGTGTACCTACTTTTTTACTGTTGATTCGTTGACGGGCATGTAATATTAAAAACACATTGGCCATGTATCGGACCATATATAAACGACGTTTGTGATGTTTAAAATTCTCTGCTTCCATTTTATTTTTTTAAAAGAGGACACAACATAATTCTTCATTCAACATCATTCATTGAAGGTTTCACAGATTTTTTACAGATTTTAGATTAGAAAAATAAAGGCATATTAAAGTACGTAAATAACTTACTTTCCATATTCATTTGGAACGATGAAACCTACAGGACCTGGTCGATTGTTGGTTCCAGCCCAAAAAAAAGTATCTACGCCATTACCATCATAATTAAAGTTTGCAATTAGAAGGGAAGTCTCATTGATAGCAAACACGTCCCCAGATACTTGATGATGATAGGAATTTAATTTTCCTATTGAGTTTCCGCGGTACTGCTCAGATTCACAACAGCAACATTCTGGAAAATAGAAAGTCCAATAAATACAAGGAAATACCTCTAAGCTGTTGAAAATTAAGTATAATCTACTATGAACAGCTTTGAAAAAATAGAGGAAACTTACTCAATAGCTTTGGTACGTATGTATGAATTTGTTAATTTATTCCAGCCTCAAATTAAAAAATTGCCCAGTTTTAAGACCTGACTGATGCAAAATATGGCATGTCTACCGAAAGCAGATCCCAGCTGTTCGTCAGAGTGACTTTGGTCTTACCCTTACCAAATAATGAGGTAATTCTACTGGAGATTTTTTCGGTGAGAAGAGATATCACTCTGCTAGATAAAAGTGTATGTTCGAAAAACATTCATTAGGGCAATGGCATAGAAGAAAACAAAATTGAAAAAATAGGTACCAGGATGGTCAACTATTGTTGGGTCTCCACTGTTCCGAGAGGAGATCAAAGCCCAAAAAAACCAAAAAATCGCATAAGAGATACAAAAGGAGCTCTGGGAGTTTCAATGCGAGACTGTAATGGCGTATTCATCCAGTCTCCTTCTCAATAAAAACAAAAAATGTGCAACCGTCTACTTTCTTATACGGTAGTTTAAGTCTCCGCTCTCACATGCAACAGTTGGAATCGCTAGGTTAAGTTCTCATGTGGCTAGTTCCTTTCTCACAGGATAGTTCATTTGATTGAGTAAGAGGGTAAGAAAAAAGGACACAAATACCCTGAAAAGGCAATCGTGGGGATATTGGAAGACTTCAGCATGAGATAAAAATTCATTGTTGCTGGAATGAATAATTAGTGAAAGTTATGGTTAGGATTCAAAGATATGATGACAGAACTTACTGATCAAGAGCGCAATAATGAGCACATATGGAACAGAAATCTTCATTATTAAGGGTCGTGAAATGAAAAGAAACACATTTTCTTGAATTCACTTGATATGAATTGACAGCTGGATACAAGAAGGAAGAGTTGAAAGCATTATGTCGCTGATGCTGATACACGGTGATACAGATACGGTAGTTAGAAAGTTTCGTGACCTTATCATTTTGCAAAAACATTTCCGACAACGCATCAGCAACTTTCTGATTGGTCCTTGCGCTCCACATGCGTCATACACAGACGCGGAAGCGCCAGTTTTCAAAATGACGGACTTCTTCACCGTGTCCGTCCAATTCGGCTTTAAGGTGATTCGTCAAGCTCAAAAGAAGTGGTCGAACTGGCATGCGATATATCGCATCTTTTAGGTCAAAAATCTCGGCAGATTTTGAATTTTCAGTAAAGAAAAGGACGATAGCCCCTGCGCATGAGCCTAAAGAATCATTCTAAACCTTAAAATCGGCAAAATTCAGAGAAATGAAAGCAGGATAGTGTTTGGAAAAAAACCTCGCATTCGATTCAGCTATCGATTTCGGTATCGAATGCGAGGTTTTTTTCCAAACACTCTCCTGTTTTCATTTCTCTGAATTTTGCCGATTTTTGGGTTTAGAATGATTCTTCAGGCTCATGTGCAGGGGCTATCGTCCTTTTTTTTGCTGAAAATTCAAAATCTGCCGAGATTTTTTACCTAAAAGATGCGATATATCGCATGCCAGTTGGACTACATTTTGCAATTTGGAACTATAAATTCTAGCCCGGTTTAAAAACAACGTATGTGGCATTAGTTTCACTATGCACATAAGTGTTTCTCCAGAAGAGCCAGAATTTATAGTTCCAAATTGCAAAATGCAGTTCAGTTCGACCACGTCACTTGAGCTTGACGAATCACCTTAAAGAAAAACTTTTTGAGAATGTCTTCAAAATTACGCACTTATAAAGTGCGACAGAAGATCAGGATTCAACATGGCTATATACTCTGCCCAACTAATTTAGCGTGGAGTTCCTACCTACAAATGGATTTCCGACTTTTCAGAAAAAAATACCGAAGAAAAAACCGTAGGACATTATCTAAGTTGGGAAGCATTTGAAACTCACATCGAGATTTGAGATGATGACATCCGTTCAATGCAAAGGTCAACTAAACCTTCAACAATGCTATTTCCCCATTTATCATTCTCGCACAAAAATGTTCAAGTGGATATTTTTTCATGGTTTATACAAAACGCTCGCTTGAAAATTAGGTACATTTAAAAGGTTTTATGTGGCAGGAAGTTTTTTTTTTTTTTTTTGCTTTCTTTTTTCTATGAAAAAAGATGATTTGCACCAAATATTTTTAGACGAGATTTTAAGATAAACACTTTGCCAAACTGCTGCTGCTAGAAAAGAAGGACTCTGGGGAGGACCCACAAAAAATTCAAAAATTTAAAGTCCCTCATATGTTATTTCAAGTGTATTTAGGACTTCCCGTCTCTGAGTCTATTCTATTTGCGTCACAATTGAGGCCAACTTCACGCTATCTGTCAATAAGTTTACGCATAGTCTATTGGTGTAACAAAGTTCATGGAGCCATATTTTGTGTTTTCGAGTTGATAACAATTCGTGCTCCCCGGTAGGTAAGTTGCCTATGCAGCAAAATTGAAGGCGAACTTCGGATCGACGAAACCTGCAAAATATCGTTTATAGGTTCAATCAAAGATTACAGAGCTATGTAAATTTGAGTTTTTCGAACAGATTACTACTCGCATTACGCGGCATGTGTGTTGCCTAGGGGGCAAAATTGAAGGCGAACTTTAGACGGACGATACCTACCAATACTACAACCAGGCATTTGAGGCGCCTCATGAGGTTATGCTGTACAGCATCGACTCGTAGCTTCAGCATCAATGCCGTATGCCCAGGTAGCGGCCGTTCGGGCATGCGGCGCCGAGCCTTGCGAGTGTGCTCCTTTGACGTGCTGCATCTGAGCAATGAGTGCGAGAGAGAGAAAGGACAAAACAGCGTATAGACCAATCGAAGTTGAGCCTTAGTACCCGGTTAAGGCCGTTCTTTCCAGGGCTCATGGTCGGAAAACACTCCGGTGCTTTTTCGGGGCACCCGGATTCGGGCTCGCCACTACCACCGCGGACCAAATTACGAGGCCCAGCCTGTATTTTTGCGAGTGTGTTTGTGTCCCTTTTACGAGCCGCGGGTTGCCGCATCTGATCAATGAGTGGGAGAGAGATAGACGATAAAACGGCGCGCCGGCTTGTCAAAGCATATGCGCTCAACCTGCCGGCGCCGCCTTCGGGCATTGAAGCCCTATGCTGGAGAGCCGACCGAGCCAGCCTCAAGCGCTGATGCTGAGGTGTGATGCTGGCTCAGGGACCAACATGGGCCTCAGCCTCTGAGGCCGGACCGTCGGCTTGCGGCCCGATACGGCCTCAATTTTCGGACCCGCCACCCAGCTTAATTACCGACAGGGCTGTCTCAGAAGACCGCGACCCTCGGACTCGGCGATGAATTCGCGGAACACCCCTTCGTCTTGGCGGCGGCCCACCCCTCGCCGAGAAGTTCTTAGAAGTGGACGCCGAGGAAGGGTTGAAAACACAGCCCGGTGCAATTAGCCGACCGGCAGCCGGGCTCGGGGCGCTGGCGTCCGACGTGTCTGCTAATTGAAGCCGCCTCAATTTTGATGCTGGACTCAGCGTCAAAACTGTTGCAGCATCAGAAAAGGAGCCGGGAGTCGGCTTCACCAGGTGAAGCCGCCTCAACGGCATATGCGCTCCCCCGGCGCACTGATCGACGCGGCATGAAAGTCCGCGCCGGGCCTCCACCTCGCGCGCCGATGCGGCTCCGTTTATGATGCTCCCTCAAACCTCAGCTCTAAATCCCTGACTACAACAACATTCTTCAGTCAAAGCATAATACTATTCGTGCTCCGCGGTATGTTTGTTGCCTATGCGGCGAAATTGAAGGCGAAAACTGAGTGAGCTATATTTGGCAATAGGTTAATGCATTGTTTATTTGTTCAAGCAAAGCCTATTGGAGAGAGATAACTGAACATTTTTGAATAGATAACTTCTGAGATAGATTTTTTGCTTATGCGCTGAAATAGTGAAATCAAAGGTGGGATTCAGCTTGACTGTATCTGAACCAGCAGAGACGCACGTCGTGTATGGCTTCCGTCAAGACATGCAGAGGACGAGGGCATACTTATCGTACTCCTTTCTCATCTTTCTCTATTTTTTCTCATAGATTTTCCTTCCTTTCAGTTTTAGCGCCCCTATTGCTGTGATTACGCCCGGTGCAGTCGCTCCTGCTGTGCCAAATTTCATCCGGCCCTGTTTAAATATATTTATCCTTTATTTCCAAATATTTTCAGTTCTACGTCGACGAATAAATTCGAGAGATCCTCCGATTGAAAGGTCCAATTAGCATACGATCATATTTTTTTTTTTTTTTTTTTTTTTTTTTTTTTTTGGGGGGGGGGACTTCTTTTCTCAACAGTTTTTCTTAAAACAATGTTAAGAGGAAATTTTGACTGGTTTTAGTGCCATTTTTATTTTTTACAAGTATTAAAAGCTAACTGGAGATTTTCAAACGTTATAATGCATGCATAATGCAAATAGGTGTATGAAACTCATTTTTTGAAACGCCAAATTGCGCCAAAGATAAGAATTGAACATTTGAACTGTCCCGCCTTGCGTTTCTTCAGTGTGTCTCTTTCTGAAGTCTTAAAGACATGGAAATCCCAGATGAATCATATAATGCTAATTTGTGATTCTTTAACTATCCTCGTATTTTTTGCTCATTTTTTAAAAAATAAATATGAAAGATTATACTGCTCCTTCATCTTGAATTCGTTGTATTTATTTTACCTATGTTTGTTTTCTTCGTAATTATTGTAAACAAGATCTAAAAATTTTAGGATTGGTGTTTGAGCAACCTTGCTTACATGTTATTTTGAGGTTATGTGACCGTTGACTGAAGTCTTTTTGATGGTTTTGATGTCAATCGAAACGCGTGGTGCTCTGTTATTTTCTCTTAATCTCTTGTAATTCGTTTTATTTTCGTCATAATGGGAAAATTCAAGGTAACTATCACCTTCAGAATTTTTTTTTTCAGTTTCGAAACTTGATTACCACCCCACAGTTGCCTACTGTTACAAGAAGATAGTCGGTTCCTAAGAGTCGTGTTGCATGATCAACATTACTTAATAATTCTGTATCTTTGACCATATTGTATCTTTTCAACAAATAAGTTTCAGTAACTTAACGTAACTAAGCCTTATGTCGGAACACTTAAATCATCTCTGTTGTCAGAGCATATTCATAATTCTTATTGTCCCTCTGGAAGTATTAGCATGCGTACAACTAGCTTATCGTACGTTGAGATAACATTCAAATTTTATGTATATCAACTCTCATCAAAGTCATGAAACTTTGCGCCAAGAGGTAGTTGTTTGGGTCTAATTTGTTTGTTTCTGTATCATCATATTTCTATCAATTTTTAACTGATGAGTTTTCCAGGAAATTAACCGTTGAGTTTGTATTCTATCTGTTTTAGTCTTTCAGAAGAAAGAAGGAAACAAAGGAAGTTAAATCTCCAAGTGAGCGTGGACTGTGTTACATTTCGCACATCCCACATGGATTTTTTGAAGAAGAAATAAAATTGTACTTTTCACAATTTGGGAAAGTCACACATGTCTACATACCGAAAAATAGGGTCAGTTCATTATATTTTATTTTCATTCTAGTCTTTTGCCAATCTTGAGTCAGAGTACATAGAGTCGTAATGTAAATGGGAGTGCTGGCGCCATGTTCTGCTCGACGAGTTTCGAGCCTGGTGTGCGGTGTGGAATACGTCGTAATTCCTATCTTCTTTGTTTACAGCGGGTGGCCGGGTACCCGTGTATCGCAAACAATCCATTATGTATCGAAGAAGTGACCCAGCGTCACACAGGAGTCTCGGAATTTGGGATCTGGAAAGCGCTTAAAAGTGACGCCAGCTCTTCCACTTACATTACGACTCTATTTACTCTATGTTTCTCTCACACAGTTCTTGAAAATAGGAAGCATAAGTGCACTCCGAAGTAATAGCCGTTATTCTTTTAAAATCATAAGTTTTGCCCTCAAGAGGTGTTATGAGGATGGTGTAATGACAAGGGCGCCCACAATATAGTATCCTTGTGGCACTTAAAGCCACAACTGATTCCAGGGCGTAGGACCTAGCTGTAATTTGGATAATCTAAATGTTCAGTGAGCAGAAGCATTGAGTCATGTGGAAAGAATAGTGTAGCATGAAATCTGTAACCATGCAAACATCTGAATGTCGGAATACATTTTTTCACAGTTTCGCCATTACTATGCAAGTCATCAACCATCAGTGTGCTGTATCTTTCAAAACCATCTCATGTTTACACATTCAAGATAAATTCAAAGAAAGATGAAACGTCTAAAATCTATAAGAAGATGAAGTCCTGATCTTTAATCAACAAAGTATGCCCTTTCATTTCATAAGTTTTGACCCAAAGTATATCATGCTGCTTTCAGCTTTTGTTTTATTCTAATTTACTTTGGTTTCTTCTCTGTCTCTTCCTAGGAAGGTAAAATGAAAGGCTATGGATACGTGGAATTTGAAGTTGACAAAGTTGCCCAAATTGCTGCAGAATCGATGAATAACTACTTAATGTTTAAACGGTTACTGAAGGGTAAGTACACACTTTTGTCAGTAATATTTCAATGAATTCATTTTGTTGAGCTTTTAATATTGAGGCTAAACCCATGTGTTAATTTTTCTCCTTTTTCTAAACTTAAGCTGGACATAAGTCTTAATTATGCTCATCCATGACCGTCAACTCTTGAATTATTTTTTTGTCTGTTTGTAGTCAAGTACATCCGAAATGGTGGGAAAAAATGGCGATACTTGAAGAATAAAGAAAATTCCAGGCCAATAGCTCTAAGGAACAGGGATCAATTTGTGAAAGAGCAAAATAAAACCAAATCTCCCTCTGAAGAGACAAGGTTAGTAAAGAAGCAAAGGCGAAGTTTACGTAGACTTCATGCAGACCTCAGCAAACTTGGCATTGATTTTGAATTTCAGGTTGGTACACTTTTTTTAACATTTTCTCTTTAACCATTTTTTGTGTCTCTTATGAAGTGATTCTCATTCCAGGTATAGACAAATCTCAAGCACTATTTATGAAAAAAAGACTTCTCTATTGTTGAGATAAGGAGTTGCTAAGGGGCTGCTGCCCTCCAGTTACAGGAATTAAAGGGGTCCCAGTCATACTATTATTACTCGTGATAATAAAGCAGCTTCCTTCATTCATATTGCAAAGTTGCACTTATCTATAATTTCACATAAGTTCATAACAAGCGATAACCAATTTGACGCATTTCTATCAAACAGACCCATGCGCCATAGGGGGAGGAAGGTAGTGGGAGGCTTGGATTGGCGGCGGAATCGGGCGTCTAGCTCGTTCCGTCCTACACTCGCAATGCTTTTCCATGACGCTTAGTTTCGTTCGAGAGAACGCGCTATCTGGCATTCTAAATTCCTCAAAAGGAACTCAAATTGGCGCTTAGTTCTGTTTAACAGAGATACGTCCAATTATGACCAATGACAGTTGTGTCAGGACTCCTTGTATTATAGCTTCTGCGTTTCTGTTTATGAATGGACTACTAGCCAAGGTACATATTTAAGCATTCTGATATAATATCCTCTTCAAAATTGTATGTAAGCACAATTTACTTAATAAAAATACTGTCATTAATTCCTAACAAAGATCTTAACATTTTTGTTAGCGCTTTATGAAGAAGTTTCAATTTCCTGCTCACTAGAAAAACCAGAGTATGTACAGAAATCAAATTGCATACTTTAACAGTTAACAGCTGAACTGAAGCGCAGAGATTGAGGTTGCTATATTTTCATACTGCAGATACTGTTATGGCTTTCTTTAGTTTCCAATTTGACTATAGTAGATCGTAGTTTCACAAAGAGTGGAACGTTTGAATTATTGCATTGAAAAACTTCTTATCTGGGTTAGGAATTACTCTCAATAGTTATCATTGCACAGTTCGTGTTCCATGCGAAATTTAGATGAGATAATGATACCATAACGCTTAAATCTGCACCTTGTCCAGTGGTTCATTATGAAACTTCTTTTACTGCATCTGGTTTTCCAGTTGATTTATTTATATTTTCATTTGTTGAAATTGCAGGTTGACAGCGATGTGCCTCAGCTTGAAACTGAATCTGCCTAAGAATTCTGTTGATCCTTCTGTATTTATCATGTATATATTATATTTCACTACATCTTTTATTGCAATAAAAAAGCTGCTTTTTTTATATAATTAGCTTTGTTCTTGCCCCCTATCTTTCAAATCCTGTTATTTTTAGGATGACGAAAATTTGCCTTAATCTCAAGGTGGGAAGGTTTTTTGAAGTTCTTATTTTTTTACTCATTAACGCTCTTCTGATTTCCCCCCAAAACAAAGCAGTAGGCCTCCTTTTTTGTCCATCATGCATTTTTGAAGATCATGATCTTTAAAGAGAAGAGGAAATCTTCTGAAATGCGTGAGAGTTATGAACAGTTGATGCGAGTGAATCAGGAAAGATATACATGTTTCACATTATGATCTTCAGAGAGTATGTTTTCTGGTTCCAAATCTCCATCCCACCCAGTCTTCCCATCCCATTCTTTACCACCCACCCAGTACCTTATATTTTTTTATTTATTTGCGGAAGATACTCACAAATTAAAATTTCTCTAAATTTTTGTAAAGTTCTTTGCAAGACTTGCCTTAGAATCCCCCCCCCCCNAATTGTGTTCTGAAGAGAAAAAAAAAAATAACAACTAAAGGTATCCAGCCATAGTAGAACTTTAAAAATCACTGAAAAAGAGATGAGACATTTTAAGACTTTCCAGAACGGCAAGAAATCAGAATAAAAATCAGGTGTTTTGATAACTTAACTTTAAAGTATTTTTAAGGGACTTTCAATCAATTAGATGAAGTGAATTGTTAGATTTAGGTGTAGGTGTAGAGTTTATTGGTTGATTGTTTTTGTCGGCAACAGTGCTGATGAAACCTGATGGTTATCAAAGACGGAAATAAAATGACTTAAATAAAGAAATCCAGATTGGTTTATTGAAGGCTACAAACTTTTTACATGATGGATTGGTAACCTTGCAAGAAACAGGAAACAAATACTGAAATATGTAACAAGTGAATTTTGCAATGATATTTACACAGAAAAAAATAAAAGAACAATGTATTTAGAATAAACAAAACAATCTATTCTTTACATATTCCGTTCTGAACATTTATTCCTTTAATGTTTTTTAAATCTTTTTTTCAATCAGAATTAAGTGATACACGTTTAAGAGGATGTTCGTTGAATCACTGTATCATGCCTCGTCTAATCGTATTGCTTCCCTCCAAAGCGAACACGATTAAACTTACATGACTACAATAACAATAACAAAGGCCGAAATATATTTCGGACCTAAAATTAAACACTGGAGGGACTATCACAGATAACATATCCAGCTCTTTAAAATAACTCACCGAACTGAAACCTAAAGATTCGAGCAGCAAGGACTTCATCAGTATTAATAAATTTAACTTAACTCTAAATACTGAAAAATTATACTTCTAACGCATCTTTGTAATCTTGAGTTCTTTTATACAATAAGTATAAGTTACAAAGCTTAACTGGCTAATGAGAACTTGATAAGAGAGTAGCTACGATGTAAAAAGACCTTTCAGGCTGCTGGGCGAAATCTTCGTTCAGTCTGATGAGAAATTTAAGGGCAGATATTACAAAGCAGAAAAAATTAAATAATTTTCTTAGTTAATCTATGAAGTTTGAAATATAATCAAACGGATACACCAGTTTTTTCCTTTCATTTTATTTTTTTAAGCAACAAATAAAATAGTAAGAAGATGAAGACCTTTTATGATATTATACGAAACATCTGTCAGACGGCAGTAAAAAATCAACCTCGGCAATACTGATATGATTGCTCAGAGGCATATTCATTGATTTATTCTTAATTCCTCAAAAGAATTGAGAAGTATTAGAAAGTTTGGCTGTTGGGCTTGCGCAATAAGTCAACTTCATAGTAATAATAAAAATAAATAAATGATGGATGCCTCAGAACAAACACGTCAATAATCGCCTGACTGGTGAGTTAACACAGAACAGTCATTTACACGTGCTTTGTAGAACAGTGAGCTCCCATATTTTACAACAGTTGGGTAATTTTTTAAATGGCTCTTGCACAAGTTATCAAAAAAGTATTGTTCAGTCATACCTAGTAGATTGTGGTAAAATAATGATGAAAATATATTTATCGAATATTAGTGGGGAGATAACACTATTTACTTCATTATTTGCATTCAAAGGTATGGAAGTGCATACTGTTTTTGATTGCTCATACTTGATCCTCAAGTATCATATACAAATCCGGATGAAATGACATTTATTTTTCTCTTTTCTTTTTGGAGAAATCTACACTTCATTAAACAAAATTATGGTTCTTGACATGATTTCTCAAAAATGTTCACCCAAATTATTTTCTTGGATGAAATAAATATTGGTATTTATGGCAAAAATTCAGGCGAGAACAGCACTGGTCACTTTATGATCTTCCTTATTTTTACTCCAAAATATGACAGCTTTTTAACGGGGAGTTTGAAAAGCGTACCTTTTTCCATAAATTAATCAATTTTTAAGATTAAATTATTTAAATTGTTAATATTAATGGTTAACTGTGCTCATGGACTAGCTGGGAGAACAATCTTAAACAAAAGAAAAAAAGGAGTGGATGATAGTGGGAGACCTCAGGTCAACAGGTCCGACAAACGATGCTCACAATTTAAACACAAAATCAGAGCAATTAGATTATCATCACACGCAAACAATCAGAGCCAAAATTCCGAGACATTTTTCGACAGATACATTATATTGAGTATGCAGAGAAGCTCTTTATTGTTCAATTACTATCCAGTGACAGCAATGTAAAATAAAAAAGTAGAGGAGCTATTGATCACAAGGAAAACACTTGACACAGCTACCTCTGAACGAGACCAGACTCGAAAAATTCAACATTTTCAAGTTAAGAGGATGATTATTGTCTATTCTACAGGCATTTCTCTGGGCGACAATAAATGTATCAATGGTGAAAATATATGAGCAAGTTAACCATGTTACCACTTGATTTGAGAATATTGCCAAAAACACTCAATTTAAACAATTTAAAAAACGAATTCTATGCAGTTTTTTTCTTCTATTTTTTCCTGTACTTTCACCAAACCAACCAATGTTGGTGTTCAAGACAGGTTTTGAATGAAATAACTTAATTTCATTGACAGGCAAGAAAATATAGCATTATAAGTTACCCTGCTCACTCATTTTTGCAGTTAGAGATTTCACCAGTTAGAATTTCACATGCCCGCTCCAAAATAAGTATAATCATTTTTAATCCAGATAAGAGTGATCGAGCTTAGTTGAAGAAAAACTGTTTTACTATTTTAACATGTCTCAGAATTTAGGCTGGGTCTTTAACAGATGAACAGAGTCACATTCATTTCGGGGTGACAGAGGAGTTAATAAAATAAAATTATCAGGAAAAGTAATTAAAATTACAAATACATGAATGCATGAGAAAGGGTTGCTATCAAAAAACAATTGAAAAATTCACGTGTAAACCCTCGACAATTCCATGCTGAGGATGACAATTTTAGTACTGGAATTTTGTTCAAAACTATTTCTTATGAAAATTGCTGTGATTTACTGACCCTCCCCCCCCCCCCCCATTTTTAAAGGTCTTCAAGAAATTCCTTCACCGTTCCAGATTTTTCAAGTACCGAGCAACCCTATCAAGACTGAAAAATAATTTAGACTAATCACATTACAAATCGGCCCTGTATTAAAACTAAGGAAAAATTTTAAGATTCAAAGAAGAGAGATTTTCTTAAAATGAATTTTTCAAGTTCCAAATGTTGACTAATAACAAATTCAAAATAATTTAAGACAAAGTTATATACTGGTCATTGGAATCAAAATATTAGTTTTCAGTGGGCTTCCTTTTCAAACAAGGACAATTGAAACTCGTTTTTTCACAGTCATTTCATCTCAAACAATAAAAAATATGCCTTGAAAAACCATGTGTCGCAGTTAATTGACCCGAGCTTAATAGTAAAATACATAGTAAACACTTATAAAGGAATCTAGATTTTACCGAATTCTGTTAAGGTGATTCGTCCCGGGTTTACGGTGTGGTTCAACAGGTGTAAGATACATTGAACCAATTAAATAAAAAATCTAGGCAGATTTCGACTTCTTAGCCAAAATAAGGACAATAGTCCTTGCACATGAGCCTAAAGAATGAACAAACGAATTCGAAAAAATCAGAGAAATAAAAGTAAGATTCTCCTTGGAAAAAAACATTGCATTCCATACAGTAATCCACCTCTGTATCGAATGCAATGTTTTTCCCGACAAGAATCCGGCCTTCATTTCTCTTAATTTTGTAATTTTCTTGGTTAAGAATGATTTTTTGGGCTCATGCGCAGGGCTGTTGTTCTTTTGGAGCTAAAATTATAGATCTGCCAAGATTTTTTACTTAATCGATGCTGATCACTTTTGATCACATGAAGAATCCGGGACGAATTACTTCAATTTTCGTTTGTTTATGGTGTAGAACAAACAAAATTATAAACTGAATGTAACAAAAATACAGATAGAGAAGCATCATCGCCTTAGGTAAAGCTTAGGTAAGTGATTAAAACTATTTGAGAGCACGTACATAATGAAATGTGGTTAAATGGTAACAGCTGATGTACCACTATTCCAGCTAACAATGGCTAACAAAAGCAAAAACAAGAGGAAAAAAAGGGGAAAGAACAAAAGTAAAATAAATTAGTTTCGAAGAGTCAAATGTATGGTGAGATAAATGTGACCTACTAATCATGTTTAACCTTTACAAATGAAATATTTATGTTCTACTTTTGAAAATGAGCTCAAAACTATTACAATACACAGCCTAAATAACCAGTGTAAGCTGCAAAACAGAGTGACAAATTATAAAAATGTATTAACTCAAAAAAAGATGTAGGTTGCACAACTCACTATGGTGAATGAAATATTATCTCACAGTTTGAAATGACAAAGTTTCTCCTCTTTCCTGGTTTTCGAAAATAGTACAATAAAAAATGATAGTTTGCCATCAAGGAGTTATTAGAAGCAAGAAAAGTACTTAATTTCTCCTTCCTACTTCAAACCGTTTCTCCATTGCACTTTATTACTTAATCGATTCACACTCTTGTCATTTGTCCATGTATTTTAGGAGACAAGCTTGCAAAAATGTTAAAGTTACTCATTCCATTTACGGTTCAAAGCATTAAAAGGAGAATGGGTCTGAAATTTTAAAAGTAGTAGTGAATAGTTCTGTATCAAAATGATCTATCACTAAAACATTGATGGAGTTTAATAAACACAAACGCAACAGGCCTTGTGATTTTCATGTGGGACACTCTTTTTTCAACCAGTGCTTAATTCAGAAAGCTATCATACATAGGTTCTTTGTTCAGGGGATTTAAAGGAATCTTTCTGCATTTATCTACGATTTCAATGGACAAAAAATGTACAGTCAAACCTTGTTAAGTTGGAATACATCAGGACAAAGGGCTTTTTGACTTAGCAGGATTCCCGAGTTAATCGAACTCTGTATTGGCAAAACGAAAAAACGGGGCCCAGCCATTATTACCGATTTAGCAGGGTTTCTGATGTAAGCAGGTTCTGACTCAGTGAGGTTTGACTGTTGCAAATAATGAAGCAACTAAGGCACATTAAAGTGACTATGAAATAGAAACAAAATTGGTTTTGATCTGGGTTTAAAGGTAGAATATAATCTTGTCCTAGGAAAATGAAATGCAGAATTTCCAGCAACATTTGTAGTACATAGTCGGTAAAAAAATATGTACTAGCGCTAGTCGCTCTGAAGTCATTGTACCCATCAAGATCAGCGCATCCAAAAATTACAGACACATTGATACTGAAAGAGTGGAAACGTAGAGCGAGGAAAGGGAGTAAAGCATAATGTAAACAGAAATATTTGATACGGCAAAAAGATACAGCTACATTAAAAGATAACGGAGATCAAGGATCCATCTCCTCAACTCCAAAGTCGGGATGAGAAAGGGCTTTTACCAATTTATATTCATGTACTCGAACTTACAAAATAAAATTAATGAGAAAACTCCACAACTGGGAACTGAAGGTATAAGAGCCTCTTTCAAGTTCTTTTTTGGCATATTCATAAAAGTAACAAATTCTAAATTGAGGGAAGATGAAGAGATATTCCCCCTCCCCCTATGTTTTAGTCGAAATTCAAAAGAGAGGAGGGAATTTAAAAGGTAAAAGAGGGGACACTTTACAGGATCCTTTTATCAGCATGATAACTGAGTAAAAACTGTGAAAAAACACAAGAAAAGAAAGTTTGAAATGATCAGATGCTTGATGCTCATAAATGAATCACACACCTCATGTACAGATGTTTTGTTTTTTCAACATGGTTCAGTTATATATGATCAATGGTAAAAGTAATTATAAAGAGCCCTACTTACAAAACTTTTATTGTATAAACGTCACTTGTTCTCCATCTCTTCAAGTGCTAGATTAAGAGGGCGAAAAACTTAAGTTGTTTCATAAAAAAGAAAAAAAAGGAATATAGACAAATATGCAAGCGAGTAAGCATGATTGAACATAAAATGAGAAGGAACTTCATCATGATTGATGACCTGACAAAATCATTGGGAATTAACAATGTTCCCCTACATCAATTCTGAAAATTGATGACCTTTCACATTTAACTTTGGGTGAGGTAAACGGAAGAGACTATACTGCAAAATCCAGTGAAAAATAGATTAGGCATGGACACTGTTCAAATTTTTGGAGGCAATACAGTTTCATCTTGATGCTGAAGAATAGAAGAATAAGAAAGAATGAAGTTGCCTTGTTACAAGAAAAATTATCAAATGGCTTTAAAATTCGGACACAGGTCAAATAAATGAAAAACATAAATTTTTTAAAGATCGTATAAAAGCTTATGCATTCCGTTTCTGCAAAGGGGGGGGGGGNGGGGTAAAGTAGGGTGGTACAGGAAATGAAGAAGAAGGATCGAGTTTCAGCATTTGATTCCATCTGGAGAGAAATAACTGGCATTGACATGCCAAACAACTCCTGGAATAGAAATACCAAGTGGTGAGGAAAAGAGTGATAGTGAATTCTTGCATCCATTTCCACCTTCTGCAATGCACAGAAAGAAGTCCTTCATCAAATCTTCCAGACTTCATGAGCTGCGGCCCATTCATTATTAAAATGTTCAGGCACAAACGCTGAAGTCTTGCTGTAAACTTCAAAGGCTAGTTGGCAATGTAACCTCTAAATTTTACCAAGAAAGTAAAAATACAAGAGCTCCAGTGGAGCAACCGGACCTTTTAGTATTGAATGCCAAGGCCTTTGGGAGCCATAGGTTTATAGTAAGCAAGTTTACACCAAAAGGTTTGTCTCTGTAGGCAGTAAAGCATGGCTTTAATAGATGAAAATTCTAAAAAAATTGATTTCTTTTTAGGAAGAAAAAACCTTGCACTTTGACCTGCCAGCAAAGCTCCGACAAATAGAAAATACTGGATCTGCATGATTTCAGTCTTTGATTTAAAAAGTATTACCCTCCCTCAAAAACATGGAGACACATTTCGGAAAATTTTCTTTAAATACTTGAGTATTTTACGAAAGAATAATTCAAACGTAAAAATTGCATTAGAAAGAGCATCTGTTCAAAATTGAATACATAGTTGACAAATTTTGTGAAGCAAAAAACCAATGAGACTTCCCTGGGATCAAACTTACGAATAAATTTTCATTCCTACAGATGATGGAGATTTTCCTTAATCTTGCCCTCTAAATAAATTGATACTGTTCACTTACTTACAGTGGAAACAACTGTTTGAGAGAGGTCAGGAATGAATCAAAAGCATGGGATAGAGCAGGGAGGGATGGATCGTCATGGAGCCTTGGGATAGGAAGAGACAAACAAGAATAATTATTAGATAGAGCATCAATGATGACCTTTAAAAAATTAAAATTAGAAAAATAATCTCCGTATACATCAAGATCACAGAAGATCAAATTTTTTAAAAAAATAATTCTACTTTGTTATTTAATGCACGACATATTCTCTTCCGATGCCCCAATTTTAATTAAAGAGGAAATCTCTTGAATCAAAATTAAGAACTACCTTATTAATGTATAATATTATCTCTGTAATGCTGGATTCAAAAGAGAAATGGGGAGATGTCACAAGAGATGTTCAAGCAGTTTCAACAGTTCAATGGGAAGTTCGAAGCAATGATAGTTGCCAACCCTACATCTGTGTCAATCAAGGGTCAGGCTTGTACTCTTCAATTTCAAATGAGTAGAGTTATAATTATGTTCTCCTGAGATGCAGGCCATAGCCTGTATCAAACCATTCTATCTTGGGAGAGACTTGATATACCTGCAGGACTAATTTCGTCAGTTTCACTGCGCAGTAAAATTTTAAAGTCTACAAAAATTAATACAATGGAGAAGTTTCAAATCTTCATCGAGAAAATTTCCATGAACTAGCTTCAAACACTTGAATTTTCAGCACACTACTAAATTTGATAACGAAAAAGCTCGGTAGTGATAATTTACATAGATCAATTGTGGTGTTTTCATTACTGATTCTATCAAAATGCATCAATACGTCAAAGCAAGACTTAAATACTCCTTACAAAACCATAAAGAGGCATAAGACCAAGCTAGAATAAAGATGGACTTATGGAAGATGGGGTTTCTTGACCTTTGTAGATTTCTTTGCACCGTCTACCCAAAATTATGATTAGAAACTTTTTTTGGATCTTGAAGTTAAAGTCACACTAAAGTAAGTAGTTTTACTGTTAAAATATACTGTTAATAGACTGGACAATTACTGTTCATGTGTCTTACAGCAAGTTATTTATGACAGGAGATCATGAAAGTGATTTTAGTCTAGCATGTTGGAATATTTTGATTTATACTCATTTCTGCAACTTCACATTTTTATCCAAGAACTTCCACTAAAGAGCTATTTTAAGCCTCAGCTAAGTTAAGCAACAAAAAAATAAAACTAATAGATAAAAGAAGAAGAAAAAATTAAAAAAAAACAGTACCAGCTTAATATTACTCCATTTGAAAAGAGTCTCTTAGATAATCATTGCATTCAGAATTTAAAAAAGCTATTTTAAAATCATCCTAGAATAATTAAAAGTAAAACAATTTAAGACAGAAAAAAAGGAAGTAAATAGAATTATATAACTTGCTTCCATAGTAGGATGGTCTTAGCGCACAAATGGAGAGTATGTTTTGGTTCTCCTGCCCTTAAATCTGATTGACTAAAAATGTTTCCCTCACACTTCTACCACAGCTGGATTATTTTAATCCATATACATCATGAGACCTACTGCATCCCACTGTCCATCTTTCCTCAGATAATGTAGCATAATTGGTGACAAGATACCTAGAGAAGAACGGAGCCATTTATTGATTTAGTATCTAAATATATGTACACTGTAAACACTAAAATTTTGGACATAAAACTTACAATGTCTTTATTTCCAGAGATTTTTCTTCTTTTTTCCTTGAATTTAAATGCCAAAATTGAGCTGCATGAGGTATGGATTAAATTAATCAACTTTAGTAAAAATTTGCAGGAAAATTTTTTAATTGAATCCTAATGGTTTAAGAAGTGAGAGCACATTATCAGCGTACTTAAATTTTAGGCCGCCCTACTTTGTAAGCACGGAGGATCGTAAGGTGGGAATTTTAAGATTCTCTATGAACGTCCCAGACTTGATTTCTCTTTCAAATCTACTTGACTAGAAACATCCTAAAAGAACTTCAGATCTTCCCTAAGAAATTATCCCTTCTCATAACCACCTTAAGGCATTTAAAGCAAGTTCCAAGGAGTCAAAGAATTTTCCAGACTCATGTTAGAATTTCTGCCTTAAGTATTATCTTCAAAGTGCAAATAAAAAACTACCTTAATACGAAAAGTTCAGGTTACCTGCTTACAAAGATGTATTATTTGGTGAAAAAAAAAAGCGCAATGCCTATAAAATTATAAATAATGAATAAAATTAAGTTCATAGTTGACCAAAGACTTCCACATTAAGATCGAAACAATGAGTAGGGATCAGCATTAAAAAAAAGCCAATTAGACAAGTACCATGACACTTAGAGAAATTTCTTACTACTACCTTCTGTCCTTTGATTCTAACAAGAAGTCTAAATGAGGTGTATTTGCTGAGTCTTCTTCTAAGAAAGAAATCATTGGATTACTTTGGTAAAGACACTCTTGAGTGTCTTGTTAGCCTTTTGTCAGACACTAGTTTGACAGAGGGCTAACAATGACAGTGATAAGTTTTCCTTACGATCAATATTGTCCACACGAACACTTAATTGAAAAGAAAAAATAGGTTTATTATTGGTATGGACAATGACGACCCAAAGAAAGACTTTACACTGGGATTCCCCATGGAAATATAATATTTTGTACCCAAAGAATAAATCACTATAAAAGCACATTGGTTGTGAGTGGGTTTCACAATGGTTTTAAATAAAACCTACAAAGCAGATGTTAAACCTATTTTGCAACCTCGAAGTTTAAAAGCAAACTGAGCTACCATTCAGTTATACTCTGAAAACAACTTTAAAAAAAATAAATAAAAAAAAAATACAACAAGAGATAGAAAGCTCTTTGTTTTTTTTTGTTTTGTTTTTGTTTTTTTTTTAATTATGAAAAGAAACCGAGAAAAATAATGAACCGAGTAACAGTTAGCAAGATGATGATGAACGATGGATGGTAGCTTTTACATTTTCCAAGATATTGGTTATACTCTGCTGAGTGAGTGGCAGATTTCAGTAACTTCACAAGTAATACTCATGGAAATTTACTCCGCCACATTTCCACAGGTAAGTGGAAAAAGATAGTGTTAATTTATAAATGTTCCAAAATTTAGCATGCTTTCTGAAGAAAAATGAAAGTTTGATTGAATACGTATCCTGTGTTCAAGAAAAATCACTCTGGCGGAGAAGGGGTAGGATCACATAGCAGAGCTCAATGTTTTTTGATTTGAAAAGACTGCTGTTACAGAATTCAATTTTTATGAAATCAAAAGAAAAGTGCTTTCAACAACAAGCAATGAACTCAAACTCCTTTGAAGTGAATTTGGTTGAATCAAGACTGAAATTATGGAGAAAAACTAAAGCTTTTCAAAAACTGAAAAATGAAAAGTTAATATTTAATTGAAGATAAAGGGAAAATCGCTCAATGACAGTAATAATTTCTGTCGGCTCATCTTCCACTTACAGAATGAAAGCTGCCTATGCATCACAAATGAGTGCATCAAATTTAAAATACGGTTCATAAGGTATGAAATGAGATATCATATCCTGCTACATTGTATTGAAGCTGGATTTTTCAACCACTTGGTACATCATGCCTACATTAAAGAGCTTCAAAAAGTGAATTTCATTTTCTGTTCCTTTTAACTGTTGTCCTTCAATTTGTTGACTATCTTGCCCAGTTTCATTGAATTGAAAATTGAAAAATGAGTACTAAACATATTGTCTCCATGAAAACAAAAAACAAAAAACTAGGTAAAGATTTCACAAACAAACTAAGTAAAACAGAAGATAAAATAATTTCCTAGCTACGAGTGAAGTCCAACATATTAGGATTCGTTACAGTATCCTTGTGTACTGTGGTAAAAGCCAAACTGTTATTGAATAAGTGGGAATTAGATGATATGGCTGGTAATTCCCGGCCAACATTACTAACCCAAGATTCCGGCTCCGACACCGAAGGAGGTCCGGGTTGACTGTATTTAAGTCCGTCTTCTTTTGGGTGATACTTCTCTGCAAGGATAGTTTTTGAATCGTAGCATTTACTTGATATTAACATATATTTAAAAAATTCATACGTGGACCAGCAAATCGCTGTTGAGGGCATCTGGAATAAAACTCGGGCTCGCAAACCTCTGAAATATCCGAATGGTCCTCCTAGTCTGTACACAGCTTTGATTGCATTCACCAACCCTGATATCTTCCGCTGTGGAGGGTAAAATAAATCTCATTAACAAGAAAGAAAATGACAAGAAGGTGTTACTCAATTATCTAATATGATACACATGGACTTACAAATATGTATCTAAGTCTGCTGAAATATAGGAATTTTTGATTTTAAAAAGAAAATCAACAAGTAAAATTATCCAGAGAAACTGAACAGTTAGGCATACTAGGCTCCTTTTGATATGGCACTGTCTAGTTGCATCGTTGATTTTCTAATCTCCTTCAATAGAGACAACTTTTTTGACAAGCTTGAAAAAAAAAAATGCTCCTTAACCCACCGAGCATATTTTGCGAGATCCCCTGATTAACATTCATTTTACGAGGACATACTTTGCTTACATAAATATTACCTATGGATTATTAGTATCAAAATATTTTTGAAAAGCTGAAAAATTTCCTTTTCATTCAACATTGTCACTTCACACTTTTACAAAAATTCAAAAGATGATACCATTTCCCCTTGAATTTTTCCTTTTGGTCATTTCTAAAATTTGAAGCTGCCGACAGGTGATAAAAAACGATTAAGCTGCTTGCAAATCTTTTTGGAAACGGGAAAGGGTAAAACTGAAGTCTAATTTTGTTATTTTGATAAGTGTCTGCAGCTGCCTAATGAGTGCTTGATAATACACCAAACTTCTGTGGCCTTGGCGCAGCGAGGATTAAATAATGCAATTAAAGGTCCCTTGCAATTCCAACAATTTATACTCAAACTTGAAAAAGTGGCAAGAATTACCCACCTCTCCTTCCTGCGTATTCAACAGAGTTTTACAAACATCTAGGGGGGTTGTCACTGCTGCAGCTACTCCTCCTGCGATAGCACCTGAGACCATGTGCGCAGTTGGTTTGTACGTTCGTTCGGGGTTCATGAAGTTCGTTGCTGTTTCGTAAGTCATGAAATGAATACTCTGAAATGGGATGTTCATCATAAGTTGCGTAGTGTAAGATCTATAGAATGCTTTGACGCCTTCAGTCTGATAAGTGCGTTGAATGCAATCGACTATTGATTTGTATGGACTGTTGAACATCTGCAACCTTTGCTTGACGACTAGAGTGAGAATGAAAGCATTAAAATATTAGTTTAAAATACAGGAGAAAGTAAACATTGTACCCACAGAAACAGAGGAGCATTAGGGATGCAGAAAATGCTTGATCTTGCGATCAAAAGATGGCGGCAAATGTGAGGCAAATCTTCGATCCTTAGGCAATTTTTAAAAAAAATTTATTCTCTTCTTAATACTACAAAATGGTAAGGCGAACCGCATATTTTCCATGAAATCATATGTTAGGCTGTGAGACGAATTGGTAATATGCCTTCAGTTAAAAATTCTGGATTGCAGCAAAATATCTGCGTTTTGGAATTTTCTGCACCCCTAAGGAGCATAAGATAACCATTGCGTGCTTTGCAAAGGGATGACTTCTATATTTTCGAAGAAACATGCATTATGCTGACTCAACATTTGACTGATTGTTTCTTCTCATAAATTCTATTCACTAAGGACTAATCAGGTTCAAAAATTGTACGCACCAACAAACCTAAAAAAGAGTGATAAGCCTCTTATGGAACTTACTTTTTGGTCAAACTTTGGAGTGGAATCAAATGATAACACTCAGGTTAGTTTTAAGAAGTTTTGAAACTAAAAATCATGAGCTTTTAAAAATTTTACTTCAATTAAGAGAATGCATAAGAATTAGAATGAAGAGATATAGAAAAACATTCGTGAAAAGAGAAGCTAGCAAGAAATAATGTTTTCGGAAATGATTCTGAGATGATGATGGTCCTTCATTTTCGACAACAAGTAATCGTACTTCTCAAAAGCCATAACCACACAGCTTCTGACCGGCTAAAAAATTAATGCAAAACTTACCATCAGTGGGAGTCATGACTCCATCATGGATTACTGTGGATACACAACCGGCAGCTCCTGTAAAATCAAAGATAATTTATGAGAAAACAGGTGACAAAAGAATTACGAAAAGAAGAAGAAAAAATACATATTACCATTCATTCAAAGTACTCTGTGCACTTGAGAACAGAATGTTAGGACAGAAACAGTACTTGAGATCAGAATGTTAGGACAGAAACATATCAGGACAGGACAAAATCATGAGGAAAAATTCGAGCCACTCGAGTTCAAAAAATACTCAACACACGCTCAACAAGCACACGTCCCTGTTAGCGCTAACACATGGGGGTTGGGAGAGGGAGAAAATAATAATCGAATCAACACTACTAATAGGTTGTCTCCACGCTAGAGTGATGAGAAATTAACATAAAACATTAAACAAAAATATATATTGTTTTCTGACTAACACACCTAGATGAACTAAAGTATGTGGGTAAAACTGAAAGAGAGAAGAGCGATAAGCATACAAATTTTTGATTGACGACTTGTAAATGCATCTCTACTCTTATAGTCTCCCATAAGAAGGAACACTTCTCGCCTGCGCTGTTCCTGTATTAATGGAAACTTTTTTTTCTTTATTAGGGGAATTTTTCTGAAAATTTTAGCGTTTTTTCTTACAAGAGCAAAGAAAAACCACAGGAAATTTCAGGTAAAGTCATGAGATAGCCCTCTTTCAGAAAAATAAAATGTTGATAACAAATACTGAAACAGCGCAATCAAGATATGTTTCTTTATACAGGAGACAACGCTTTAAACAGTAACAATTCTTGCAAGTTGGTAATACTGTTTTTCTGTCATTTAAATCCTTAAAAACTATATTACCCTAAATGAGGCAATCTGCCTTGATAAATACAAACTGTTTCAAGGAAATTTAAAAGAACAAAACCTAGAGTTACCGATTAGCCAGAGTTACCACTGACTCCAAATTGAAAATAAAAGGTTCTGTTGAAAGTTTGTCTTAAAAAGTTCTTTCAGGCAAAGCAAATTAATAATTATTAACAAAATTCTAGTAAAAAAAGGGAGGAAGTACTACAAAAAGTTTATGAACCGATAATAAAGAGCTTGAATTTAACAGTTACACAGTTGAAAAAGGTCAATTGTGATAAGATATAATTGACCTTACCTACTTACTGGTCAAAGATCAATGATCTGTGATAAATTATTCACACTCTTTCATTGTAATCTGAGCACCTAAAATAAATTATATGAAGGAAAGATAGTTTTTACACAGGTGTAAAATTTCGGCGGAGGATGAACTTCAAAAAAATAATACACCTACTTAAAATTTTTTTTCCAATATATTTTGGAGTCAAAGGATTGACTTGATTAATCTCATGAAATCATTGAGCTCCTGTCTTTAACTAAAGCTGCAACATTTTTTACAACAGGAAAGACAGGAGAACAACACAGAAAACCTATCCTTGAGGGGATTAACCTCAAAAGGAATACTCAACATTTATAAAGGTAAGAAGAATGATGCCCTTTCGAAAGAAGCACAAAATACTCAGGAAGGATCTGCTCTCTTTGGCTGTACTTGCAACACAACCAATGAGAGGGTTGCTGGCAGATCCTCTTTCAAAGATTGGGAGAATAAATACATACAATGAAGTTAGAGGCTGCATTTCTTCAAAAGTTAAGGGTTCATTCTTATAATTTTCTCGCTTATAGGAGGATGAAAGCTTCAAACTACTTATTTCTTGAACAGACACCTTGTAACTAATCACCAGATGCAGTAAAAAAATGTGAATGTCAATGGAATGAGACAGGTGAGTGAAAGTTGACACTGGCATCTCTGAATGTTAAAACTTCAACAGTTCGAACTGATGATGAGTTCCTGCAGTGACTCATTGAAAATTGATTTCAATTCAAATGAGCAGATGACTCTTACATTAATCCTCGATAATCACTGTTTGAAATTCATTAGGCATGGTTGATTTCCTTATAACAACAAACATTGAGGGTGACCCAATGACTCATCAAAGTCAATGACTGATCCAAATTCCAAATGATGGAAGAAAAATTGAACATGATGTGACTTGACTGCAGTGCAAAAACAAAGTACTGTGATCCTAGGAGACTAAGGCTACAAGGCTACAGTAAGAGTAGTACCAAACTGCTAAAAAATTCTCTCCCTCTCCCTTTCGTCATTATCTTTGGAGGCGTCTTAAAAAGGATTATTTTATGATGACGGTGTTCGAGTTCAGGCCCATTTGGCTCATGTCTTTTCTTTTAGTGACGCATGGATGACCAAACCATGGATGATCATGACCAAACGATCAATCCAATCGCGATAAAAATGTGAAAGCCACAGGAAAGGCGTTTTGGAAATGTGAAGACTGAGAAGGGGTTTTAAAATGTAAAGGCCATGAGAGGGGGTTTGTGATAACTTAATTATTATTTTGGTGCAATGGACCTGTTGCAAACTTCTGCTAGAGCAAAACTAAGAGTTGCTCCTTAAGATAATGTCTCAAAAATCACGAAGGGCGCATCGGCAAACTCTGAAATGCACTCCGAACTTCACAATCTGCGTAAGAAATTTGCGTTTTTTTAAGATTCCTGCTTCAAACAGGATACTACAGTACAGGTGAACATTTCGTTAGAGGAGTCATTCCATTCAATCCCTGCTCAACATGGTCGACGCTTCCGCACGCACGTTGAGGAGAGCACGAGGTCAATCAAGGCAGATATCTATCAACACGAGAAAAATGTGAATGTAACCAAGCCGATTGTTATCAGGTGGTTAGAATCATCGTCCCGTCTTATGTGTTTTGGCGGATTGGCGTAGGCTATGTTGAATATTGCGCAGTATCCTTGTGAGCAGAGGTTGGATGGAATGACTCTTCTAATGAAATGTCCACCTATGCCAAGGTATTGTTTAAGAAGCGGGAAACTCGAAAAAACGCAAATTTCTTACGCAAACTGTGAAGTAAGGAGTGCATTTCAGACTTTGCCGATGCGCTCATCGTGATTTTTGAGACACTTTCTATGAGTGACAACTCTCATTTTTGCTCTAGCAAAATTTTTGCAACAGGCCCATATATGAATTTTAAGGGCGCCGTACTAAGAGCAAAGGAAAATATTAAGCGAACTGCTTTGTTTCCAAGGAAATTTCAAGCACACTGAAAAATATGAAGGAAATGGTTGAGCATTTTATTTTATGTGTAGAGAAAGTTTTAAATATAGCGTACACAATGTAAAGGTGAAAAACTTTAAGCACCCTTGCGAAGTAAGTGAGCGGTCTGTGTACTTCCCTTCGAGTAATCATTTAGTTTAAAATGCGCTTAATAATTCTGGTAAATTTAGATCCACTTACCATATGAAAATGCATCATTCATGAAGTGCCTCGAAGTGAGGTTATCTTTTATGGCTTCATAACAGGAAAAGTAGATGGCATGAGCAGGCCCAGCTCCCATCACAACAACACCAATTCCTTTCACAGGCCGCCATACTCCTTCTGTGGTTACCATTCGAAAAAATACATCCCTGATTCCTGTCACCCCTGTGTTGGCTGCTGGAGAGAGACTCTGCATTCTCGTCTGAAATCATATGACGTCGAGAGAGATAAGACCACGGTTTAAAAAATAAAATTAGGGTTAATAATTTGATGAAATTGAAATTCCCTTGCAAAAAATGAAAATGATTCAGAGTGTAGGAGATCGACAAGTTGTTTGACATGCTTGTCATTTCCTTCCGACAAGATTGATGGATATTCTTACCGCAAGAAGGGCTTGGTTCGGTTGTCGGAAACTTGGCAAGAAAGCATATTATTTGGTTTTTCAGGAGTTAACGTCTTCATCAGGGGTGGTTTAAGGTTTAATCTAACACTAACCCTACCTACAGAGACAATTTTAGCTTTAAATAGAGAAAAAGCAGCTGTTTGTATATGACAATCAGCACAAGTGACCTTTAGAACATCTATACTGGGTTGCACAAGACCAAGTGGGTTAAAGTAAAAATTTTGCAGTCACTGTAGGAGATGACCGGGCCATCCTATAGGTGTAGATATAAAATCAGTGCAAGATGACATTGAATGAATAGTGCTCTGCGAAAAAAGGGAAAGTGGACTACGTAGATGGAAAGATCAATGTTAGCCATTGCCTAGGTTAGAGCATGAGTGAAAGGTCACTAGAAGACAGCAAGAAGAGCTTTCGTGGACAAATGCTTGAACCTCATCATTTGGCCGGTTCATCATGGCTCTTTCGCATAAACATTAGGATGAGAGAATGTTCGAACCTTCACAGAATCCATGGGGTACATGATGCAGTGCTCCATAATCCCAGCAAAGGCACCTGCCGTCATGTGGGCAAGAACGTTATTCGTGGGGAGAGTTTCATAATCCTCAAAGCTCATAATAGTCTTTGGAGGCGAACTATCACAGGAGAGGATTCGAAATCCTTTACAAAACTGAATCACTTCCCGAGATATACTTGGAATTTAGAATGTAATTTGACCGATGAAAACCTAAGACATCCTCAGGCAAGAAAAAGTGCACCTCGAAATTCAGATTACAACATGCAGTCAAGTGAGTCAATGCTGTTTTTGTTGTTGCTTAATTTTTTGCTGATTGCCATACGTGACAAAAATACACTACCAGAGAACGAGTGATTTTTTATTTATGTGGGTGAATTTAATGGCTTGAAAACAAACTATTAGAATTATTTAGTTAGCTTGCAAGATATTAAAGTTCAGTGCAGGTATAAAAATGAGGATATTGCAAAAAAAATATTGTTTGTTTTAGAGTAAAGAAGTATATACAGTTGGCATTAAGGCTAAATTCCGGCGTTGTCAACTTGTTAGTAAATTTAGAAAAATCTTTTGAGGTTAGTTGATAAAACGATCTGGCTTATTTTACAGACGTATTCAGTGTTTCAATCTATGTAACACGAATATAATAATTTGTTACATAACAATAGTAGTTTGTTTTTAAAGCCTCTCATTGTCATATTTTCTTGGATAATTATTAATGGTGCGGAGTTAATCATTCTGAATGGCCAAGTAAGTGTCAATAAAGTCCAATCTTTCTTTTCATGCCCTCTGTCAAACTACATACCTGTGGTTGTTATCAGTGACTGACAGTGGAAAAATCAGATACTTAACTTTTCTTTAATTTTTCGTCATGTAAATAGAACCCAGCTTCTTGTAAAATCATCAATAAAAATCCATCCCTACAAAGGAAGTAGCACACGCTACAGTCCTTCTGGACAGCTTTGCGGTAAAGCAATGTTAGCCAGTATTCTATGCGCCCTTTGTCTTATCAGTAATTTTGTTGTTTCCAAAAGAACAAGAAAACTACCTTGAGCATTGGATCAATTTGAGATAGCTCAGTATTCCTTAAAAGACAAACATAGACAAAGTCAATCACTGCCAGAGTGTGGACGTAGCACTTCTTAATATTTTATTGGAGATTTTTGTCAATTATGAGCAGAAATTTTCCAATGTATGGAATATTTCATCGTGGAATTCTCAAGTGACAGAAATCACTATAAAAGTAGTATTTGATGCCATCTACGGTGGCCCTGAATTTAAGGAAAAAATTTTCTGGAGGGAGGGGGAGAGGAATGTTCGGAACTACACTTAGATCAACATTGTGACACTTTTGAAGAGATGCTGTTAGTTGTGACATCAAGACTGGAACTCTCCATTTTATGGAAATGGAACATATCAACAACAAAAATTTAACCTCCTTAGATGCCATCAATGAAAATAAATTGATGGTTATCGCTTTTTTGTGATGTAACATTATCAGCTGCTATACATAGCCACATCTTTACTCTCATAATTTTTCCTAAAAAGTGAGGGGAAGGGGGCATCACACCACTCTTGAGACTTGCTCTTACACTGATCATCCAATGTCAAGGCCAAGTCTCTGCATTTGTATCCACAGTTTCGGTGTCTTTATTACCGTTCTTATTGATGTTGGACTTTATTTTCATCGACCTTAATCTTGCTCATGGCTCATGTCTGAGAGTCCAGTGATTGCCACACATAATATAAGAATGACACACATCATATTTCTTCTGGTAGTTTGCCTAAAATTCAGTCTTGATTCTCCACACCTCTAAATCCATGTTTCTTTTTTTTCACAGGGAACTTCTTATATCATTCATATACGATTCACAACTTTGTCAAAAAGAAGAAGATGATCCTCAGGCAGCTGTTGTTTACTTTCACCCCAGTTGGACAAGTGATGATCAAAAACTGGCTCTTTGTGGACAGTTAATGGGGGTCACTCAATTTATGGCATTGAATTTCCAGAAACCAACCATTGTGTCTTTCGCCAGTGGAAAGTTTGCTGTTCGCTATTTCAAACGATACATTCTTGTAAGTTACTGTGTAGCCATAGGAGAGTAAACTTTAGTTTCCATTCTAAATGCATAATTCCTATACAGTCCTCCCGAATGATCACAGTAGCATTCTGTAGGAGGGAATTAGATTCTAACAGACATCCCTCGCATTTTTGGCTGGCCAAAAGTGTAAAAAAAATTTCGAGGTTATTCGCCTCCCAAAACCCCAGGAAGTACCAAACAATCAGAAATTAATGCATCTTTCATCTGTCTTTTATTCATTATGTTTTAAATCTGGTGTAGAGAGAAACAAATGAAAAAAATTGGATGCCTCCTCTCTTCCTATAAAGAAGCATTTTGATTTTAGAAATTGATGCTGAAAAAATAACTTAAATTTTCCGGTTGTGATTTCTGACAGTGTTAGTGATTTTGTCAACAAGCCTTATATTTCACTCTTTAGCTGATATTCTCAATATAAAGGGAAAAATCTCATCAAAGCACAAGTTTTCTTTTGAATTAGTTATACTGCTTAGTGCAACAGTAGTTACAACCAATCAGGAAGAAAACGGAGACGTGTGTGCAGTACAGCCCCCTAATTCTCTGATGCCAAGCTAGATAGGTCCATAGCCAGGTCATGTAAACCAGTCCAAGGTTTTGGTAATTTAATGTATAAGTAATGGTAAAATCACCAACACTCTGTCTAAAGGACATGCTCATTGAACCGAAATAAATTTGTAATAATTTCTTACTCTCTAAAATTAAATCAAACTGTTTTTTTGCTAGCTGCAACGCAACTAAGGTTTTCAAAAAATTTGAATCGGTGAATATTTCATTTTCTGGTTTGTTTAAATGGGTACCAAGTATATATTAAACAATTAGAAGAGAGGTCACGTGAAAATGAAAGTAAAACTATTTTTGTGCCTCTCGGCATGTTCTATAGTAATTTACAGGAAGTTTGTCAGAATTTGTGTCGGCCTCCTCAATTTCTGCCCCTTTGATGGTAATTTAAAGTTAATATACATAAATGACCGAACTAAACAACAAAATAAAGGATTTTTCTTTTTGGTTGTTTAAGCTCTTCTTCTAACTTCAATTATTATTTTGTTCTGTTCTTTTGCAGTTTGTGGGTTCGGATCAAAATTTGTCAGACACAATTTTGCAAACCAGGGCAGAAACTTTGTATCAGCTCATCAGATTCTATCATAGAGATATTTGCACAGTCAATGATGTCGTCTCCAAACAATCAGGCGATAGTCTAAGTGAAAAACTAGCTCACATGTTTCAGATTTATCTTCCTGTTCTTCAATATGCAACCAATGTGTTTGGGAACATTCCAACATTCAAATTGCCTAAGGTTTGTACCTTACAGTCTTCATCGCCGACATTCAATCTTTCAAAATATTTTCTCATTACAGAACTATTCATCGATGAAAGTGAGAACTTGTCAGAGGTGATGCCAAGAAAAATGCCAAAAATTAGGTACTTTCTGACGAGGTGAGCTATTTGATATAAGGTACAGAGTGTGAATGCCTACAACATCCTTCTTACCGTGCATTGAAGAATCGGTTGAGAAGTAATCGCTCTCAATTCTCATACACGTGAATATCATTACAGACATTGTGATCCATGAAATATTTAAATAAGTGTATTGTAGATTTCAACCCCTTGAATCGATCAATTTTCAAATGAATTTGAAATGCCGGCCATAAATATTTTTGCTGCAGGAAAGTCAGATGCTTTTTTGTGAGTATCAGCTGCCAATTTTGCATCGTAAAAGGCTGAGTCCGTAAAGAACATCTATTTCTTATCCATTAATGGGTACAAAAAAGTTACATTATAGTTCATCAGCATTTCTTTGAAAAAGTTTGAATAGATTAGTTAATCTGTCTATGAATTATTGATATATATAGAACGAATAAACATATTTTAAGTCCATACCGAAATATTTCTTTGTAGGTAACTCATTAAAACTTGTTTTAATGTTTCTTTGTCTGTTTTTCAGAGTGCAAATAGTATATTTTTGGAAGCAATGCAAATTCTAAGAAATTTCCAAGAAAACAGTGGAGTAATAGGTGGTTTGATTCTGTATCAAAATAGGTGAGTTTAAAATTTGTAAAGTTTTCTTTGACGACCCAGGAAAAAAAGTGTATTTCCCCAAGAGTTTGGATTAATTTCATCTTCAAAACATAGTAGGTAAAAACAAAAATATCAAAATCGTCTGACTCTGTTCTTACAGTGTTCTCCACACCCAGACTATTCGCAGGGTTGGAAAGTTTCAGCATTCATGACTTTTTATTAGCTCACTAATGGAGTATTCAACCCTTGTTCACTTTCTAATTTTTAGGGCTGTACGAATGTTCGTTTTGTCTGACTTGCGCACTATTTGCAAATTGCAAATATTCCCGCCGTCAAAAATAACGATTTTCCAAGGGGCAATCATGAAAGGTTGCGAGAACTTGCGCAAGGCTTCCATCCAAGACATCGCAAACGGCGGATCTCCGATTACCTTTACCAATTTTGCCAAGCTTATGAACAGCGAGCGCGTTTGCGATTTGCCCGCGTATCTTGGTTGCTCCCAGAGTACCACACATTAAGAGTTAAGTAATCAAGACGGAAAGAGGGAAAAGTTCATAAACACATTTTCATTTACACTGAAAAAAATAAAATACTAAAAATGTCTCTGGTGATCCTTAGATGCTAGGTTGACCGCCCGCTCAGTTACCTTCAAATTCTAGGAATGCATTCATAACTGCTGGAACAGTTGAGCAACAGTTGAGAGATTTTCAGACACATTCTTAACAGCCTAGGCATTTCATTGTTTCCTGTGCAGGTGTATGAACAAATGGAAAATTCTAACAAAAATCAATCACACCCATTTGCTGACTTTTGTAATATTTGCAAAATTTCGCACTTGAAAAAAAAGTTATTTTAAATTATTTGTCTTACTATACGTAGCTGTGAATAATTTACTTTAATTATTCACTTTTCGTAAATAATTTGCAAAATTATTTGCTATTTGCTTCCCTTGAAAAATTCACTATTTGTACAGTTCTACTAATTCTATTTAGTTTGTAACGTTCTAACGAAGTAGTTTTCACCTCCAGGGAAAAGTGTGGGCAGTGTTTTAATAACCCTTTAGGTATGACCTGTAAGGTTGCTATATACTTAACTGTTTCGTTTATTTGTGATCAATGTTGTTTGAAGCTATGGGTAGAGATAATGACAAACGTGAGAAATTTGTAGGCAATGTGAAATATTTTATCTCACTTTCTGATTTTTAAATACTTTTTTTTACAGAAAAGAGCCATTTTGAACCTCTTCAAGTTCAGTAATTTGACTCTTGGTAAATTTTATACATACAAAGAGTCAACCACATATCGTCGCCTCTCTGATGGAAGGGCATATCTCAATTTCCTTGTGAGCCCTAATTTACATGTGAACTCATGCTCTCTGGGGCTCACCCAGAAATCGAGTCACGCCCTCATGTCAGAGGACCGACGATATTATTCATGATAGCTGAGCGGGCTTTGAGTTTTATTTTTATTCCCATGATTTAAATTAATCTCTCTGACCTTTCTGTCTCCAGGGTGATTTGTTCTCAGTTAAGTCCTAACCTTACCAAACTCTTAGTTCTCACAGATCCATACCGAATCAAGGTAAGTGAGCTGTCATGTTATATGTCATCTAAAACTAATAATTTAGCATAGTTTCAATGTGGATTGTCTTTTCACAAGTTTGATGAAAGATTTCGTAAAAAAATTTGAATATATCAGGATGCCCATTCTTTTTAAATTATCATGCTGGAATATTGCTGAAATACCCTTCTTTATCATTGATTCATTTTTATTAAATACTTATGAAACTGATTATTACGTCAATTAAAGGAACTTTTATTAAAATTCCTCTGTTTAAATCTTGAGCTTTAGGTGAATTGCAAAACTAGAGAAATGTGTGTCTCTTGAAATTTTGTAAACTTTCTGCAACAGTTGACATAGTTAGCAAAAAATAAACAAGCCACGTCAAATGAAAACAGGGTTTGGAGTTTAATATTTCCATGCGACTCTTGTGTAAAAGAACAAATTTTAGCTCAAACTAAACAAATGTTCTGATCTTTGAGTTTTTGATACCTAGGTGAAAAGGCACAACATGTCAAACTCGAAATTACTCTTAACTCATTTTTTACTCTTAGTGACTCGGTTTCTTTCTGCCTAGCTGGGTCTTTTATGTTTTAGCGCAGGGAAACTTACCATTTGTAGTTACTGAAGTACATATCATTATGATTTTTTTTTTCAAGTGTTTTAAAATATTTTCTAAAATAGCTTTTTCTTTATATCTATGAGAAAAATTTTGAAAAAATCCATCTGCAAACAGTTTGAATCTCGAAAAGCCTAGAGATCATAAAGGTAGAAAAATATTATATTAGCCAAACTAATTTTATTATTCATGCTAGTAAACAACGATTCGTTTTTGTTATAATAAAAAAAAAAAAAAAAAAAAACCGAGAGAGGAGAGTTCAGCACTTCAAATCATTTACCTTATTTTACCATGCTATTTTAAAATACTATTTTCTATAGTTATAAATTAAGAAAACCTAAGTCTTTTTTTTTTAAATGTTTAATTTTGCTTTGTCACAGCTACCTGCAGAGAATGTTGCTATCAAATTTAATCTGCCAGTTGGAATGCAGCTTTTGACTGTGTACGCAAATAAAAATGAGTTATCTGAATTGACAAATGAAACTCAAAGTCTGCTGAAAACCATTAATGAACTTGAATCTCAAAGAGAAGAAATGAAATCTCAGGTAAAATTTGTTTTATTATTTTTTTATTTTCTTCTTTATACCTACTTCCCACTTACAGGCTGATTGTTAAAATTGATAGACAAAACTATAGACCAAGAAGACGAAAGGGATATGAGGAATCCTATTGGTGAAAGCGGGTGGTTGCAATGGACAAGGGAAGTAGGTCATAGACTAACTAACAGCAACCCTTGAGAGACCCTTTAGTTAGTCCTTCATTTACCCCCTCAGTCTGTAAGAACGACCCATCTCAACCAATAGGATAGCTCCTTACTCCTTATTTCTTCTTTGTTTATCGCTTTGTCTATCCATTTTAACAATCAGCCCGCAGGCAACTGCCAAAAATAACATAAAATCGTTGTGCAAGTTACATTTTTGCAAAGTTAGTTTTTGCAATAACGTTGTGATAACGATGTAGCAAAAACTTTTTGCCGGACAGGTTTCTTGCTCATGAATTGAGGAGTTGGGAAAATTGATTCTTTAATAATTTTTGGGAAGCATGTGAAAATGTTTGACCGTTACAATATTTTTCATCGCATTATTTCATGCACCTCAATGCCCCTCCTTCCTTCAATGAGGTTAACAAAGAAATTCCACAATTTTGCATGGAAATCTTGCCATTTACGTCCTTCAATGGAAGCCATTGTACCATATTAATTCATTCCCTTTAATTTAGTGTCCTTGACAACTTTATGAAGTTGATGAACTTAATGATCAACTTTATCTACATATATTTTCTCTTGACATAGATATCAAACGGGAAACCTACTCTAACCAAAGAGTCTACCATCGGCCTGAAAAGAGACATATCTCGGAATTTCACCCTCTTGGAAGAAGATGAAGAAGAGACTGTCCATCCTGGATTGAGTATTAACACAAGTATTCCTGATCTGGTCAAAGATGTGAGACATCACTCCTTAACCCAATCGAGTGTTTTTAACAATACAGCTGCTGCCAACACTGTAGCTGAGTTTTCTGATAGCAAACTACGCTCCCTTAGCGCAGAATCTATTCCTGCCTCCCTTTCCATCCCTGTCAGGTAAATTATGAAATTCTCCTCTAAGAATTTTGTTAGCCTCTTATGAAAAGTGTTTTTCAGTAGAATTTGATGAAATCTAAATGTCACACTCCTTTATTGAGCACCGAGGAGAGATCATGTGCCACTTTCAAGAATCATTATTTGTGCCCAGCTGTAACAATCTAGGTACTATAAAGCGCTAGGCACTTTAAATTCTTGCTCTGGATGACAGGGCGAGGAGTAAGGTTAAGTTACATCATATTTTACCAACAGATGCTGCCCATGATATTGGCAAGACTTTTTATTCTTTTCCGTTTCTTTTTTTCCGCTGAAAAGAATCAAGAATTAAAAATGTGAATGACAAGTGGTGAGACAAGGGCTGAGTGTTTCTGGTAGATTTTAGCGAAACTTTAATAGGCTGACACAAAATCGATCATTAGCATTAAGTTGTGTAATATCTTGGCTCCTACATGGTAGACTCGCCTAATTTTTTGGCTTTGTGCCAACAATGAATTTTAAATGAACTCATATCAAAATGCACTGAAAGCCACCAACCCCCTAAATGTGTGCAGAGTTCTTTCTTATTTTTGATCTTTTGCCTTTCCCTAGTTGTTTAATTGTGTTTTTTTATTCTTTTGTTTCAGGTACTACAGTTTGGGTTTTCCACCCTTAGATTTCAATTCCAAAGAGAAATCAAAATCTAAGAAGACACAAAATTTATTATATAATTCCATTTGTGATCCTGTTTTCCCATATTTTAAAAGTAATGGCCTGCCAGCCTCTTCAAGTATTCATGATGACAGATTAACGCAGCACTACTCAACTTTATTTCAGAAAAGCACTCTTGACAGTAAGTATTCTCCTTGTTTGTCTCACTAGTATCTTCAAATATCATGCATAATTAATTAAAAATATATAATTACCAGAATCTTTCAATTTAGTGATCAGAGACTGGATTGTGGAAAAGGCGTCATATCAGGTGAAAGTTTGGTTACTAGAACCTATAATATTAGAAAAACCCCTTATCAATGCACTCAATTTAATCAGCCTTGTATGTATATGTGACTTAAGGACTACGCAGATGAATCCCAAAATCCATTGCTCCACTATCTGCAAGATCATCTTGGCTAAACCAAGCAATTTTTACACATATCTTGAGTGGTCACAGTCCCTTTAACCCTCTGAAGGGAGTTAACACCCCATGTCTTCCTGTTTCTGTGTTTGGAGTAACTGCTTTCAGTTTATTTAGGTTATTTCCTCCTCTCTTGAATTTGAAACTCAATCAGTGGCTTAATTTTTTCTAGAAAAAAGCACAGGATCTTACCTAGAGTATTACTTAATCTACTTTTTTTTTACTTTTGCTCATGGTGTTACAGGCAAGGTTTCAAGATTTACAAAGAAAGATTCGATCAAAGGGAAGGCTATTGCAAAATCAGAGGAACCAAAAAGAGATAAACCAAAACGACCAATGAACCTTAACCTTCATTCCTTAGCGGGTAATTTTTTTACTTTTTTTAAAAAGAGTTTTTTTTCCTCAGTCAAAGTCTTGTTGTCTAAATGTTAGAGTGTAGCTCATTTGTTTTTAAGTGGTACATGCAAACAATGCAATGTATTTCGTATCCATTTTGTTTTGTCAACTTTCTTAAAAAATGGAAGGAATTTTACATACTTGGTGGCCCAGAAATTTGAAAAGAATTCTTCACGCTGATTCTTCGTTAACTTTTCGTTCTTTATTTTTTACAGACACCTCTGATGCCAAGTTTGATAATGAGAATAAAATGGGGAATAGAATTAGCGCCATGCCAATACCTCTAACACCTCTAATGGCAAAGCTGAATGCATTGAAACAGACTCAGGTGACAGAAAAATCCGATCTCAACGACCTCTCAGCGGGAGATTCACCGGTGGTGAACTCACAGCTGAGCATCGAAGAAATGTTGAAACAACTCTCACAACGGGACAAATTTAAAAAAGGAAAAAAGGAGCCGCAGAAACAAAGTGAAAGAACCCATCATGTCAACTCCACGACCGCTGTTGACTCAAAGTCTTGCCGTACAGAAGATGAAAATTTAGAAGAGTTAGGCCTGTTTGTTTACGGTTTTCAGAATACAACTTTGCTCTTACTGCTGAAGTCAGAAACTAGCTGTGACAGTGTGCAAGTTAATTCATTGGTAAGCTAATCAACGTCTCTAAACTTTTACTTTTTGCTGTTGTTATGAGAGACCAGAGCAAGACAACTCTATGAAAAAACAAATTTTTCTCATTCAAATCATTTGAATTGAACAAAGGCATCGGTGTAGATCAAGTATAGATTAAACACAAATATGACCTCGTTAGGATTTTCTGATTGTTTATACATATCATGGTTAATTTGGTAGTAAATCGATGGTGAAACTGCAGGAATGCAATCTTAGTTTGCTATATTACAGACTTTCTGCCTCACTTAATTATTTAAGTGGAAAAATACTCAATATCATATCTTGAATACCTCTTGATTTGATTGATTGTCTCTGTGTAGCAAATATTCATTGAATATTTCAAGCAACAACACTGGGTTGTTGATCTAGGAAATCAGGAGCTAAGATTTTGAACCACCGCGAACGTAATACGCTCCTTCAGTTTTGCTGTTGATATGTTAACACTTGTAGGAGAGGCATGGTTGCTTGATATTTGCACTGGCATCAGATGGGAATTTTTTTTCTCTACTGCTATGTCTACTTGATCAATTTCTGTCCTCTGTTATTGTCTTCCTGATCAACGGCAATGGTGCAGCGCAGTGTTGCCTTCTGCGGTAGCCTTCAATCAACTAACTTTGCCTGTCAGCCCATAGTTGAAAACTTCAACTTTATCTGATGCAAGTTCTTTCTCATGAAACTCTTTTCAAAATCTGTCAGAGACTAGTATTTTTCTTGTCACTTCTACTTCAGAGCTTTGTGAAACAGGGACATAGGCTGTTAACCAACAGTTCTTTACTGCCAACAAGTCTCAGTGCATACGCTTTGTACAACAGGTAAGACCAGTACCTTGAGAATGTTTAAGAACTTGTTTATAAACTATTCAGTAACAAAATTTATCTTTAGTCTTATTGATTTGTTTTAATTTTTTGTTCATGTATTTCAGTTTGACAGAAGCGTGGACAGCCTTCATAAGTTAGAATCTCATCTAGTTCACTCTCTTAGTACTATTTCTCAAGGAGATAGCGTCTCTAATTCGTATAGTTTCATGGCTCTTGATCCTGATTGGGGCACATTCTATCGAGGAGGAACTTGGGTCGGAGAGTCGTTTGAATTACTATCGTCAATCTACAATGATTTGAGGGAACATCCGGATTTCAGTGAAATTGTACTCAGGTCTGTTAAAGTAGATTTTTGCGTCTATCTTTTGTGTAAGGTATTTTTTAAAAAAAACCGGAACACTTTTTTTTTTTTTTTTTGTGAAAATTTGATTCTTGTCTGGGTTTATTCTTAAGTTGAAGTAACATGTCTAGAGCAGGTGGCCCTGTCGCTCCCCTTGTCAGTTGCTAGCACCTGCTAGGGAATGAGATTTTTGACGGCCCACTCCAAGCACATGCAGGCAGTAGTTGCTGGAGCTCGGTTTTCTACCCTTTTTCTAAGCAAAAAAAAAGGAGATAAAAAAGGTCGATTAAACACTTTTAACTTCAGTGAGGTCCCTTGAAACATAGAAAACTGAGTGTCTTCAAGTTGTATACTCAGAAAGTTTGTCTTGTTTTTGAAAAAATAATTCTTGAATACAATTGACCTCTAGACAAGGTGTGAATTTAAGCATTGATGTATGTTTTCTCATCAAAATGAAACGTAGAAGACAATTTCAGTTGCCGCTGATGATGGGACGTAAGGACCCGAAATGCGTAGGTACCCTCATTTTTACCAATATTTATGCAAGTGAGTAAGTTAGTGTTAATCAAAATTTTTGTGCTATTAAAAAGACAATTTTTACAGAAAAAATTACCCATAGTAACTCCTAACCAAGCTTTTCAAAATTTTTTGACGCATAGATTAAAGCTTCTTGCTCATAAAAAAACCTTAATCTACTTGAGTTAAATCACATACTAAATGTTACTGAGACAGTCTTTGTAGTGTAAAAATATAACAACTTTAATATTGGTGCTTCGGCTCAGCTAATGCACTTTTTTCATACTTTGAACGATTCAGAATGGGGCAGGAATACTGTTCATTTGGGTGCCTACAAAACCCTTTATAGTGCACAATTTGATTTAAGGAAACTCTAGTTTTTCATGTGAGCAGGAAATTTAAATTTTTCGCAACCTATCTTCAATAAAAACATTAATATCTTGGTGGGGGGTTAACTTCTGTAATTTTCGCTGCGCAAATGTTGTTCCATGTGAAATTTTGACGGGGAAACATGTATCAGAATGCTTGCTTGAATTCGTACGTTGTCCAATGATCCATTGTATTTTTGTTAATATGTAACTGGGAAAACTATCCCCCCTAAAAATCCTAATATGCTGGCCATCCCAAAATTCTAGCTTATCTTTGTCGTATGTAATCATTATAGGTAAGCTAAAAATTTTCGTTTTGAACATTTCTTGTGGGTCTATCTTTTTCAATCATTGTAGAGCAAAAATGGTAAAAGAAGTTATTTTGTTTTAAGTATCGAAATTTAAAATTTTTTAATTTTATAAGAAGAATTCTCCTGCGGGCTGATTATTGAAATAGACAAAGTGATAGACAAGGAAGACATAGGGAGTATGGAGCGATCCTATTGGTTGAAAAGGGTGGTTGTTATAGACTAAGGGGGAAAATGATGGACTAACTGTAGGGTCTCTCATGGATTGCCGTTAGTTAGTCTATTACTTACCTCCTTTTTCCACCCACTTCCACCAATAGGATTGCTTTATTTTCGGTTAGTCATCTTTGCCTATTGTTTTGTCTATCACTTTCAATAATCAGCAAGGAATTGTTTTAAACTGACAAAGCTAAACCGCGCCATCATAAAAGCTAAATTCAGAAGTTGGTAAGGTCTGAAGCTTTTCTATAGAAGATGGCAAAAATGTTACTATTCCATATTAACATAAGCAACAATGATTGCGTATTTCAATTCTAAATAAATATTTAATGAAAAATGTTTCTGTTTCCCTTTTTGTTTATTGTTTAGGTCAAATGATTCAACTGTATATGGATCACAGTTGGGACATAATCAAATATTTTACCAACAAAGATCACAAGCTCAAATTGGAGGTTTACCGGCACCTTCGGATCTGATGGGAACAATTCATTTGAAAGCAAAACGTAGGTTAGAACGAGATCACGGTTTCGTTTTATTTTAAAGTGAGTAACTCATAGGATCTTTATTTTAAAGTATTTATTTATTCTTATATTATTTTTTGCCCTCAAACAATCTATTTTTAAACGTGTTTTCTACTCAGTAGTTTTGTTTTTTTTTTTGTTAATTGTGTTCTGATTTTATTTTATTTTTTTTTTTTAAATTTTGGACGTGTTTGGTCTATTAAAGTAATCGTGCAGCTTGAATATGTAATATATGAATGAAAAACTGTACAAAACAAAGCCTCCGTCTTTAAGCTACATATCGATGACTGAAGTAAAAAAAATGTGAATCTCAGATGGTAACGTTTTAAGTCTCCTCTCGTGTTTCATTTTTTTTTTTTTTTTTTTTTTTTTTTTTTTTTTTAAATTAAAACTAGTAACAAGTTTTCGTCGACATTTCCAGTAAATGCTCTTCCCTTATTTTATAAAAAGCACACTAAATTACAAGTGAAAACTTTGATCAGTTTTGAGATTACAAAATATAATCGGAAATTTTTAAATGTTGCAAAACAGGTATGCATTTTTTGAATTTAGCCATTGCTATGTACTCCTTAAATATGGCATGTATTGTATCTGCTGTTTCAAAGCAGCTTCATTCAGTAATATAACTCTCTGCAGGTGGAGACGATTCGATTATTGTTCTGTGGAATACTATCTTCCAGCTTAGAGTAAGTGAACAAAAGAATTTCATTGTATTTTTTGTTATTAATTTTTTCTTCTTGAAATGTTTAAAATAGCAGGGTTTTTTTGTTTTTGGTCTCTTTTTTGCAAACATTTCCAACAGTGTAACTCGTAAATTGTAGAACTTTAGGAAACCAGGAGCAGGCAATGCTCTTGAAATGGATTACATTTCTGGTCTGAACATTAAGATATCCCATTTTGGAGGTCCCTTTTGAATTTTTTTACTGCCATTTCAGTGAACGGTCTCAATGTAAAGTATTTTCTATGTCCATCGTTGTAAATAGAAAGCAGTCAGTTTGCATTTTCAAAGTAAGTAAAAGCTGTAAAAATTTGTACCAAAATGTGAATTGAATTTTTTTTTCATTTTTCATAATGGTCTTCATTTGCAATTAAAAAAATAGCAAATAACCACAACATATTTTTGGCATTTCAGCAGACATTTCAGAATCTGGAACTTGAAACTTTATGAGTGCTCTTAATAACATGTTAACTTCTCTGTCTGTGTTTTTTTTTTCTCTCTCTCATATATGTATTTAAATATTTTACCACTATCATTGTTATCGCAATGTTTTCCTTGCTTTTTAATTTTCATGTCCTTAAATTTTATACTCCATTAGCCCTTATTTACTAATTAAATTTTAAAGCTTCCAATCGGAATTTTATGATTTTGGTTTCAATTTGTCCACATACTTCTGGATTAAATTCTGATGTTCTCATAGTCATTCCATTTTTATAAACACAGCAGTAATTCTTACAAAATGTCATTGTAAATAATTGGTATCTGGTAGAACAGTATGCCTCCCCTGGATTTGATTAATATCAATTGTTTTACATACATTTAAAGGAACAAAGCCCAGTGTTGCCAACTTTTAAGAATTTCTATTTTGCGAATCTAACAAATTTATGCATTATTGTTACAAACTTACAGTTTATTTTGAAGATCTCATTTTTACCAAACCGATGGCTCCAATGTTCTGAAATTTTGTTGAGACTACAACGTTTCTTTTCCCCTTTTTCTCTCGCTTTCCACTATTTTTTATTTTATAAAGTGTTAAAGTATTTGCTCATTCAATATATTTTACTTAATTTTTAATTTGTGTGTTCAGAAACTACAATCTGTTAAAAAAAAATTTTTTTCGTTATGTTACTCTTTTGTGACAGTATCAAATGATAGAACTTTTCGAACAATATGAATGGTCTTTCCTTTAGGGAGGGAGAGAGGGTTTCTTGGTAATATCACAATGAAGAGTCTGGGACAACCCAGTTAACTAATTTGAACACTCCAAGATTCTTTAGTATTAACATCGAAGCACTTGTAGGTCTTAGGCAGCATTTGTGAATTCAACACCAAGAACATTCCAATAGAATGTGAGCTAGATTTTCCCCTGCTCTAAATTAATTTATTTTCCACCCTACACCCATTGTAATACGCCAAATATTCTAAACATTTGAAGTGAAACGGTCAGATAGTTACATGTTTACTACTTAGTTATTAAATGAGTTATTCAAGAGGTTTTTTTTCCATCCAAATATTCTTCATACATACTGATGGCAGTAATAGTCATCTCTTGTGAAAAACAAGTGCCAATGCTTCAATTTTATTTTTCTATCTAGGACTATCTAATTTATTATAAGTTTTACCTTCAACATATTTAATTATATTTTTTGTTGTTGTATCATGTCGCAAAAATGTCCATTAAGTAATTGCAAATTAAGTATTCTGTTTTTATCATTGATTTTTCTACCCGTGTTTTCTAATTTGATGATAGTTTAATCCAGTACCCAATTTATAAATCTTTTTTATTGAGCTGAACTTCTTGTGCAATATGAGTATTATTGTTAGTATTGAAATTTAAGTCTAAGAAAATGTATCGAGGTTGTGAATGTGTACTTCTACATCATGTGTAGTGCTCGGTGTAACTCAATGTTGTTTCCAATTGCTGCAAGCAACTTCTTTCATATCAAGCAATATGAAAAAGCTTAAACTCCTTCCGAGGTAAACACGAATTCATTGGTTTCTCTGCAAGAGCTTCTCATTAATTGGATGTATTTCTGCCAAACAGAACTATGTGCATTAAGACATTAGCCCTGAAACCCATAAGAATAAATGCATAACAGGCCTCACGTCATAATGCACATAGTTCTGTTTGGCAGAAATACGTCCAATTGCAAGAACAGGCATTGTTTAAAAGAAAATGTATCTATTAGTTTGGCAACTGCCTACTGTAGTTGCTCAATTTCATATGAGCCACATTTGTTTGTAATCTGCACATCAGATCTTAGTAGGAGTAAAAGAGAGGAAAAAATGATTTGCCTATTAGCAGCTAATTTCTACAAGACAAGCCAAAAAAAAAAAAATTTAAGAAATTCAGGGAGCAAAAAAAGTGTCAGAAAATGGCATTTAATTTTGGAAAATTGGCAATGATTCAATTTCTTCGTCTCTTTCTTGTTATCCTGGCATTGCAATGAAGTAATGTAGCAAGGAGGTGGACCGATCTGTGCTTGTCAGCCTGTAAGGCAAGGTATAAAACTATGAAATGAGTCTTCCATTAGCCAACTGCAAACTGGCACTGGAGAAATAGTGTGCATTTCACACATCAGTGCTCACAGTAACTCGTAATCATGAGAAATGTAGCTCTTTCATCCGAGTTGTATGAACATTTATTGCTGTGAATATGTTCTTTAAGTTTAATTGTAAGTGATTTATTTTGTATTCCTCTCTTAATCTCATCAATTTTTCAAGGAATCCGGCCAAGCCCCCCCCCCCCAGTCAAATTATGTCCTTTTATTTAAACAAATTCAAAAGTTATGTAATCAGCCAGTTTTTTTCCAATCTTGATTTGCTGTTCTTTTTATCTTGGTGAGTGAGTAAAGTGGTTGTATTTTGTCGGAAATTTTGTTTCACTGTACATATTCTTGATGATTAGTATGTTCATCTGACAAAGAATGAGTCTATTTTTTAACTTTGTCCTGTGTCACTTCATATATGCACAAGGCGTTTCAACTCTGGACAGCAATTAAAATGCCTGCAGTGTAATTTGCATGAGTGATTTTAATCATTAATGTTGAAATTGAACTTAAATGATGTGACATATTGATTGTGATAGTCACTGAAAAGGCACTTCAATCTGCAAAAATACAGACTTCTTGTTATTTCTTATTTTTTCCAAGGTAAAACATTGGACATTATAACTGAACTCTCACTGATTTCTCTGCATAGTAAATAGAGTATCTGTTGACAATTTCTAACAAGAACTTTTATTTGATTTACTTCAAAAAACAAAAAAGTGTCATCAAAGTACATGTTTTGGAACTCTTACCATTGATATAGAGAAGGAAGGGGAGAAAGTAACATTTTTTCTTTGCTAAAAATATTTTGTCAAATAATCGTACATAATACAGTATCAACTGATGGAAATGCAAATACACATCACTAAAGTAGGACTGACACCATTTCAAATACTCTTTAATAATTTAAGGTCGCTCAAAATAATTATTTAAGTGTGCCAAATTTGTCGCTTTATTTTTGGTTACACCATCGAGAAATTAATATATGTTCTATCCAGAAATCCCTTTTTTACATCTCCGCTGTGTAGGAGTAGGACTGAACTCTGACAAAGTGTTTCTCAGGGGTCACATTCAAATTCGTCACATGAGCTCTATCTTTCACGATGATTAGTTTTGGCAAACTTTACAGCTGCAAGTTTCAGTTTTCATGCCTAGAATCATAGTTGGGGTGAAGATTTTTTCTCTTCCATGAGGTTCAAATTTCTCTCTATTGTATAACCTTTGTGATAAGGGGTGCCATTAATTCATAAATATTTTTCATTTTCAACATTGTTGCCAGTTATGCAAAAATCAAGTCTTAAATAGTGACCTTTCCGAATCAGGAGTTTTGTGCATCTGAATGCTTTTATCTGTGTTACTTGGACACAGCATGACTATTACATCCAGAAACTTCTTGCCTTCACTTCATTTCGATGGTAAAACTGCACAAGCGCATTTCTCGGTCTCAGGGGTGCAGAAAACCCTCGATAATGTGGAAATGTGGAAAAAAGCCCGCACCAAAATGTAGGAAGGTGCGAAAATGTTAAAGGGTCAAAAGTCACAGGGAAACAGAAGAAAAAGGTGAAACTTTTGGAATCGGTGGGAAATTTTGTGGTAAGCCGATGAGAAAAATGCGGAAACGAGGAAATGCGGAAATGCGGAAATGCGGTAGAAGCATGGAAAAGTGGAAGCTTGGATTTGCACCCCTGCTCAATCTGCGGCATTGCAGACTTCCTTTCATATTTTATTTTCTATATGGAAAAATGATAAACGTCAAATTTTGAAACTTTGGTGTTTTTTCGTCTCTATGTAAAGGGAACTTTGTGAAAATTCATGCTGTGTTGATGAATTGGTCCTCTTTTATAAAATAAAATAGGAAGGAAGACTTTGAAACACCGCAACGGAGGTAGTGTTCCTGTAGTTTCACCGTCAATTTTTGACACCCAGCAACCTTGATGTTTGAACCATTTTGACGTTTTGAAATGAGGAATCCACTTTCCATTAAAAAATTATTTTTCTTGCAACCCTTTTCTCAAGCAAAAGTTATCTTCTTAAGGGATGTGCTACTTTCTATTCAACATTTAAGTAAATGTAAAAATTGTTGTTTCAATCTTCTCAATAATTTGTCAAGATCCTAGAGCAAAAAAATTTCTCCTTAATATAGAGTGAAACTATTCTTATTTGTTAACTTTTTTGTCTGTGGTGCCTGGTTAATTTTACTTGCTTGTTAAATAAGTTTGGTTCTTATTTCGAGGATACAAAATTAATGTTTTTCCTCTTTTTAAAACTTCTCAAAAACTGAACTTATCAAGAAGGATGGAGCTTTAGGCGCAGTTTGCTAAATTATCCCTCCATTAGAATGAATCTTAAAGTTACTGAAAGAATGAAACTATTTTGATATGTTTTGCGATTGTCTATTTCCAAAATTTAAGTAAAAATATCCTAGTCAGTTAGACTTAAGTTTTATTTTTATTTGGATGTATGTACATGAATAAAATAGACAAATTTTTTATACATGAGATTCTTGTTTTAATCAATAACTAATTTCCTTATTTAACCAATCAACCTTGAATGAATGAGTGCTGGGAAGACTCATTCATTACCACCTAACCATTTCTTTTAATGTAGGCAGCGCTATGTTCAAATTATTGATACTGCACACTAATTTTCATAAGTCATTTAATGTGATTTATGAGAACTATCATAAATTGAAGACAAAAGGTATTGAAAATCGGGGCAAATTGTTTAAAGTAAAAAGACTGATTCACCTAAGTAAACAGTTTTTATTTGTACACAGTTAAATTATAAAAATGAAAAAGAGAGAATTAAGGCATCGCAAACAAAAATTGAAATAAATAACTAATGACTTTACAAAATAAACTAGAGAAAGACAACAGTGGAATCATTACAAACTAAATAATTACATTGAACTTATACATACAAAAAATAAATAGGACAATCGATACAAAATTTACAGCAAAAATATGAAACCGAAACAACATCAAACACCATCATTTTCATTACATGCTTAGGAGTCTTACCTCAAAAATGGCAATACTGAGAGTACAAAAGGAAAAAAAAATTAAAGGAGAAATAAGAAGAAAATTTCAGTATCAGGAACTACCAACTCATACGATAAACTTGAAAAAAAGTTAACCTTGGTCCTAAAACGATTAAATGTTTGATGTCTCAAAGTGAAAAGGACTTAGCATGCTCCTTCAAGGTCAGCAACTCCCAATACTTATCAAAGGGCAGTATTATCAATGAGGTCTGTAGACGTTCTATGAATCTGTGATAGTGCTGAAAAAAATTCACTTTATAGTCCTGGGGCTAAAGGAAATGGCTTGAGGAAATTGGGCAATTCCCTTAAATCTTTCTTGTTTATTAAATCAATCTTCAAACGAATAATTGGATCTCTTCATCCCTTATTACATGGACTTTTGGTCAATAATGCAAGCAGGGAGTGAGACTGACGATGAGTTGAAAAAACTTGTTGAGAACATGCATGGAACTAGCCAAATAAAGGTACAGTGCTTAAACACAGGAATTTTTCAGAAAAAATTATTCCAATTTTAGCAACAGACTTTTCATTGGCAATGTCATTGATAGTCATATGTTCCACTAATGCTTGTGTAATGGCAGGTTAAAATTGGTACATTTACGATGAAAAAATAATCTCAGCCCTACTACATGAAAGCGAAATCAAGTAGAGTCATACATGTGCATGAAAACTTAAAAACCAAAATATGATTAAAAAAACTTTACATTAGTATAAGGTAAAAAAAAGAATTCTTAATTTTTAAACAAGTATTATTATAGGCACTTTTCAAGACAAAAATTTGAAAACATTGGAAGATTCATGAAACTAATTAAGGTTTTGATCTTATTGTTGACAATTTTTAATCTACCTAACTTCTCATTACAGCATAATTGACTACAAAATACATTTTGAATTTAGTATAAGTGCTTAGGTGATGAGCAGCAAACGAGAGACATATGACAAATTATCTACATAAAGAAAATCATTTAACACAAGTATTATCCTTCCTTCCTTTTCACAAGTACTTGTTTACAAGTCTTTGTAGAATCTAAACTGTATTACTTATGAGATGAGATCTAGAATAAATGTTTGGTTATTTCATATCTTTTAAAGTAAAAAGTTAGGTTGCTGATTTTTTATGAAAATTCCGAATTTTTTTGTCAAGTAATGCAATTTTGGAGTATTTTCTGGGCTAAATAAGCAACCATTAATGAATAAAATATAGATTACAAACAGTTTATACAGAGAGCATGACATTATTGCACCAATTTATTCTACATCAATCCATCTTCATAAAGCAATCTGCCAAAAAAAAAATAAGTATTTTGGTCTCTTAACCTCTTCGTTAACCCCTAAAGAGTCTACACATCAATCAGAGGTATTAGCTGTGTTGAAACGAGGGACCATAGATCATAGTAATGCGCTATGATTGTTGGAAAAGTGAACACAAGGAAAATAGTAGTAGAGCAGGGGAGCGACAGATTGATCTAGATTCAGGGCGTGACATTTCAATCTCGCAACTTGAGCTTATCTACGGCTTTAAGGGTCACAAGCAGGGAAACTACATTTACAGCTTCTTTGTACAAGTTACATACATATTTACAATAATAAAAGAAAATTTATACAGCACAATTATGGTGGTCACTACGAGGCGATCGAAAATAAAACTTCGACTTCATTACAGGGCGATAGTCTTCAAAAATAAAATAATTTCATGCAAATGGGTGAGTAAAAAAACTCTTGACAGGGGCTATTTAATAGGTCACTACGAGGCGATCGAAAATAAAACTTCGAATTCATTACAGGGCGATAGTCTTCAAAAATAAAATGATTTCATGCAAATGGGTGGGTAAAAAAACTCTTGACAGGGGCTATTTAATAATTGGAAACCATTATGTTGATGTAGAAATATGCAGGCAATAATAAAATAAAGGAAGGTAGTCAATGAGAGAGTGATTAGGTGAATTATTACTTGGCAATACAAACTACATATATTACACGCCAAGAGGGGGATTTGGATTTTTTTTATGAGTCTTTGTTATTTTCCTCAGGTTTTACCCATAAAAAGTCTGTTCACTTGACTGCATCTCTTGCATGCAACAGACCCACTGTACTACTAAACAGAGATTCTTTCAAGTATTAGCCCAAGTTAGGCATGCGCGCAGACACTGATCTAGTAAAATGCAAAGAAAATTCAAAATTCAAAAAATTGCATCAAAAAAATTTTGAAAAGAGAAACAATCAATGTCAAAGTTCAGATACAATTCCTCGGTGTTTCAGGTTGCCAATGCATACCTCATTTCACAAAAAAGATGGAAGATGAAATGATTCACCACAAATTTCAGGTAATGAATGATGAAAGATAAAATACATAAAATTCCTCAGGAGCCCTTATGTTTAAATATCAAAAATAAATAAGACATGAACAACTATTAGATGATATGTATCAAAAGACACTCTGATGTCATTATTTGAAGAGTGTGCAAATTCTAAAAATTTAAGCAAAAATTTCATAAGAATCTAAAAATGTTCTATGTAAGTAGTGATACACTTTTCAAACAGTTGTTTTGCATAACTTCCTAATGAATTCTACAACTACACATTAAAATTCCATTAAAAATTTCCTCGTAGAAAATTCTCACTTGATTGCATACATGAATGACAAAGACATAAGGAAAATTATAGACTTTATTGGAAAAGACTCATGGTCGAGTATAATGCATTAATAAATGATAATATACACATTCCTTGGGTCTTCAAATACTTGTAATGAATACAGAGGAGGTAGATAATAAAAAAATGTAATTGAGGAGGGGAAGGGAAAGAAAAATTCATCTTTTTCTTTCAATTCAATGATAGTTATTGCCTCGCGGGTAAATGATAAAGCTAGCCATGAGATCAACTCAACAGAGAAAGAGTTACTAATAGCTGAAAGAGCTAAAAGAACATCAAACTACAGAGAAACCATTAATAACAAAAAAAAATCTCTAGTGACTTAGAATTGCAAAATAAACTTCCCTCAAGTGGCATTTTCATTGAAGAATGCCTCAAAATTATTTAAAGACTACAAATTATAATTGAAAATGAACTTGTTGATCGACGATGGAATGAGGAAGCGTGATCAAGCATGAAGTAGTTTTTAGATTCCCATCAAAATAAAGCATACAAAGACCATTAGAAAGCCTTAATTTTCAGAAAGTCATTACATCTAATAGAACTAGTTATCCTAGACAATTTACAGGGAAGAAAATCCTGCATAAGGAACAGTCTTTCATTTAAAGATAATGAATACTAAATTAGCTTCTGTAGCTTCTAAAATTACGTATTTACAGTCTGATCACAGATGGAAAAACTGCTAATAACTACTAAATACACATTAAGCAATCATAGCGTTTGGAAAAAATAAAAAAAATACTGAGTAAAATTAAGAGTTATGAACAAGTCAATAAAGTAAAAATGGACTGAGACATTTTTGTAAAAATTTTAAAAAAGTATTTCTTGGATGGCAATTTCAAGTGTAAATACTGGGCCATATTTAGCAACAAAAATAAAGGGAGGGGGACGAAAATAAAAGTACTAAAAATAAAAAAATCCTGGGCCCAGTAATGCTTTTGGACCTGAGCCAACAGAATTTGTACATCAGAGGTCCCAAATAGATAAGTCCAAACAATGTGACCTCTTTCGATCTAACTTATCTAACTTTTGAGTTGGTTTTGATGTCATTTGGAAATTAGTCTCGCTAGATATGAGAAAAGTGGAAGATAGATTAACTGTTGATTAATAAATTGTTCTCAGTTCTATAAATTTGCAGTGTGAAATTAAAACTAAACAAAGCTTTACCTCTTTAACAGATTTACCTATGAGCTTTCATTTCAAAATTTCGAGACGAAAGAGAAGAAAAAAAAGAGACACTCGACAACAAAAATATTAGGAGATCTAATTTAAAGACATATTGGCTCAGGTCTTTATAATTATTTTAAAAAAAAATCTAATACATAAAACAGTCTTCAAAAAAATAAGTCATTTGATAAAAGCTCCTCTTTTAAACGAAAGAAGAAAACCCTGGTAATGGCGCACGAGATCGGGCCATGTTATTCATGATGATTTGTCCACCATTTAAACTAACAACTGTACTACCCTCTGGCTCGGAGTCGGTGTAGCTTGAATAATTACGAACAGGTTTCTGTCGCTTCCATGACTGTCGCAAAGAGTCATTTACATTTGCGTAGTGATTCACAAACGAATGAGGGTCTGAGCAGACACTCTCATTTTCACTTTCGGATCCCTGAAAAAGCAAAAAACATAGGAATGTAGAAATATTTGAGAGAAAAGGCAAGAGAAATTACACTCATTCATCACTAAACTGATCGTCAGAGGACACCAAAAGTAAAATCTGTCAAAGACCATCAAAATGTTTTAAGATTTTGCGAGTATTTTTCCCACTTTTCTTCAGGATAATCAAATTTAGACCAATCAATATTCCTTCAGAAAATATATACATATATCGACAGCGTAAGTCCGAAATCACAAATCTCCTTTGCGGTGTCTGAAAATCTTCGCCTCTATGTTACTTTTTTAAAAAAGAACAAATTGACATCATTCCTTGAAGTTTTTGCAGAATTTTCTTTGCACAGAGAAGAAAAATCACGACAGTTTTAAAGAATTGCCGTTGAGTTTTCCGTTTAAAAAATGAAGAATGACAGGAAGTCTGCAGTATTGCAAACCGAGTTATAGGATTGCAGACTTACACCTTTGATATATATGCATTCAAATGCCATATCCGTGGCCAAAGTACAAAACTAAGTATCTCCATTTGCAACGTTGAAGACTTCCTGTCATACTTCATTTTTTATATGGAAAACTACTAACTAGTCACTGTGATTTCTTGAACACTTCCTCGATGGTCTTTCTGTCAGCAGAGCATTCTAAATTTGAAGCTTTATAGTCGACTTCTTTCTCTACCAAGAAATAAATAAATACCCCTGTTCCAAATGGTCTCCCTAGGAAAAGTACATAAATGCAATTACTTTAAGATGAGAGAAATGGAAATTGAAGAATTCAATTACAAACCTGTGAGTCAGTTGAGCTGATTTCTGATGGTTTCTCCGTTACGGAACTGTCATCAGGGTTCTCATCATATCCTTTTAGACTTTCCTCATCGCTATGATAAGCAACGGAGGCCGGGGATGGTCTTGGTGGAGATTTACCCAGCATTGGATGAGGCCCTGGATGTACCATAGACTTGCGTGCTAAAGTTCCTCTCTTACTCAGAGTTCCACTAATACTAGCCCCACCAGCATGTCTTGACCGGTACAACTCCAACGCAAGTTGCTGACGATCATCAATATCCATCGCCATGGACTCTTCTAATGTCTTCTGGGCTTCTTCTGTAAAAGGAAAACCAGTTGATTAAAATACGACCGACATTATGAAGGAATCGTCACTCATTACAGGCATTGAGTTGTTCAATAGAGCCAAAAATTTCTTATCTGAGTTAAAAGAGTCAATAAATTTGAAAAATAATGTAGATTGGTTGTCGTCAAGATTAGTTTCTTGTAACTCTAATGAATTCAATTCTTTCTTTGCTGGTATAAATGATTTTGATTTACTTTTGGGATATGAACTGCTTACAGGATGAAGTTTCCTGAAAATAGCAAAGGCAAGACTAGATAAGGGTGTCCTAATGATATTTGGTAAACTAACAGAAAAGTTTCCTCACAAAGTAAGAAAGAACTATTTGGGAAGCCTCACTGATAGTAATCAGAGTTTTGAGAACTGGCGAGAATGAGTTGGAATTGTCTACAGCGGTTTTGCAGGCTGAGTGACCCAAAAGACAGACATGGATAAAATAACCAATACGTACTCATGGCTGGAGAAGTTCCAAGGAAGCCGGCACCAGATTTTACCAATATTAACTTAACAAGGCTCACTAATGACTTACAGACGAGGATTTTTTTAAACAGCCTTAAGACTAAGTGTAACCTTTAATATGACCTTGAATTGGAGAGGAATAACTTACGTTTGTATTTGTGACTTTTGCTTTTGACACACAGAATAGCAATCACCATGATGATTATGACAATAGAGGCAGCAGCTAAAGCAACCATAAACCATGTCTGTCGGTGGAAAGGCTCTCGTTGAACATAACTGTAGGAGAATCTTGTTGGAATAATAATCTATAAAAAAAAAAAAAAAAACCAGAAACAATGATAAGAATGGATAGACCACAATGCATATTCATCCAGCTCATTAAGAGATTCAGCGATCCTAAAAAATCAAATAAGGATTGAAAAATTCTAAAAATCCATATTGTCCCCATGAAAGTGTTCCCTTGAAAGAAACATAAATTGCTCTAGATTGTAATTGTAGTGGCATGGTGTTTAAGTGTCTTACTTCCTGCCGTGTCTGACAACTCATTTGAATCTTCAAGTAAAATAAGACAACAAATAAAAGGAACTCTTCTGTCTTTTTTCTAACTTCTGTCTTTTTTCTAACTGTAATAAAGAAAAATGAGGCTCAAGTTGAAAGAGAGAAAAGACAAAATGAATATGACAACTGATTGTAACTATAGCTCATGACAAACTCGGCTGGATTTTCAGAAAAGAACAGAAGCTGCTCCCCCTAGATCCTAACCAGTATTTTTAATACTGCTCCATACATACTCCTTTCCCAAACAATTACAAGTTTTCCTCTTGATGAAACCTATTTATTTTGTATTCCTAGTCCATAAAACTTGCAGTATATTTTTTGCTAAAATGCGCGTGCATCTTTTGAAAATGATATGCAAGGACGAGACATGATGTGAGAATGTCACTTGTCTTGCTAATTTGCAGGGAGAAAAAACAAATTGACCTAGAATTACAACTCTTTAAATCAAATGAGGTTAATTTCAATCTTCTATTCATCAGACAAATTTAGGATTGCTCTTATTGCTCCCTTAAAGGGACTAGAGGATTGATTCGTTAAATTGCGATTCGATAAATGAAGGTCATACTGAAAATAAGATTACAAGAACTTACAGGATTTTCATAGGTAGCAGGGTAACTGATTCCGTACTTGTTGTACGCTATTACACGGAGATGACAGACTGTCGAAGGAACAAATGTTTCATACAAGATTGTATACTCCTCTAACGGGCCATTGGTTGTTTGCACAGCAGTTGTCCATCGTGTATCATCTGAAATTTTAAAGGAAAAATTAAAAGATGAAAAAAAAAAATTAAAATAGCACCTGAAGGAATCTGATGAGGAAGACAAGAAAAGGAGGAACCTGAGTTGTACAGTTGTACATTGAGCCTCTAAAGCACATATTTGAAGTAATATACTTACAAAATTTAAGTTTCAGAACACAAAGCCTTACTTCAAATGAATTAGAAAAACTTTTCCCGAGAACTATAAAACGTTCACAAGTTCGCAAAAAGCTGGTGATGGAGGTGCCATTCATCCGAAATGTGTCTCTCAATATTAAAGCTATGCGCACGTGAGTCCGCAAAATAATTTTATTCCTCAAATGAATACTTGCTCTATAAATATTGCCGTTGGTTCAAAAGAGTCTATACGGCTTCGCCGCACGATTAAAAATGAAGTAGCATGCTTTGGGGAAAATAATAGACAATCTTTAAAGAGAAATAATTCTTTGAGAGATTTCAACACATAAATTGATGCTAAGTTCCTTTGAAAATGAACATTTTGCACAGCCATTAAAACAAACTTACTGAAAAAAATTTAGAAACATTTAAATAGTCTCATACAAAAACTCTCTTCATGTTCAAATCTCACACAAATGATTATTGCCAATGATAGCAAACAGCAAGCAAGCTATACTATCAAAGAAGAAACAAGCTTCGGTTTCGAAATTATGTTATAAGCAAGAAAAGAGCCCCATGAAAAGTATGATCCTATGTACTGCAAGTACACGTCTGATCATACTTCAACAGATTGCACACAGAGAAAAAAATATCTCAAATTGAATCTGCATATTTTCTCTCCTTGACATGAATAGGTAGTTCAGTAAAAGAATCACAAAAAGGCGTTACAAAACTACATAAAAAACAAGACAGTAAGATACAGGAGCACCATTTCAAACCCAAGAAAGTCAGTATAGTGGGGAGAAGCAAAATAATTAGTTACAGAGTTAGATCTAAATGAAGTATTTTCCAAAGAAAACGGAAAGAAATCTACATATGTATGCAAAATAGATAAACAAATGAAACCGAAAAAAGTAAAATGATTATCATTGCTAAAATTAACCAGGCGGGGACAAAAAATCATGCAGAAAGCTGCTTAAATGCAAAAAAAGAAAAGAATGACGTGGAATTGGTTTCAATATTCACTCGTTCCTAGACACAGCAAATTTTCTGAGAGATTTTAAAACAAAAAATTTGAATTGAACACTTGGATGGATTTGATTGCTTTAGAAAAGACAAACAGTATTTTACTTTAAATGTAGAGATGAACTTCTGCTGAAAATGGACAGCCACAACTTTTGAAATGTACATAGAACATAAAATAGAAATGACATTCTCTTCAACTTCATGTTTATCCGGCTAAGACTGAACGTTGCATTTGCCAAGAAATGTTCCTCCAGCAATTATTTACAGAATATAACTCAATATGGGACAAATTCTTTGGCATAATATCTTTTCCAAAAAATAAAAAAATAAATGAATGAATAAAATAATGCTGTAGGAGTTAGGAGTAATCAACAAATTGGCAGGGAGAGTATTAGTGGCGGGTACACATACAATAAATTGTTTAAATGAATGGAAACTTACGATCTTGCCAATCTTCCAAAACTAGTTAAGAAAAAGAAAAAGAAAAAAAAGAAAAATAAATAACGGCATGAAAAAGTTAAAGACCAAATTTATTTAAAAGTACTCATAAACCAAAAATTACCTCACCGTTATCAGAGGCACCATAGAGTTTTAGAATGATATATGTACATACATAAGATTCGCTTTCATAGCGCTCTCTGTCTCTCTGCGACAACTAACAGCCATGGTACCCTCTACTTCTCCACAACTCTTCAGGGAGTTGGCACTCTCTCATTTCGATTAAAACCCCCAGTCCCCATCATTTCACTGGGCGTCTCCTTCGTCTCCTTCCAGGAATGAAATACTCCCCCTTGGAGGAACAATAAGTAAATAGATGGGTGCCTGCTATGTGACTCATCATGGAAAACACTCGCAGAGTCAGAGTCAGGCACAACAAAATTTGAATGAAGATAAACAGCAGGAGCAGCAGCAGTATAATAATATAATACCTAAGTAAATATATATAATAAAGTAGACAGCCGCAAAAACTTTCATTTTCCTTAACTATCAGTTACCGTTAAGCACAGCGGGCAACTTCTATTATCTTCAAATTTTTAGCTATCATTATTATAAGGTGCTTTAACTGTCTGCAAGTTTCCAGTATGGGATAAAGCTTGCCCAATTTTTTTTTATTTTATACAGATAGGATACATGGTTGATCCTGCTATTCGAAATAATATCAGGTGGTCTTGGAATAATCTCTCAGCTTGCAGGATAAGTCTTTTGCATGGTTAGTGGCAGGGAGTCCAAGCAAATGGTGGCTAGTCTCTGCCCCCTCCTTTCCTGGAGGAGCAAATTAAGTAGCCGCTAATACAGAAACGGTTTCAGGATAAAGCTGACCCCCTTTTTCCTAAGATCATGACTATAGATTTCTCAAGTTAAAGACCTTTTATCAGGCATCTATTCCGTTTTTTAGCAAAAACCCCAATCCAAAACTTTCATAGCAACCGTAAGTTAAAGTAAAAACTTAGAGAAGCAAAAGAGCGCTCAATAAAACACTGTGATCAGGAGAAATTTGTAGAATACTTTTCATGGAGAATACACTATTATTTTTTTAAAAAAAATAGTTTTTTGTATGTGAAATACCATTATATTTGGCACCAGTTAGTTATTAGTTGTACAATATTTACAACTGACTTGCCAATTAAATAACCGTGCTTACAATGAAACAATTTTAAGCACACGATTGAGATTGATAAGTATCGTTTTTACAAAAATAAGTGGTTTTGAAGATAAGAAGAGCATATTCAACCAAGTGCGGAAAGAAAATAAAAAAAAAGAAGACAATGAAAATAGCAGATGTGTGCAAAAACTTGATGATCTGCTAACTTTTAGCATGCCTACTCAGACCGTGAAAATTAGTTTAGAGATTGATTAACTGCCACCATCAATTCTATTCAGTTTTGTAGGCACCCTTTTCATGAAGAAAATAGATCACGAAAAATACTAAAGTGTGAAATTACCTCTTCAAGTTAGGGTCTAAAGAAGGCTGAATAAGTGAGAACACACATGAAGAGATTGAAAGGAGGGCAGAGAGAATGGTAAGCATGGGTGAAAATAAATAGAGACTTACCATTCGGCCTATATTGGAAATGATAACCGAGGATGGGACCTTGCCCAGATGGCCCATTGGTCCATTTTAATTTCACAGCAGAATCGTATTCCATTTTCATGATGACTAAATTTTGTGGACTGGTTGGAGAGCCCTCTTGAGGACCTGTTGTGACATTGTCCTTGACTGCTGGACCATAGTCAATAGTCTGGGCTCGAACGCTGAATGTATACGACACTCTTTCTTCCAGAGTTGTTAATTTTAAACTTGTTTCCGTTACTTTTTGTTTTACCTGCTTGCTGAACTCTGAAAAATAAATTTACAAATAAATAAAAGTAATAAAGGGAAATTTTGAATAGACCAAATTCAGTTTGGTTTAGAACATTTTAAGTGCCTTTATATACACTGCAGTTGTGGTGAGAATTGACCTTGACATGAATGCAAGTTGTTCTTCCTAAACAAAATGTATTCAGGGTTGGACAGAGCCAACAGAATTAGAACTTTTAAAATACTAGAAATTTAAGTAAAATAAATTTCAATTGACACAAATTGTTGGCTACCAGAATGAACGATAAACTACTTGGCTGGAAATGAAAAAGAAGAAAAAAAGATTGGTTTGATGCATCATAGCAAATTTAATTAGACAAGAAAAATGATCACTGATTTGAAAGAAAATAGAGCAATGCAGGTATGATACGATTACTTGAATGTGGAGTTTTTGGAAATGGAACTTACTTTCATTTTGCTCTGCTGTTTCATACGTTACAAGATAGCCCAGCAATTCACCATTCCTTTTCTTCGGAGGATCCCAAGAAACACGCAAACCACTCATTGTTATCTCGGAAAATCTTAAATTCCTTGGAGGTCCAGGCAAGCCCTGAAAAAAGAATTGATTTTCGAAGATATACAAATCAGTTTGTAACTTTAATTCTTACCTTCCCACTTAAAAAGATTTCCAAAATTCTCCTGATGTAAAGAATATTTCATAAAAATTACAAAGACATGATTTTCTTATGAGCTTTCTGGCTTGCAACAATTCGTTATTTCCGAAAGAGGGACCTTATCTTAATTGCACTGCCGCAACATTTATTATTTACATTTCTTTTGTTTATAAAAAACTTTCACATGAATTTTCCTGACATTTCTCATGATTTTTCCTCTCCCTTGTGAAAATAAACTCTAAAATTTGCGTGCTAATTCATGCAATGATTTTCCCATGAAAAAGTAAAATTTGTGTAGAAATACTGAAACAGCGCAGACAAGATACATACATTAAAGATTAGATTAGATACACTAAAGAAATGGAAACATTGTGCTTTGCATAAAACAACTTAAAAAAACTTATAAAAAATTAAAAAAAAATGAAATAGAACTCTGATTGTATCGAACCTGTTGTGTTTTGACAATAACTGGCAATGATCTAGGTCCATCTCCCGCTGGGTTAAACGCAAGAATTTGAATTCGATACTGAGTGTATTTGTCGAGGAAAACGAGACTGTGAGAGGTAAATGAGGCCGGTACAACTTCAGTCTCTTCCTCTATTTTGTCCTCAGCGGAGAGTTCTTGCGGTGATTCAGTGACAAGATAAAAAATCTGAAAGAGAGCGTTGATAGTGCATGAGTTAATTTCAGTTCTCCCTGGTAGAAATTCGTCAGCTTAGAACTTTAAACATAGTAAAAGCAAAAAATAACATATTTTTGGCTGCAAAGCTCTTTTTGAGGACTGAACATCCTTGGCCCAAAAATTTTTCATTCACCAATAATTTTCTGTTGCATTCAATTTTTTTCGTTTTCTGGATTCCCCCAGAGTTAGATTTTTTTTGGAACAAGCAATTTAAGTGTAATTCAGTTCAGTTCATGTGGATACAGTTTGATGAATGGAAGAGACTCACCTTGTAGCCAAGGAGATCACCATTCTGCTGGCTTTGTTGAGGCGGTAACCATTTCAATCGGACTTCCGTAGCTGAAACAGACAATGCCTCAACCTCTCTCGGCTCTCCAGTTGGAACAGCTTCACCAACGTAGACTGCGACAGGAGGGCTTGGTGGCCCGCTTCCTTGTGAGTTGAATGGTACGACAATAATTTCATAATTACGGTCCCTTGATAAGTCTGTCAGAATCACTTCTGAAACCTTAGAACACAAAATTGAATATGGTTTAGCTACGGCTGCTTCAAAAACATAAAGGATTATTATGCGAATAAAAAGAAAAGGAATCTACAGCGATTAATTTCTTATCATGGCACACCATGTTGGTGATGATTAATGCCTGTGCAAAAGGGAAACATAAAGAATTATTCCTGCACCTTTCCAAACAGATCTGCAGGTATTACCCATGAAATAACGAACAACAATTGGACTGCATTTTGCATTTTGGACCTATAAATTCTGGCCCGGTTTAAAAACAACATATGTGCCATTAGTTTCCCTATGCACATAAGTGTTTTTTTCAGATGAGCCAGAATTTATAGGTCGAAATTGCAAAATGCAGTCCAATTGATACGATATTGATAAATAAATTCATTTTTTTCCTATCACATATTTTTCATCCATCAGAAATATGATGTGGTTTTTTTATTTTTTCAGCAGTGCTTAGATAAACAATCTGATGCTTAGATCTATCAAACTGCCTGTTTTCGTTATTTTTCCTTGGTCTTGGACAAAAAAATTTACATTATAAAAGTAAGTAGCCTTCAAGCATCTTCAACTAGTCATATTTTTTTTTTTTATTTTACTCATTTACGTATGCATTTTTTTCTTTTTTTTTTTTGTAGTTCATCTTTTCAATTAATTTGCAAATTCTTGCTCCAAATGCAAAATTAATAATAAACAACCAAATGAAAAACAAAGAATTCAAAACTCCCATACTTCATAAGGTATATTTGTGGGCAAAAGAAAAATTTGTGCATAGATGAAAGGTGTAATTTGAATAGGTAAGTACCTGTATTCCCTGAACTTCCTGTTTTGGAGTTGTTCTTAGAGTTGTGGGGAAGTCTGAGATTGGCTGAAATACAATTCGATAACCTCCAGTTGCATGATCTCCACTCCAATACTGTTCTTTGATCGTATCCCAGTGAACACGCACACTAGTTGTTGTGATGGGGACGACACGGACATTGGTAACGCCTTGACTTGGAGCAGCAGGTAAAGTTCGAGCAGGGGCTGACTCTTGGCTCCACCCACTGGAGCCCATATCATTCATTGCTTCAATCCTGAATCTATAAGGGGTGAACGGCTTTAGGTCTGTGGCAGTGTAGGATGTCAAAGTAGGATCAATCTTTTCTGGGACTGTCGTCCACGGGCCTGAATTTTCTGATTTTTGAATGGAGTAGTACCTCAAAGGAGCATACCCGTCAAGACCTGGCGTCCAGTTGAACGTGATTTGCGTGGCTTGAATTTGACTGAGGCTCACTTTAGGAGCACTCGGCGGTTGAGGTCTCTCTCTGTTGTTTGTCGTGTAGACTAAAGCGAGAGCTGTTTTCCCCCAACCCATTCTTGTTTGAGCTGTAACAGAAAACATGTAATATTGCTCTGGCTCTAACTCTGTGGCCCTGAATGTTCTGTCGGATGGTGGGAACTCCCTGGAGAAATTCAAGTTGCCAGTTGCATGCAAATGATAATTGACTCGATAAGCTAGAATCTCCCCGTTGGGCTCTTTCGGGACGTCCCAAATTATCCGTGCAGTTGTCAGAGAAACATCTGGGAAGGAGACATTTGATGGCACACCAGGAGCATCTTCAAAAGTCTGAACTCGAACGGGCGGAGTTGACAGGACCCCATCACCCAAACGAGTGTAAGCCAAAACTTGAATATTGTAGATAACGTACTTTCGGAGTTCGGTTAGGGTAGTTGTGTAGGTAGAGTTGTTGGGGATATCTTTGAACTGAGCTGGAGACTGAGACCTTGCACCGACAGCATAATAAACCTTATAGCCTTCCAGCACTCCGTTGCAATGCTCCATTGGTACCTCACCCCAACGAACAACAATTGTTGTGGATGAAGTGGCATTAGCTCCAACACCAAGTGGTCCAAATGAAGGAGTCGACTCTCTTGTTGTTTCAGCAGCCAGACTACTTGGTGAGGATGACCCGACATCATTAAAGGCATACATAGTTATCTCATACCTTGTGAATTCCTCAAGGTTATCGAGCACATGACTGTTTGTAGTATGATCCTCAATGCTGATGCTCAATACACGGTTATTTTTGGTATTTTTATACGTTATATTGTAACCCCGGGCATTTCCATACCAATCTATTTGCTGGAGGGGGATCCATCTAACCCTCAATTCAGTGGCTGACATTGCTCTAACAGTTACATTTCTTGGCGGATGAGATGGCGGTGCTTGGATTGTCTGAAATTCTTTTGTTGGCTCTGATGGCTCAGACATCCCAACAACATTACTTGCTATGATTCTTAATCTGTACATGGTGAATGGGCTGAGTCCAACAACGGTCAACGTAGTTGCGTCCGGACTGGATACTTCAAATATAGGGAACCAGGTTGTGTTCCTGGCTGTTTGTGCTTCTACAATCCATTTTGCTATGGAGGAGTTTCCATCAAAACCAGGCGTGAACTGAACTACAACCGAAAATGCTTCAATATTTGTGAGAGCAAGCTTAGTGGGAGGATGTGGGAGAACAGGTTCTATGCCTGATTGGATGACTGCTGCACGGATGGGGCCTGAACCTACTCGGGTTGTTGCAGAAATTTCAAATCGGTAATGTGTGGTTGCCTGTAAATTTTTGATGTTGACCTTAAGGGTAGTGCTATTCAGATTTTCAGTTCGTAATGTGTCTGGCTTGTCCTTAATCATGTATGACAATGTGTATCCTTTCAGGACACCATTAATATGTTTCGGCGGTGTCCAGATGACGGTCACTGCTCGATCTGAAACTTCATCAAATTGTAAACTACCAACTTCGTCGGGAACATCTTCCTCTGTGCGAACTTGTACAGGAACACTCGAAGGCCCATCTCCTGGATCTGTGAAACATAGCACTGTGATATTGTAGAGTGTGTACTTGTCTAAACCTGATATGATTGCCATTTGCTGGGCCAGTGGGTCAAATAGACTCGGGGGAACATTCATCACATGATTCAAAGTCTCATTAATCCACGCTTGAATTTTGTATCCCTGATTTATTCCGTTGATTTTTTGAGGGTTTGGAGGTTTCCACCAGACTTCAATGCTTGTTGAATTCACAGCTTTTGCTTTGATACTTGTTGGTGCTGCTTCTGGCACTCCCTCGCGTGTTTTTATCTTGAGACCATCACTAAAAACCCCAATCCCTTTATTATTGTATGCAGCTATCTGTAAGATGTAATCTTTCCATGTAATTAAGTCTTGAATTAGAAAGTTTCTTTGAGCCTCGTTAGTCACATTTTGCAGATTCCATGGGCTCTCATTATAACCAAATAGCTTGTAGCGTATGACGTATCCAAGAATTTGGCCATTACGATGCTCTTCTAAAGGTGGTTGCCATTGAGTAATAATCTCTGATGAAGAACGAGCAGATCCCAAAAAGCCAATCGGTGGACCAGATGGTGGTTCTTGCGGTAGTTTAACAACATTACTTGGATCGGATGGTGGACCTTCTCCAACGCTGTTCACAGCACTGACTCGAAATTGATACGTTGTGGCTGCTTTTAACTGTTGCAACATAATCCAGCGGCTGTCCGCGGAGACATTGCTCAATTCAGTCATCCAACTCAAGAAAACATCTGGAATGGGTCCAAGCTCAGAAACTTCACGTCTCTGGACGATGAATTTCAAAATAGGGCTATTTCCATCAAAACCGGGAGTCCATGAGACATTAACCCCTCTTGGATCAATTTTGGAGGCTTTAACGTTTAATGGTGCAAAAGGAAGTTCAATGACATTCAATCTTGCCGTTCTTGTTTCATTTCCTCCTGGAGATAAAAGTGCACAGACATAATCTCCAACATCAGATGCTCGTACTCCAGTTATTTCAAGAGTACCATCGCCCGAAACTGTTATACGAGGTGGGGAGCCAGCTGTTACCAATCTGAAACAAAAGATGAACTTGTTAAAACTCGATGAGTAATGCAATTACAGTTATTTGTTCTTGGCTACACTAAGTTCACAAAATAAAATTTTGTTTGATGAAGTTCCAAAAAAATAAAGTTTGATTGTAACTAAAACATTACTTACAAGGAAAAGGAAACTAATTATTGAGAATTTAAAATGTGCTTACTTTCACTAGAAATATGATTGACTTATCTGACAATGACTTTATTAGAAAGTAGATTTGAAGTGATAAAAGATTTAAGCCAAGCAGGATAGACACATTTCCAGCCTGGGTCAATATTGGAGATTCATTCATACAATGTAAAATCCACTAGATAGGTAGGCGTTAGTGCAATTATGTGCTGCAATCGTTCAATAGCATCTAAGATTGACAAAGGGCAATGTTTTTATCGTGTGCACAGGCAAAAAATGGTCTCCTATCCATATCATTAACAAAGAAAAGTAAACGTTAAAGTTTTATTTGTTCAGTGTAAAGACAATGTCATTCTAGACAAACTGAAGAAGAATGTTTGCTAATTTCATAGTAAAAGAACAATTTATTTAGGGAGAAAAAAATGAAAACCAGAATGAAGTGACTGTATTTTAGCTTGAGATGGCATCTACATGAAACACCGATAAGGAGACATTCATACAATATGTAACGTTCTATTCAGGGGGGTTAAGGGGTGTGGTATGACATTTTATTTCTAAATTTAAAGTATAGCAACCTGTACTACAAAAGCAGAGAAAGGGAAGAGAAGGAGGGGGGGTGTTTGAAAAATCTGAAGTTTAGCATTATGCTTTTCATGAACAGCCCCTAAAAATATTCAAGAAAACTTACTGTCCATTATAAAACCAATCAATCTGGTAAGGCACTGAAGGATCGCTGGAGACTTTGCACTGCATAGTGGCGGTATGACCAAGAAGCACTCTGGTATCGACAGGAGGCTGAATGATTTGAGTACGAACTGTAAAAAATAAATTACAAAATTTAAAAATCCATACTTGACTTGGATTTTTATTTTGAAACAACCTAACTGAGTCCACTTTCACACTTCATTTTCATTAGTCCTAAATAATTATAACTTTCCTCGATTAAAAAGATGAATATTTAAAAAAAAAGAGGAAAAAGAAGAATTTGGTTTATGATGGACATGTGATTTGAGAACAAAATTGATTGACAGAAGCTCTTCCTTCATTATCAAAAATTAGTAGGAGACAGAAAAGAGGTGTTGAGCTGGTTAAAAAGTCTTACAGGCTTTGAACATTTTTCAGCAAGATTCCTGAGGTGTTGAGCTAGTTCAAAAGTCTTACAGGCTTTGAACATTTTTCAGCAAGATTCCTGCAGCTGATCACCTTTTTTAATTAAAATTTGTAGGACAGAAACTTCAAATAAACAACGGTTAATTAAAAATATTACTCACCTAAAACACTGACAAACGAACTAGCTTCCACTTTGCCTGCCTCATTGGCCCGTAGGCATGTGTATTTCCCTGAGTCTTGTTCTCGTACAGCAGCAATTAATAAGTCACCCTGCTCCAGAATTTGAAAACGGCCATTAGAGTCAACAGGCTGATGATCTGTAAAAAAATAATGGAGGATGTCATCTAAAGATAATAGGGAAGAGACAAATTAAGGTATACCTAACTTAGAAACACAAATTACGGAGAAGTGTTAGAGGTCTGCAACTTTTGGAAGGTTGAAAAACAAGACAAAGACAACATAGCATCATTATGGACACATTTTGCCCACTATATTATCAAGAGCGACAAAACAACAGCAAGGCTCCCATGTACCTCGATTTTTATCCGTTATGATTTAGCTGTAGAAATTAGGTACAGGAGATGTATTTGATCTGCTTTCAAAATATTTGAGTGAAAAAAATTCTGAGAGACACCTAAAAACAAAGAACCCTCTTGGGGTTAATTCCAATACCATGTATCACATTTTAAAGCATACACACAACTTGTGCTCTCCCAAGCAAAATATATGAATAAGACATTGCATTAGAACTACTATTTTTCAATCAAAGTCATTCATGAAGAATTAAGATATTCTTAAATACATAGTGCGATTCACACTGTGCAAAAATTACCAGGCAAGACAAGTAGTTTGAGCTGGAAAAATCAGATCTACAAACCTTCATAAATCCATGTTGTGTTTGGTATTGGAGCACCGGCGACACGGCAAGTTAAAACTGCATCTTTGCCATCAAGAACGGTGATATTTTGTGGTGGTACTTCCATTATCGGAGCGGATGCTGAAATTGTAAAAAAAAGTTTAGTTAACATTGATTTAGAGGATTAGGAGTATATATTGAGAAACCAACAAATCAGAGATGTTGATGGGAAAAAAATTAATAACAATCAAAATTCTTAGTTTTGGTTTGTAATGATTACACTGTAGAGCACTTCATTCAGCTAGCACTACAGACTTTAAAAGCAGGGGCAAAAAACCCCCAGAATTTCAAGAAAGCAAACAAATCTATACAGACAATTTTCACCATGTATTCCATTAAATAATTTGATCATTTTGATCAATTAATTGATTGATTAAATTACTGCATTTTTTAACCATTTTGAAATCAATTTCCGTTTTTAATCATAAGAGAACTGCAGGAATCATTGTAACTTTTTCAGCTGATTTGGATACAAATGACTGCAATCTGATTTTATCTACATTGAAAAAGTGAGCTTAACATCATTGCGATAAACAGAAATGTGTAAAACAAAGTGCTAAAAAAAAGTGCAGAGCAATGAAAAACATAAAACTACAAAAGTACGGACTACAATGATCCTAAAATAAATGAAAATATAAAAACAGCATTATGACAAATTGGAAAAGTACGTTTGGCTCAAGGTGAACAGATAAATGGAATTTTAAATTCTTTGATAATATTACACGTTCAACAAATAGGACAGCCGGATGTTTCACATCAAGTAAGAGTAGCTTAATATAGGGATTGCAGGCATGGATAGTACAAAAAATGTGAGATCATACACAATTCGTGATTTCTAAATGCAAGTGAATAAAAACTGCGAGACAAAAATTAGCAGGAAACAAAATAATCTTCAAAAGACTGCAGTGCTGAAAATAAACGATAATACTAATAAATGGGTGCTGTTCGAACAGCAGCAAAACTACATTGCAAACTGAAACGCGGTGAATAAGCATTATTTTGGTCAGAATATGATCTTACAGAAACTATTTCGCTGAATATGAAATGGAATGATGCGAATTTTACGGTTTGTCCAACGTTTAAATCTTCTGGAGTCTGTCACAAAAAAATATTTGAGGATGAGGATGATGAGTGAAGTGCGATGAATTTAATTTACTTGTTCAAAATAGGAGGGTGTTAGGGTTTCTAAGAAGTGTGATTTTCCTACAACATGGCATTTGCACAACACAAGATCCAAATGTAAAAATGGATAAAACAACTGAATGCCTTTGACTTCTAACATATGAGGGGTAGGTGATGATTGTTTGAACAGTTAGAAAACTATTGTGTTTAAAATGAAATAACAACTACTGTTTTGTTGAAATATATTTACAATTGATTAAGGAAGAAGTTTGATTTGCTTCCTCTGATGAATTTAAAATCGAAAAATGGTGAATGTTAACAAGCAATAATAGTTGAGTGAGCACAAAAGTTCAGGTAACGAAAATTCTCACCAACCCAACTATCATTTGTGGGATTTGAATAAAGTTACTATCTTTCCTTCCCCTTTTTTCTAATTACTTGGTCTTATGTAAAAAATTAACATTTGTAGCCTTTGATTAAAGGTGAAACAAAAGATCAAACATTAAAAAAAAAAAACATATAATTTTTCTGACAGGTAATGCTTTAAGAAAATAGAACACACCAGATTGTAAATTATCGGCAGCTTGTTACATTCACATATTAAAATTTGATGATTTGAAATCAAAGATTATTCAATTTTTGATAGAAATTGCATCAAAAGGCACAATTCCGGAATAATGATGTTTATTATTAACTCAATTCATTGGTTTAGAAGACCGTTATGTAGTGCTGAAATAGGTTCCTAGTATATTTACAAGAGTAAAAAAAAGGAAACACATGGTAAACGCTTCATCATTATTACATGAAAATATCATTTACTTCCATTATGCAGTAAGTTTGGAAAAAAGTGACTTACTTTTAACTTTCAGCCAAGTGTTGATAGATTCAGAGCCAGCCTCGTTACTAGCTACACATTGAAACATGCCACTATCTTCCATTCTCAACTTTTTTATGACTAAAGCCCCATCCTCTTCAATTGTATACCTGATAAAAACATAATTATTTGGATAAGATGTGCATTAAAGTGATAAAGCATATACATTTTTTCAATGTGGAAATAACTGAGTTAAAAAATGAATTACTTAATCTTTTCTTTGAAAGAAAGAAAAGAAGAAGAAAAAAACTTATTCACTTAAAAATGTTTGTTCCAGAGCACTTAAATGTTTCGGCAAAAGAAAAATAAAATTAGGGAAAAGATAAGTTCAAAAAGCCTTTAATCCTACAATTGACGCTACTTATATCTCCTCCAGTTTAGCAACAATGGCAGGTTCTGTCAATTCAATACATGTGAAAAATGGAGATTTCTCTCAAATCATGTCGAGTTAAAACATGTTTGATGCTTGCCATTCAGTTCGTCTTCCAAAGATACGGCCAATAGCTGACTGCCTAGAGAAAAATTTCAGATTCTAATTGCATAAAATAGAAAATTTATTAGTTATATCAGAGAGCGAACCTGTTGTGATTTGTTATTTTTGTGATGTCAGCAGCATTTCTGAGCCAAGTAATGTTCGGAGTGGGGACTCCTAGGGCTTCACAAGGTAGATTAACAGTAGATCCAAATTCACCCAAATATTCTAATTTGCTACTGCCAGGAAAAGAGGGAGGCTCTAAAATGAGAAGAAAACAAAAATTTAGAAAACAACAGGTAAAAAACTTGCATCTCTAAAAAAATGAAAATTGGTCACTTTTCCTCCTTAAAATACATGCCAATAAAAATAAAAAAATTCTCTCACACTTCACTTCAATATCCCTCGAGGGATAATCTTACGCTTTACCGTCCCTAAAGTCCCATTCCTACTTTGTCCCTGATCAAGCCAGCCCCAGGTAACAGTTGTTTGAGACCATCAAACTAGAGTCACCTAACCGGGAATCGAACTCCTGACCTCCCGATCATAAAGCAAGCGCTACAACCACTACACCACAAGAGGTTGAAAATGTCCACTTGAATCATGAGATATTCCAATTCTCCAAGAGAATGAAAAAGATAAATAAAAATAGGAAAGTTAAAAATAGCATAAGTTCTTTTAAACATCAAAAGAGATGAATTGGCTTTTAACCAGCAGGATTTTTCTTTTGCATCAATAAAACAAATTGATACACAAAAAACTGCAATGATTGAAAACACAGCCTCTCGTCACATCAAAAACTAACACGAGTCCCCCATCACATGGAAGCTATTTATATAAAAAAAACCTAGAAATAGAATTTTCGGTCTTTAGGTTCCAAAATCCAACGCTGCTAGAGCGCTAAAAGTTGACCATGTAACTTGTTGATGCTCTGTGATTGGTTAATTACTTTTATTTATGATGGGAGCGTCCCATGGTTAATGTTATCAATTAGTGAGAATAGACAGTCACTGTGATTAAAGTTTTAAGTCGATAAACTTTTTTCTCACAAATTAATTGATGCCATTATTGATGTGAAAATAATTGAGCTACACTTCTTGCTTAAAAATAATTCCTTGAGAGTATAGAACGGATGGATTCAATTCTTAGATTCTTTTAAATTGATTACATTTTTTTACTATTCTTGTAATTTCTCAGATATCCAAAACTAATCATTCATGAAGTATATCTACCTAATACAACGACATTGGCATCAGCAGAAACAGTTGGGTATCCGCCACTTCGAAGACCAACTTGACAAGTATATTTTCCTGTATGTGTTAAGTTAGCTGAGAGAAGAGATAAAGTTCTATTCCATGGGTCATTGAAGTTGTAGGCTATTGCAGTGTTTTCGACAGGAATGCCATCCTTAAACCACAGAGTTTCCAGTTCATGAAGAGGCCTGAAAAACATTGACATTTCCAAAAATTAAATAAGGTGCCTAACATGCTCATTGTGCAGAGTGTCCATTGAAACTTATACAAGAAAATAAGTCCTTTTCTTTAGCGAGAACAAAAAATTTCTCATCTGCAAATTTCAGGAAAAGTTAAGAAAACCCAATTTAAACGGTCAAATTTAATTACCTTAAATTGCGTTTTTTTAACTTTTCCTGAAATTTGGGGACTTGCCCAACGTAATGTTAAACTGATTTTGACCTTACTGGGATAATGTGGAGGCAAATCTAAGGGAAATTGGCTTATTTCGCGGGTAAATTGAATGACCTTTGAATTGACGTATTTAGGGGCCCGAACCCCCCCTTAAAATTAGTTCGAAGTGATTTCTGCAATTTTTACAAAAAAGCGAACATAATTAGTAAATTTTCCCGTTTTATTTTTTTCTTTACGATAATTTGAACCGGAGTTGTGATTTTTTGAAAATAGGTCAAATTTGACCTTTGACAGTATCATAACTCGGTCAAAAATTAAGATATTGATCTGCGGTTTGCGCCAAAATTCTTAGTTTTTTATGGTCTTTCGAATGAGGTATCACAAGATAGGGGTTGCCATTTGAAAAAAAAAAGTTGGGGGCTCCCCCGCCCCCTCCCTTAGGGGGGACCAAAATTTTGACTCTCCCAAAAGATGGTCCCCTTTGAGATAGGAACATTCCCAAAGTTTCATTTTTCTATCTCGAACCGTTCAAAAGTTAGCCGACCGTCCTGGAACTTCTGGCCCACCCTGTAGAGGAGTGCATAACTGAAAAGTTGTCATGGTGATCTCAGCAATTGATCCTCTTGCAGACTGACAGCTAAAACGCTTCGTGTAGTATACAATGATTCAATTTTCATACATCTGAATTTTCATTCTAGTGTATGATGTCAAAACATTTCTTGATGCTAATTCTTCATCGCATGATGGAAGTAGGTAAAGTGTTCTACTCACCAAGCATTGGCAATGCACTGAAGTTCAATTATTTGCTGTCCTCTGATAATATGAGTATCAACTGGTTTGATAACGATCTCTGGAGCTACTTCCGTCAATGTTTCTGATCCTGTCACAATTAATCTTATGTATGCACTATCTTCCTCTTTTCCAAGTTGAGTATTTGTTGCACGAGCCCTTATCAGAAGAAAAAAAAATAAATGAGACCATGCATTGACATAATCAGCGATCAGATTCTGTTCTGTTTGAATTCAACTGTTCAAAATTAAAATAAAAGGGTGTATTAATTTCAAACATTATACACCAAAAGAAAAAAAAAAATTAAATTAATGTTAATGAGTAGGTATATAGAGCCAATTTTAAAACTTTGACTCGTCATGGTACAAACCATAATGCAAGCTATCGTTCGAATTATTAATCAAATAAATTTTGGCAAGGTAAAATACTGCTCGTCATCACTGTTGAGAATTCCTCAGCTCTAGTATACCTGCCAAAGCATTTTTACTGAGGAAGGAAACGTGTACCTATTGGCCATTAAGTATCATTAAAAAGAAAAAATCTGAAGTTAAAAGCTGCAGTAGGGAGGGCCAGTCTTAGTAATCTAAAGATGTGCAGCTTAATTAGTAATAGGAATAATGACAAATTATTTATATATAAACTGAGATGGAGACTGATTTGAGCTGGTGAGGAGGGATTGAAAACAAGGGAGCCATGTGCGCTGTACCTGTATGCTTTTTGATCATCTTTTGAGCAAGCAAGAACGACGAGTTGGTGAGAGGTGGTAACAAAAAACTTGCGGCCGAAAATTGTATTTCCATCATCTACTTGCCACATAACTAAGGGTGGAGGGTAACTTTCGATTGGAGGTAGTTCTAGGACGGCTGCGTGACCCGTTTGGACGGTGACAGATTTTTCAGTCTGGTCTTCGAATGCTCCCATATCTAGGGAACAGAAAAAAAAAACATGATTTCATGGAAACCTATGAATAATTAGGTATGAAGCAATGCTCCAGAGAATAAAAAAATATCAACTGATTCCTGAAAATTTACCAACTTTATTTGAACCATTTTTCAGATCATGCTTTGAGTTTACCGACATTGATATTTTCTGCAAATTGAAGTCTGAACAATATCTTATAAAGTTAAAGATGAGCAAACAATTGTTCTTCCACTTCCGAGTTTGGTCTCTTTCTTGACAGAAAAATGCTCTCATTACCTATCGACGGTGAAACTTCAAAACCGCACATCACGCATCTCGTTTGTGGTGTTTAAAAATCTCCGCTCCTATTTTATTTTTTTGAAGAAGAACAAATCAACATCATTCCTTGAACAATTTTTTTTAGAAAAGACTCACTTGCACGTCAAATTAATTTAGTTACACAACTAAATTAATTTGACGTGCAAGTAAGTCTTTTTCAAAAAAAATTGATTATTTTCTTGTGCGGCCTCCGAGGCGAAAAAGTTTTTCTATCTTTCGTTTTATTTTCGTTGATCATTCCTTGAACTTTTTTCAGAATATACTTCGCACAGGGAAGAAAAATCACAGAAGTTTTTTCAGAATTGACGTTGAGTAGTGCTTCATTTTAAATAATGAATTGACAGGCAATCTGCAACGTCGTAATACGTGGTTTGAGAATTGTACCATCGCTATGTTAAAATTCCCCATATTATAGTGATTGCAGCGCCCCCTTCAACTGCTGTATAGATGACATTAAGGACATGTTATACTTGTTGCGTTCGTATCAAATGCAGGGGACAATAACCATCAGAACAGAGAGATGGAGATCTACAAGTGCATCATCGCGTCGCGTCGTCTCCCCTCTTTCCACACTGTATTCGGAGTAAAATCCTATTTTTTACTCTAATATTGGATAGAAATATATACATGCGAATTAATTTGAAAAATGAAAACAATTCTAACGGTTCCTCCCACATACATATTTTCTTTGCAAGAGTCGCCTTACGGTCACTTGAGCTGATCCTCACCAAATGAAAGAGAACCTTCAGAACTCAATTCAACAGGCTGATAAAAGTTTTCATGTGGTCCTGAAAACAACTTAAACTCAATTTACCTTACATCACACTCCATGATAAGGTAGGGGCAAGGAATTTTTCCAGGGTTGCAGTAAGTATGAATGTATTACCTAACACATTTCGTGAAAAAACGAAGAAGTTCATTGAAAGTTCCAAAAATCATTTCTAAAGGGAGGATTCTGATCAAAATACGACAAATGAAAGGCCGTCAGTCGAGTGACAAAGCAAAGCGATACCTTAGACTGAATTCAGCCAGGCAGCAAACGCCGTTTTCCCCGCCTAGCCACTTCATCGGAGCCAGCCAAAAATATCATTTCAAACGGGTCCTGTTTTTGACATTTTCAAAACGGGGTTCCTTTGCCACTAAAGTTTTAAAAAAAGTGGAATTAAATTCCTGGGAGTTGAGTCCACTCCGTCCTTTCAGAAAATAAATTTTAAAAAAATGTAAAGGTGTAACTTACAGGCAACAGAGACGTCGACTTTCTGACTGAGAATGGAGCCGACATCGTTTTTTGCAATGCACTGATACGAGCCACCATCTTCTTTTTTGGTATTTTGTATTCTGTGATAGTATTCGGAAGTATAATCGCCTATCTCCCGACCGTCCTTGAGCCACCGGTACACGGGTATAGGGTTTCCTGGAACAATCAAAGAAAAAGAAATTAAGTCTGCGCATAGACGAAATATTTATGACAAACCAAAAATAATCCAAGTTTATGACTAATCATGATAAATCAATGGTTACTTTATCCAGGATCGGGACGACGGAACAGCCAATTACTCAAGAAGATAGATCGCAAGTGTTCGCACTGAATAGCTCTGGAAAAAATCGAGGGAACATTAACAAACTAGCAGGCGTCGCACAATGCATCGAGTCAATAGAAGAGGTCGAGCAAAATTTGGAAACTTCAAACGCTTATAACTCCGTTTGTACAGAACTTCGTGGTTCTAAAAATGGTTTCATTAGCTTTCTCGTGAAATTTTCTACCAGAATCACCCCTAGAAATTTAAAATGTTGCGAAATAAACATCGAAATTTGCAGTTTTAGTAAAAAATGTTGAGTCCGACCTGTCTAATTGACTCAATCCACTGAGCGTCGGTTTACCCGGACGAAAGCGACCAATCAGAGCGGCAAGGCAAATGCACTTTTGGATGAAAATACTCGAACCGGGCAGAGGTTATTTCCAGGTCTCATCCATAATAACAGTCAAAACTGCCGTGCTAAGTAAAAACACCGAATGAGCATCGAATTTTGTCGAATTTCTCCTCAGAAAATATGTATTCTTGGGGAAAGTTATGAATATTTCTCCTTGAAATTTTCAGACGCTTTAGATCAAATTATCAGCAAATTTCTATGAAAAATCGGAAGAAAAATAAAAACAGATTTTTCCGAAAATTCATGATTTGTCAAAGGAAATTTGGCACCGTCTGAAAACTCATACGGCGTTCTTCCTTAGCACGGCAGAAAACGACACGACGCTCTGCCGTGCTGAGGAAAAACAACGTAAGAGCCTTTAGACGCTGCTAGATTGCCTTCATTAAAAACCGAATTTACCGGTAAAATTTTGAATATTTTTTTTTCAAATTGATCAGACAATATTGTACGCAATGGGCCTGTTGCAAACTTTTGCTAGAGCAAAAATAAGAGTTGTTTCTTCTAGATAATGCCTCAAAAATCACGATGAGCGCATCGGCAAAGTCTGAAATGCACTCATAACTTCACAGTCTGCGTAAGAAATTTGCGGTTTTTTGAGCTTCCCGCTTCAAAAGCGATACTACGGCACAGGTGAACATTTTGTAAAAGGAGTCGTTCCATCGTCGGCAATACTCATCATGGCCGACGCCAATCCGCCAAAACACGCCGTGTGATGGGACGAGATAATACCTGAACTGGATTAGACCAGATAACAATCGGCGTGTTTTAACGTTCATGTTTTCCACGCCCGAATTGATTGACCTTGAACTCTCCTCGAATTACGCGCGGAACTGCGCGCAAGCGTCGGCCATGATGAATATCGCCGACGATGGAGCGACTCCTCTAACAAAATGTTCACTTGTGCCGTAGTATCGTTTTTGAAGCGGAAAGCTTAAAAAAACGCAAATTTCTTACGCAGATTGTGAAGTTATGAGTGCATTTCAGACTTTGCCGATGCGCTCATCGTGATTTTTGAGGCATTATCTATAAGAAACAACTCTTATTTTTGCTCTAGCAAAAGTTTGCAACAGGCCCATTTAATATAAAATATCTGTAAATTCCAAGAAAAAAAATGCATGTATGTCGTCAAAAATACATGTTTTATCGAGGGAAATTTGGCAACTCTCGAATGTTCATACGGCGTTTTTCCTAAGTACGGCAGCGCTGCGGACCGGCTCCAGAATGAAAGGATGGACCATCTGCTCCTGATTTCTTGGTAATGTCATACTTCCCGTTGGAATGACACGGGTGAAAATGAGATTTCTTGAGCCGCGTGGCAACGGCGACAAAGACAAAGTCGTTGAGCCACCTATAAGTAATATTCTGTCAGATGTCACAATTATTCATCTGTCATGGGCGTCCGTGACATTGTCAACGGACGGACGCACAGGCACATCTGAAACCGACCGGGACCGCGTTAAGCCACGCTCCCACAGGCAGCGCGCGACGTCAAGTTGGTGCGCAACTGGGTTCAACGATTCCACCACTTCTCATTGAAACTAACCTCTTGTCAAATCAAAACTTGAAACGCTATTCATGGGGGTTTTCCAGGGCTTATGTGGCCTTGTACTCACAGGGTATCTAGAAATTTTCAAATATAAAATTCCCTGACACTTCCTTGATTTTCTTGACAAAAACGGCCGAATAATCGGGGGAAATTTTAAAATTTCCTGTCAGGCGGAAAAAGTAATTCCCTGACATTTCCCTGACAAAAAGGAATGAAATCATTCCCAATTTTTCGACACGGTTGAACCGATCAGATGTAAGTGAGAATTTGTTCATATTTCAGGGATATAATTTAATCGATAGTGAGTAAATATCGATAGTAATTCCCGTGAACAATGTATAATAAAAACTTGAATATCTTAGTTAGGAGTTGATTTCAGTCATTTTCGATGCAAGAGAGGTGTTTTATGTGAAATTCTGATTAAGAAACATGTATCAGAATACTTAAATTAGTACCTTGTTTAGTGGTCCATTAGAGGCTGGCATGGCTCATTCCAGGTATTCAACTTATAAGCAGAGGCGGATCCAGCAATTTGGCAACACCGGATTCCCTCCATTTAAACCTATGTTAAATAATCGATTCTTGTCGGAGCACCTGGCCCCTCCAAGAATCGATACATTTCGATAGATTTAATTGGAGAAAAACAACGTTGCCAATTTGCTGGATCCGCCAATGCTTATAAGACGTCCTCCTCCGAAAATATTTACTCCCGGACCGCCAAAATAAAATTCTCCGCGGATCCTCCTTGTCGCCTGTCGTAAACGTGAAAGCTGACTAACATCTGCACCGTTGTCAAACGGTGCAAATTACACACGGGAGAAAAGAACGATAACGGATACGAGACTATCGAGATCGTATTCGATAGTGGTTCGATGTATCGTTTGGAGACTGCAGGAGCTTGTTCTATGGGTCTAAATAAGACTTCTTAGTTATAAAGGGAGATTTCGATTTTTTTTAGATCATTCATGAATACAGGGCCCAAAAGAAGAGGGGAGTACAAATTTTCATGAAATTTGGTTCACAACCGTTGCCAAAATTCAGGAGAAACGATTTACTTTCGGAATTTTCTTTTTTTTTGGGGGGGGGGGCGTAGCTCCTACTAGGGGCACTTTTGGGAAAAACTTTATACAACGAAAAAGTCTTATTTTGACCCATATAACAGGCTTCTCATTCTGGCCTTTTCCCCCTGAATCACCCTTTATAATGAGCTCGAAATCGTGGTTCCTATAATTATTGCGCGTCATTTGGCAACAAGGCGCCCAGGTACTTGCATAGCAAAGTGTACATTGAGCTTTAATTAATTCGCCCGCGGCATAATTCCTCCGGAGCGTATTTTTGGAGAGTAGTAAAACCTCAAGAGCCCCGGCAAATAGCCTGGCACTGCGTTACGCTTGTTTTTTAATACTCGAGGTGTTAATAAAAAGTGTTTGATCAGTGGCGTCCATGTTTCTACTGTCAGTGCGTGAGCGGGGCTTCGGCCCATTGTTTATTCCGACCTTACAACAAAGGGATACAACCGCATTGCCTAGTTTTCGTAGAAACATCCGCACTTATCATTATTATATTTTTACACCAAATTCAAAAGTAACTAGCAACCTTGTGACGTACCCAGCGGCTATCACTTTCCGTCCATCTCGCCCTCCTTTCGTCGAGAAATCACCGCGTCAAAGGTAATGGTCCCGCTGGTGGAATTAGGTATTTGTTTCGTTTCACTTGACTTTTTGCATCTTATGAGGACCATTTTTGGGGCGTATTAGTACATGTGCTTCGTTGATCAAGCTTCAGAATCCATCAAATACAGTGTCTTCATTCACAATAAGTTGGAAGTAGGCCGTCTCTAAATAATTAGAAGCCTGTTTACAAGCAGGCTCAGACTGGCCAGAAGGCCAATCTGCCATTGGCAGATACGCCCCCTTTGCGCCCCCAAAACGCGCCCCTCTGACAGATAGCAAAATATAAGAATAGAAAAAAAATTACAACCGAGAATAGATGCGGAAAATGTCTTAAATGAATCGGAAAAAGAGAGAGTTAGGAGTAAAGAAAGGTGCTTTTACGCATGATAGTGGTGAACAGGGGTGCAAGAACTACTTTCTGAAGCGTAAACACTTTTTTGTGAAATTTTAACCTTTTTGTTCCCGTTTTAACCGTTTTGCTTTATGATCCCCCTCCTTTATTCGCTGTGTGTAACTTCCTTAGAAGCGATGGTCGGTTCGATTTTTAGACATACGCACCCTCTATAGACCTCTTAAGAGACCTTTAAACATATTTCCTCCTTTTCAAAATGACTATTGATTTATACATATCATAGCATATCTTGGGCAAACTTAACCTTAATTTATCTCTAAATTCAAAAATAAGAGACATCTAAAGTGCATTTGAAAAATTTAAGACGCGATGGCGTGAGTCGTGAACTCGCAATGCTCTGCTCTTTGCTACTAGTCTGAAGCAACAAGACAAACGCAAACAAATACAACTAGGGGCTTATGGGGCTGCTTCGCAGCCCCTTATTTTTCCTGTACACTTTTCACTTTCACATGTTTTTTTTTTTTTTTTTTTTTTTTTTTTTT